GCAATGGGTAGGAATGCATAAAAAAAAATTGCTAAGGCAGTCACTATTCACATAAATAGTAACTACCATTGCCTCCTTTTGCCCTTTGTCACGGCAAATAGATGGAAGTGTTCTAAAACATAAAATTCAGTTCTAAAAACCATTTTATACCAAAAAGCAATAAAATATGTTAATAAATAAAATTAAAGTAACGTAAGATTTTCTCGATACATAATTTCTTCAATAATATTTTCATTTCCCGTACACATCTTAAAGACTCGGTAAAATACTCATTTTTTAACAATCAAACATACAATACACGTATATGTATGTATTTCTCACGTTTAATACATATATTTTTTACAAAATTTTCAATAATATTGACAAAATTCACATATTATATACACGTATTTTTCACATATTTTTGAATAAAAATTATATAGTAGCCGAACTTTTTAGTTGTATCTTGTCAAAAATTTACCGAATAAAACACATGTATTTTATTCATATTTTACTTATACATAACAAAGTATAAAATAACCACACTGCCGAATATGGGTACAATATCTCCAGTGACCAAACACAATAACATTTTAATTTGGATGATCATAATAATAATTGAATGAGAGTTTTGAAATCTCATTCATTTTCAATTTTTGAAGATGCCTTCATGTCTAAACTATATCACATACATTTTAATTATTTTTTTTTAAAACTTCAAAAAAAATATTTTATTATCTTGATTTAGAAAAGTTATCTTTCCAACACAAAATAAACTAAAAAAGAATGTTATAAACGAAGTCCCAAGAATTTACACAACAATCTGAAAAAGAAAAAAAAAAGAAGGTGCGTTATCCAATGAAAACATTGGGAATCTCGAGGCAGAGTTCCATCACTGTCGAACAACATGCCTTCGTCACACTTGTGCAAAAATTAGCTTTCTTTTTTCTTCTTATCTCTCTTTCTGGGTTTTGTTCATTCTGCTCTCGCAGTCGGTTGCTTGCCGGCGGCTTCTCGCACGTGTATTGGGGTTCGCTTTCTACTCTCCGTCTTAAATGCAGCTGACGTCAGGCACATTACATCGTACGGCCTTCGTTCTTCCACGTGGAAATTGATCGGGAAAAGCTGATACGTGGTCACTGCTCATCAACAGTGTCGGCAGATTGATGAACAGCTTCAGCTTTTTCCGAAAAACATTGATGTTCCGAGGGTCCCCACTGTATTATAGATCCACCAAAAGAGTTTGCCCTTTGCAGTTTGGGTTCTGATTCACTGTGATGTCCTCAGCATTGCATCGTGTTACACAAGTATGTGTGTAAGAGCATCTCCAAAGGAGATGTCAAATATCAAACGTCAAATTTAAATTTGATGGATGATGTAACAATTTGACATCTTACATAGCTTTACACTCCACCCGATATGCTAAATTAAATTATTATTTTATTACATTTTAGTGTTGATTTATTTTTAATTAAAAAGAATATAAAAGAAAAAATAATAAAATATTCATTTGACATCTTGCTTTTGGGATGTCAAAAATAATATCTCAACCTCCAGCCGTCATTCCACATCAGTTTTGACACATCGGTCGGAGTGATGTGAGATGTTATTTATAGCTGTTAAATGTTATATAGCACGTTTGACACATCGGTTAAAGATGCTCGGTAATTATGTCACTATGTCATGAGATAATGAGAGCATCAGATTTTTATTATTTTATTATTTTTTATTTTTATAATAATATAAGTGATATTGGATTGGGTAGTGAGATTCAAAAATAAAGTATCAAATTTTGGATATATAAATAACGTTTTTAACCATTTGAACTATCACGTATGAAAGATTGAGAATGATAAGCACAATTTAGATTCATCCATTATCAAATCTGTATGGACTACAATGCATTGATTTTTCGACATTAAATATTTCAGACCAACAATTGAACACTTAATAAATTCAATAATACTTAACTAAGAATTAGGTCATTTAACTTGCCTTTGAGCTCTTAGAACGATTAAATCAACTTTTAATCCAAGAAAAGATTAATTGGATCGATTTGTTCCATATAAACGACTTTGGGGATTTCTTGTTAATCATGTCCACCCTTATCTACGTATAATTACATTGCAAAGAGTATATAAATGTCAACTATAAACTTTGTGTGGTGCAAATTTTCATTACATTAAAAAAACTACCATTTTGTGCGGAATATATGTAAGAATAAAAATTTAAATTTACAGTGCGTTTGGATGAGAAAATTTAAAAATACAAAGGAATTTATAAATGACAGAATTTAAAAGGATGTAAATTAATGTTCTAGAATTTATAAAGTTTCTTGTTTGGATGATGGATTTAAAATTTACATGAACTAACTTATTTTTTTTTTTTTATTTGTAAATTTTTTTTTTTTTTTTTTTTTTTTTTTTTTTTTTTTTAATTTCTCTTGGAATTTGAGAAATGAAAACTTTTAAATAGAATTTAAAGTTTGGATTTATGAAATTTCTAAAATTTTAAAATCTAAATACGGGAATTAATTCATATCAATTTAAAAATTCTGATTTTAATCAAAATCCTAAATTTATTCCTCTCATTCAAATACACTGTTGAGGAATCTTCAATATTAAAAAATTTGACCATAAAATATAATATCAAAGTTATTTTAGTATGTATTGTTTTGATCTTCTATTAAATATAATATAAATGTGCATTCAATTTCTGGACAAATCAAACTCAATCAATCAAATTGTAATGATTATGACAGTAAAAGATGGGATCATCTTCCAGACAATCTAGCCCCCCAGCCTTTCCCTAATCATCATCACCTGCTCGACTGCAATTCACCTTGTCACCTTCACTCTTTAATGCGCTCCTTCGTCCTCCAAAAAAAAAAAAAAAAAAAAAAAAAAAAGTTGATAGTGTTGTTAATATTTGGAAGTTGGATGTTGGCAGTTGGTTTTGTAACAATTTTTTTTTTAAAAAAAAAATTCAAGAAAAACTCTACGCCTTCAAACGAGTTAATATATGTATGAATTCAGAACAAATTTGACATCATCTTCTTTTTATTTTCTCCTTCTTCTTTCAGTAAAGAAAAAAAAAAGAAAAAAAAAGAACTATCTTAAGAGAGATTGTTGGTAACGGGACTCAAATCTAGATTGGTGTTTTATTTATATGTCTTGAACCATATGTTACAATGTGAACTGAGTGACATAATCTAACTATGTGCCCAAAATCTTGGAAGTTCAACGTGATTTTGTAGACTCCATAGAAATAAAAAAAGAAAAAAGAAAAAGCTTAAAAGAGATATTCTGATCGAAGCGAAATCCCCCATCAAGATACGTTTACACAAAAACAAAGATATGGTGGCATATGCAATTGATTTGGAACAAGATTCTTTGCAATTTACTTGCTATTAACTTGGAGCAACAACATATTAATTAATCGAACACACACAACTTCAAGATCTGAAACACGCAAAGATGGATCTCTTGGACATAAATAATTCCTGAATATCAACTCTAGAATTGTAGTTTTATTCATCAAAAAGCGATGATTTGTCAGTTTTATACAAAATGTTATCGTTTATGTACGAGACCAGTTCAGTTTAGTCTTTAGATTTATATATACTATACGCAAAAAACATGCCATGCCATTAAACTTAGTGGTCGGCCAAACCTTAGCTTACGTAAAAGATTCGATTTAATATATGATACATTTAACCTAATCTACTATATCAAGCTCGATCCATACATATTATATATATATTTGATCGAAAACCGTGGAAGAGTTTGTGGATAATGTTCTGGGACATTAATTGGCGCCATGGTTTTTTAGTTGCCATTGAGATGGTGAAATCTGGATCATTCAAAGAGTACTCAAAGACAAACATGTATGTCTATGGATCATGGCACATGGTTCTGGTTTATGAATTTTATTTGCTAAATAATATATACTATTAAAACTTTTGATGATGCATTGCTTGATTCGATCAAAAAGCAAGATGTAAACAATACATTGCCAAGCCCTTGATGTTTTCTGTGTAATTTAAGCATTGATTTGTATCATTATTGCAACGTTAACTTGTGTTAGCGAAGTCTCATATCGCCTCGGCACTATTTTCTTATGAACCAGTTTTTCTAAAATAAGTTTTAGTTTATTAAGCTTAACATGATATCAGAGCATGAGATGGATTGAGCCCGTAACTCTGACCCTGCGTGGAGGGGAAGTGCCAAGTGGCTTCCGCCCTGGTGCTGATCATGCTGATTGTGGCTGCCCAATTTAATGATCAAATGGTTAAGAGTCCAAATATCTATTTGCAATCTGTACTTAACAATTCATTTCTGGCCCAATACAGTAATTGGGCTAAAAATCAATCCATCTCAAAGGATGAGCAAATAAGAGCCCAATTGCTCTATTGGAGATCAAGCCCAACACATATGAGAGTTTAAAAGAGGCTGCAAATTAGCCAAACAAACCAATATGACCAATTGGTCAAAGGTTGTAAGGACGATATCTCGAAAAGCCATTGAAATTTGAAACAATTATAATTGGGAAAACAACTTAAACAGTCAAACACAAGCAAAGTGAAAGCTGTAGTGGTAGCTGAAGTACTCAGATTCTCAAACAGCTTAAAGCTGAAATATATATTAGTACTGGTAAATAAAGAAGAAAACATGGTAAATAAAGAAAATAAATTCAAACGCAAAGAAAGTGATCCTCCTACCACAATCCCTATTTTTCCTCACAACTTCGGAGCATATACAATCTCTCTTGGCTTTGGAAACCCTAAGCAAACAATACCCCTCACCTTTGACACAGGCAGCAGCCTTGTTTGGGCACCATGCACTTCCCAATATACTTGCTCAAATTGTTCCTTACCAAACATCAACCTCGAAAAAAGCCCTATTTTTTACCCAGATCGTTCGTTTAAAAAGCCGATGCATTGCGAAGCCCAAATTTGTTGATTAATTCATCGTAAGGAACCTCAATGCATTTATGCCAAATGTTGCTCTTGTTATGAGTTCATGTATGCTTCTTGGACCACAGAAGAGTTTGCATTAGGGACTATAAATGGGGATGCAATGACAGATGTGATGGAGGATTCTGTGACTGATTTTGTGTTTGGGTGCACAAAAAAATCGACCCATTTGCCTATTGGAAGTATTGGGTTTGATAGTTCCCCTGAATCATTGCCTTCACAACTGCTACATGAAAAATTATCTTTTTGTTTATTGTCACACTTTTATGATGACACTGGAAGACATAGTGCCCTAGTTTTGAATGATGATTTAGTGTACAATGACTTGAGCTACACGCCATTGGTGAAAGGCCCGGGCATGCCTAATTTCTATGGATATAGATATGTGAATCTTGAAGAAATTGTTGTTGGGATCAATAGGAGTACTAAGATTCCACATGAAGATCGAAACCAGGATCTGATGGGAATGCTGGGACATCGACACCGGCATGCCGGATTTACTTACGTGGACAACTCCATCTTCGGACAAGTGGCAGACGAGTTTGTGAATCAAATGGGGTGAGTATAAGAGGCTCCTAAGCAAGGGGTTCTAGGACCTTGCTTCAGCACTGTTGTTGTCGACGTTAAGAGTGTCACAGGATTAAGTTTTGTGTTTGATGGTGGTGCAAAAATGGTGTTTCCTCCCACTAATTATTTCTTGTATGACGATAATGTTGAGTTAAATGGCGGTCCCAAGATCATTATTGGTAATTATCTGTTTACGGATTTTCATTTGGAGTTCGACTTGAACCGTATGAGGTTTAGGATTTAACCGTATGAGTTCGACTATGTGTGTTGCTTAGTTGGGCTAATTTTTTTGGGCCCTTTTTCCCTTGTCTTTCACGTTTAGGAGGGTTTTATTTTTGTGCTTGGTTCTTTAAAATATATGTGTGCCTACTGCCTCCCTGCTGTATGTGTTGTTCGATCATGGTTGATTAAATTAACACCAAAAGCTTAACAAACAACAATCTAAATCATTCTCTGTAACTGAGAGAGAATTCATTAGAATCCATGGACTTGGCGCACCATGCCCATGTTATAATTATCTGTTTGCTTCATGGGCAACTTATGGGATTTCAATAGGATACATAGCTGGGAGTTTATTGTTGGAAACTTCGGAACAAAATGTGACAAGTTTTCTTGTGGGCTGCTCCAATTTTTCATCCCAGCAACCTGTTGGACTTGCTGGGTTTGGCAGTGAACCAACATCACTGCCATCCCAATTGGGTCTCTCACCAAATTTTCCTTTTGCGGCTTGTCTCATGAGCATGATGATGTCAAAGAGCACCAACCTTGTTTTGGACAACGCATCTATGGAAGGGCTCAGCTGCACACAATTGCTCAAGAGCCCTATGTTTGCAGATGCTCACCTTTTTCAGGGTACCACTATGTGAAGCTCGAGGAGATTATGGTAGGGCACAAGCACATCAAAATCCCAAGCAAATTTGTGGTTCCAGGATATGAAGGAAGTGGGGGGATAATAATTGACACTGGGGCATCTCTCACGTTCATGGAGAAGTCAATTTTCATTTTGGTGGCACAGGAGTTTGAGGATCAAATGGCTGATCATGAAAGAGCGGTGATGTAGGAGTTTTGGGGCCATGTTTTGGGTTTAAACATGCATTGCTCACCTTCAGTCCCAAAGCATGGCTCAACCTAACATAGATTTAAACAATAGTAGTGCCTTTAAACAATAAAATGGTGCTTTATCAAAACATGCATTGCCGAATACTTTAAAGACACTATTATTGTTTAAATCTATATTAGGTTGAGCCATGCTTATAACCGTTTTATACAATATAATATATAACATTTCATCTGCCGCACACTTTTTTTTTAGGGATTTTGTTTTGTTTTTATCAGTACTACAATTTAGAGTTGAAAAAAGGGATATTAAAATTTCCTCATTGTTTTTATCAGCACCCCACTAGTGTTCAAGTAGTGTTGTTAGCAGTCCTCATTAGTGCGTGATCTGTAATTTTTTACATAAATTCATACTAGTGATAGCTAGCAGTTGGGTGCCACGCGTAAGTCCTTCCGGCTCAAGATTGTGATATGCCCTGACACTTGTGGTGAGAGTAACTAATCTCCCCTTAATTTTTTTTTAAAAAAAGAAAAAGAAAAAAGAAAGGGGAATCAATATAACTGGTCGCTGGTGGACTTAGGTTCTCTGTAAATTAGAAGTGTAAATTAGAAGTTAAGATTTCGGCTTCGGGAGACTGTTAAAAACCAGTGATCTACAGACACACACAAAATAAAAAATAATTTTTTAGAGGTGTGAGAGTGACACGACGACGCTCCACATAATCACGTGTCCTGATTCAATTGATTGTCGTTTCATCCGGATAATAATACCCAGCGCACCACACCGCTGATGCTCTTCTGGGTCCCTCCTCCCACCACCATGTGTAGTTTACGGTGAGCTCGGAAGCAGAGGATTATCAATCTCATCATATATGACACGTCGGATGTATTTGGCAACGGTAATGAGACGAAAGGCTTACCGCGTATTTTGACAACCATGCTTTCAAACGGCTACAAGTTTTGTTTTTTACCGCAGACTTTACGGCGGTTTCTGGGTAACTGTAATATTTTAAACTCTACCTAAATGGATGTGGGGTTTCATGAAATTACAAGGCTACCCTACCTCATGTACTCTCTGTGTCTGGCCTGCTGTTTCCTTCCATGCTAAGCTGTCCCAAGTTCCAATCATCATGTTGTGGTTTTCCAGCTTCCCAGTATAAAGTAAGCATTTTACCAACAAAGAAAAAAAAAGGGGAAGGAAACTTAATGGAGGCATGACCCATTCAGAGCTTTCTTGATACGGAAAAGTTAAGGGGGATGGGAGGCTACCCCATCCGACCCATTCAGAGCTTTACATTTCTTTTTTTATGACAAAAGTTTGGTAAAGAGTTGGAAAGTTTAAAATCATTATAACTTTTGAAGATGTTGTTTCTTCTTTCTTAATTAAAGCCAATCTTAAAAGTATTTGAATCGTTTATGCAGTGGAAATTGCGTTATGATACTACTAGCATAAATCGCAAGTGCGATAGTTTTTTGGGTAAATAAACCTCGTTTGTTTGGTAAATATAAGATACTACTCTAAAATTATTGAAAGAAAAAGAATTATAATGAGCTCGATCGTATACATGTAGCTATGTCAGTCTCCCAAACGATGATTAGCCGTTGAAGTACGTATTTATATATGTTTTAGATTAGGTTTGTAACGCAGGGGCATGTCCTGTTAATTGTGTGCAGCACAAGGGGAGCTTTATTGCCCAAATCGAACATGATTCTCCTTTTTTCTGCTCCAGCTTTGGCTTCTTTCACTATAAAGAAGCCCACCAAAACCCAACCTACAGAAAGCAGCAGCATCTCTTGCTACCCTGCCACAATTCACAATCCATGGCCAATCCCAAGTCCCTTCTCACCCTAACCTCTCTCTTCTCTCTCTTCCTTCTGACCCTCTCCTCCAAACTCACCCTCTCTCTCTCCCCATTCCCCAACTACCCAGCTTCAGATCCACTCCAAGCCCTCAGCTTCCATGCCTCTGCCTCCATTTCCAGAGCCCACCACATCAAAAACTCCAGAAAACCCAACTCTTCTCTCACCCAAGTCCCTCTCTTTCCTCACAGCTATGGCGACTACTCAGTCTCCCTCAACTTTGGGACACCCCCACAAACCTCTTCCTTCATTATGGACACAGGAAGCAGCCTTGTTTGGTTCCCCTGCACCAAACGCTACATTTGCTCCAGATGCCAATTCCCAAACATCAACCCAGCAAAAATTTCAACTTTCAAGCCCAAACTCTCCTCCTCATCCAAAATCGTCGGCTGCCAAAACCCCAAATGTGGTTGGATTTTTGGCCCAGAAGTCAAATCCAAATGCCCAAATTGCAACAACCCGAGTCCCCAAAACTGCTCGCAAGCCTGCCCAACTTACATAATCCAGTACGGTTCAGGCACCACAGCTGGGATTTTACTTTCCGAGACACTCAATTTTCCCAAGAAAATTGTCCCGGATTTTCTCGTCGGCTGCTCTTTCCTCTCGATCCGCCAACCCTCTGGGATTGCTGGGTTTGGCCGCGGACCACAATCGCTGCCTGCCCAAATGGGCCTCTCCAAATTCTCCTACTGCTTAGTCTCTCACAAATTCGACGACACCCCACAAAGCAGCGACCTTGTCCTCTACAGCAGCAGCAGTGGCAGCAGCTCAAGCTCTGAAGAAGAACCAACCATCGCTGAAAGCCAGAGAAACAAAACCAGACTTCAAAGCTTGAGCTCCACCCCATTTCAGAAAAACCCAGGTCCTCCAAACTCCGCTTTCCGCGAATACTATTACATCATGCTCAGAAAAGTCATTGTGGGCAACAAGAACGTCAAAATCCCCTACAAGTTTCTGGTTCCTGGAGCTGACAGCAGTGGCGGCACCATAGTCGACTCAGGCTCGACCTTCACGTTCATGGAGAAGCCGGTTTTCGAACTGGTGGCCAAAGAGTTCGAAGCCCAGATGGCGAATTACACAAGAGCCAAGGACTTGGAAAACAAAACGGGCTTAAGGCCCTGCTTCGACATTTCAAAGGAGAAGAAAGTTGACTTCCCAGAATTGGTCTTCCAATTCAAAGGTGGTGCCAAGATGGAATTGCCATTGACGAATTATTTCTCTCTGGTTTCAAGCCCGGGCGTTGTGTGCTTGACCATTGTTACAGATGGGGTTGTAGGTCCAGGCGGTAATGGTGGACCTGCGATTATTTTGGGCAATTATCAGCAGCAGAATTTTCATGTGGAGTATGATTTGCAGCATGAGAGGTTTGGGTTTCGAAAACAGAGCTGTAAATAAAAGGTGCCCATTTTGCAGTTTTTTACTGTAGAGAAAATAAGAGGTGCACAAATTTACTGCGGTGACTTGACAACGATGACAAGAAATATTTGTGCAGATTTAAGCAAGGACAAATTAATTATGTTCTTTAGATTAGTGATGATTTATCACAATAGAGAAGAAGGGTAGTATAATTTACACAATTTGCAGAAGCGCTGCTGCATAAAGTGCTTTTTTTTTATATATATCAATGTTACATGTCACGTTTATGAGTCACATTTGGTATCTTTTTGCATAAAGTTCTCTGTATTAAACTTGCGTGCCACCTCACTTTTATATCCATGGAAACTTCCATCATGAGGTTTTATAGTATGTGACGTTTTTTAGATTACGCGAGGAGAGATATAGATACAAATAAGTCATATGACCGTTGCATCAAAATATTTCATCATGTGAATATATAGCTGATGTAAGAATCACCAAATACATTTCTTTTTGTTTTATACAAAACACTTAATTTTTAGAGCATCTCCAACCGATGTGTCAAACGTGTCACATAGATATTTAATAGCTAGAACTAACATCTCACATCACTCCAACCGATGTGTTAAAGTTTATGTGGAATGAAGGCTGGAGGTTGAGATGTTATTTTTGACATTCGAAAAGCAAGATGTCAAATGAATATATATATATATTTTTCTTTTTTTTTCTTTTGAATTAAAAATGAATCAACATTAAAATGTAATAAAATAATAATTTAATTTGACATATTGAGTGGAATGTAAAGTTGTATAAGATGTCAAATTGCCACATCAACTATCAAATTTAAATTTGATGTTCGGTATTTAACATCTCCCTCGGAGAAACATAATATTTAGTTTTTTTACTTCTAAGAAATCCTGATTGTGAAGGGCATAGAAGTACTTTGCAATTTAGTAAGAGAAAAAGTTACTCATTATTTTACCTTTTCCTCGGTGGAAACAAAGATATGCGCTTTTGTTGCTTTCGGTTAAATTACATATCAATTTGACTTCCATAATCAATTTGTACCTTCTCGCCAAACTTTCTTGTGACTATACTATCTGACCAACAAGGCAGCTCATTTACTCTAATCTATAGTTTCATGCACCTATGCTATTATATGCTATGTTTTTTTATTTTTTCATACAAGCGATCTTACGTGAAGGGGGATTCGAATTTGAGTGCAGAGTGGGGAGCACATCCACTCTAACCAACTTGGCTAAGTCCAAGTTTGCAATTATATACCACAGTCTAGTATTGCTATTTTCTATGTTAGAAGGCTAGGGCTCAAAATGTATTATATAATTTGCTTTATCAGTCAATATATTAATAGTACCTAACCTTGGTGGGTGCATGCATGGTATTGAATCTATTGATTAAAAGAAGAAGGCGCTATATAATTAAGTTGGCTAGACAAGTAGATTGGCACATGTTTGGTAGTTCCCTAGTTCACCGGCAAATGCAAACTTTTTTTCTCAACTCCACAGTTGGCAAATGGGTTGTCTTTATAGTTGAGAGTTTTAACATTAATCAGCACCGTCCAACACGTTTGTGAAACTCACATGTCACTAACCACATGAACACTATTTACCTTATTGTTGAGATGCATACAAAGCTTTTCAAGTGTGCCTTCAAGCATGTAACTAATGGTGAAACCGTAAAATCCTTAGTAAAATATTATCGTGTCAAATTGTACATAAGTAAATTATTCTTAAATTGTTATATTTTAATTCTGAATTATTGATCATGCTGATATTTTATTTGACTAGGTAGTTTAGATTTACAATCAGACAACTTAAGCATTTGTGTGACAAGAGAATAGGTCGTAATTGAAATTCAATTACAATCTCTATAAAAAAATTGTTGAACTTTTCCGTCCAACTTTATAACCTTTTCAACAGAAAATAGACATATGATGTAACATGTAACATATGCATACAGTTATACATTACACCTATAATTCATGTGCAAGCAATTGATGATATGAACCTATGAGGTCCCCAAAAATAACTAGGCCAGGGTGGAAAGCCTCTACTGTTCATTAGGGTTAGCTTAACTCATCAAAGAAGGAAACAGATACATTGATAACTAGGACCACACGTGGAATTAATTTGTTTGGCATATGAGGGGGTCATAGCTCATCTATTTCCCATCTACTGTGCTAAGTGTTGACAACTTTTTTACAATAACATTACAATTTCCCATGCGTTGGTTTGGTGGGTAGTCTTTTTCTCTCTGTTCTTTTTGGGCAATGGTGGGTGGTGTTTTTGTCAAGTGCTAATAAGAACAACACAAAACATGAATGGAGAGGTATGGCTGGCTGTTATGACTCACAGTTTTCCCAACAGTTGTACATAGATAAAGTTAGAAACGTAACCAACAAAGTTTAAAGGACAACGCAAATTTTAAGGCAAATGTATCATTTATCGCCTATGTATTTGTAAACACAAAATTTTTTGCGACAAATGAAACGAGAACATATCTATACAAAATAAATTTGTATATATGTCATGTTCTTTTTTAAAGAGATTGAATGTTGGCGTAGCAAATCAAATTGGAAGATGCTTAGGAACTTAACTTGATTGTCAAGGAGAGAATGTTGGGTGGGCATAGAGATGACCAATGTCGCAATTCTTGCTCCCATTTTCCACACGTAGAAAGTGAAAGAGTGAAAAATACTCATCACAAGTTCTGTTGAAAATAAGATGCTTACAATTTTGGACATGAGCATATTGCAACCCTAATATGGGAAATGGCCCTGCTTTCCACCAGAATACATTATTATTAATCAAGAAAATGTCCCATCCCCTACAGAAATATATATATCAAAGTGAAAGTCAGTCCTGTAAGTTGTGACAACACAAAATTTTTCCAATTTGTCCTGGACGATAAGTGATGTTGAAGATTGAAGACATGTGAGTGAGTATAATAAGAACAAAAGCAATGAGTCATGGGAGCACATGGATGTGGGAATTGGAACCTCAAGGCTTTTTTATATTTTATTTTTGGAATCTCTACTCACTTGGTCCTTATTAGCCAAAGAAAGTGTGGTGGCTTTAGTGCTTAATCCTGCTGGTGGACACTTTTCTTTTCTGACATGGAGGTGGAAGATTATTGATCCTCCAAATCTTCTTTAACTAATATGCCTCTCTCATTGGTCAACTATAATATGATGACCTGCATAATTAAAAACCAACTTTGGAAATTGGAGATGTTTTAGTTAAAAATGTCGAGCATGCATGCATGCATGCATTGTGGAGGTTTCACACGCATTGTCAAAGTGCTATGGAGATTCGAATATGAGACTATTGACCGGCAAATCAATACTTTTTTTTCATTGGGCTAGATACTGTTGACATTCAAAAGATTGACATTATGGTCATCAACGGTTCAGACACATCGAATAATATCCAACAAAGTAAATTCTTGTATATAATGGGAAAATTGTAGGGTACATGAGCACAATTTCCCAAAATTTTACATCTGTCTTACCCTCTTGATGTACAAAACAACAGCTTATGCCCCTTGTAATTTTGTCACATCGTACATTGGGACCCCAGATGCGAATTTTTAAAAATGGGGCCACGTATATATAGTAAAAGATATTTACAGGAATATTTTTGTTTTTGCCAAGATATACAGGAATATAATAGATTAGAAGTTGCCTGTAGGTACAAATTCATGGTATAAATTTAAATGTTGCCAACACCACAACTTGATTATACAAGACCATTAGCATACTTAAGCATAATTATTGTCCATGATAATAAGGTTGTTCCTCATTAAGCATAATTATAGTCCATGGAAAAAGAAGGTCGGAGTATGTTTTACACTCGCATGTTATCTACGAAGGAGATTATGAAAATTATGGCGAATGAAATGATCGTCAAGTTTTCTTTGACTTAATCAATTGATTGAGGCCTTTTTACCGCTAGTTTAATATTGTTTTGAACGACGATATTTTTAACTCATACGCTAAAACAATGGAACTAGATTTAGCATGATTATGTGATTGCTTGAGAAGTTCATTTTTGACTTCAAGAGCCATTTTTCAGTCCAAGTATAGACAAGTTGGACCAATTAGCTTTTAGACTTGTGAAACTTAGATTTTGTTTGGTATTCTACTCAAAAAAGTAAATTCAAAAATTATGATTCTTTTTAAAAACATGAGTTTTCAAATAGTGATTTTAAGATCTGAAAACTTGTTTAGTATTGAACTCAAAACTATTTTTAAGATCTAAAAATTTAAAATTAAAATTAGAAAATTAGAAACCCTTTATTCACAAATTGAAATTCCTAAATTGAAATTACAAAGGAAAATGAGAGAGGGAGGAGAGATAGAGACGAAGAGGGGGAGGAAGAGATAGAGATGAGAGAGAGAGAGAGAGAGAGAGAGAGAGAGAGAGAGAGAGAGAGAGAGAGAGAGAGAGAGAGAGAGAGAGAGAGAGTATAAACTCTTACTACTTTTTTTTTTGGTTGTGTTTTTAATAATGTGGGTGTTTTTGAGTTTTTCTTGGGTTTACCAAACAGGTTTTTGTGGCTTTGGACTTAAAATTGGTTTTTGAGTTTATAAAATTGAATCCAAATAGGATACCAAATCATTCGACCAAAAAAAAAAGTAGGATACTAAACATACCCTTATATTCTCAATGTTAAATAAATAAATAAAATCCCAAATTCAAATTCTACACTTTGGCTAACCTGCTTTTTTAAAAGCATCTCCAACCGATGTGTCAAAAGTGCCACATAGACATTTAACGGCTAGAAATAACATCTCACATCACTCAAATCGATGTGTCAAAGCTGATGTGGAATGAAGACTGGAGGTTAAAATGTTATTTTTGACATCCTAAAAGCAAGATGTCAAATGAATATTTTATTACTTTTCTTTTCTTTTTAATTACAAATAAATCAACACTAAAATGTAATAAAATAATAACTTAATTTGACACATCGGGTGAAGTGTAAAGCTGTGTAAGATATTAAATTGCCACATTAGCCATCAAATTTAAATTTAATGTTTGGTATTTGACATCTCTTTTGGAGATGTTGTACTCTTCCATAATAAATTTGGTTGCCCTCTTGACATAGCACTAGTTTTGGTCGCCTTTTCAGTTTTGTTGTTTATTCATGGGCTTGTGAAGTTTCAATCGGACTTCAATTCCACTATTTTCAATGATGAAGATGAAGAAAAAGAAAATATGGCGCACTATTTTTTTGAGGGAGCATTCATCTCAATGGGTTGGGGGCTAGCTTGGGCTAAAAATTAAGCAAGATCCATGTCAAACTCAGGCTAAAGCCCACTAAAATCGTTGGACAACAACAGTGCACCAGATCAGAGTTTTCCGCTGCAATATTTTGGGTCTTAAATTGGAAATTCTATGCATTTTGGGGGAAGCAATTTTCACACTCGCATTCTTTATGATGTCTTCTCCATTTGTTTGTATGCTTTTATTCTCGTACAAATTCATTCAAATAATAATACATATTGAGTTTGTTAATAATTGTAGATGTATTATAATTCAAGTAAATTCACACTATACGTGTGTCATGTACCAGTGTTATTGGGGAAATGTGAATCGAATATAAGACCTCGGATACATGGGTAAATGCTCTTAACCACTTGAATTATAAGCTCCTTGCTGTGTGTGTCCTCACGTTATTAATGAATTGATAATACAACTTGGACAATCTCTACAAATAAAAATATGGGTTTTGACCTAAACGGTCCCTAAACTTATGTTGAGTTTTATTTTGGCCTCTAACTAAATTTTTCACTTTACTGAGCCTCTAACTTTAACTTTTTTTTTTTTTTTTTTTTTTTTTTTTTTTTTTTTTTTTTCATAATTGGTTCCACCATCAAATTTGAGGTCATATTGAGAGGTAAAATCATCAATTTGGGCAATATAATTCTCTCAAATGAATGACCAACCCGGCTCTGAACATTTCCATCTGTAAGTCATTCCTCTCTATCCTAGTTCAACAAAGTCAAAGAAATTGGCATCAACCAAAGCTTAGGATTTCAATTTAGGGTAGAGAGTAACGACTTATGAAGGGAAATGTTCGTTATAGTGCTGGACTGATTGTTTGAGATGAGATTAGTTCCTAGAATGACAATTTTACCCCCGTAATTTGACTGCAAGTTTGACAATGGGATCAATTTGACACAAAAAAAAGAGTCAAGAACCAAAATAGAATTCGGAATTCGGTCACAACACCTATTTTTCATTCGTAGAGAATGTCCCCATGGTATTATCAATTCATTTAATAACGCATACAAATTATATTTGAATCAATTCGTAGTGAGTCGACATAATAAACTCCTCGGTGCGTTGCGTTGAGGACACTTATACTATTTTTAGCTTACAGTTGTAGACTCTCCAGGGGGGGACGTTGACAGGTAGTTGGGACAAAAATCAATCCGCCAATCCACCAAACAGCCAAAGCAACCAGAAGAAAACGCCCTTCTCCTTCCTCCCTTCCTTCAATTCGTACCAAAAGACACAAGACACAACGAACGCTCTTCGAGTTAGTCTTCAACCTCCGCTTCTGATCGCTCAACGCCATCATCATCACCGCCATGTGGCGCTCTCTGTGGCGCTCCATCGACCGGTTCTCTCTCCAGTACTTCAAGTAAGCTTCCTCCTTCCTCTCTATTTCCCATCAGTTAGGGTTTTACATGAATTTTTATACCAGTTCCCCTTTTAAACTAATTAATTGTAAGTAAAATTGCGCAATTGCAACAGAAATGGTCTAATTTGGCCTCTTTCAGTTGAACAATGCTCACTGAATTAAGGCTCCATGATGTTTTTCCCTCAATTTCCCCAAATGTGCTGAGCGAATGGCTTGTTGGGCTGGGGAATGGAGGACCTGAACAACATGGCGGGCAAATGGAGCTATTCTGAACGTGTATATTAATTTACATTTGAGGGTATAGAGGGTGGTAGTTGAATTTTAGTTCCTTGTCCACTTTCCGAAACCTGATTTTTGGAAATAAAGTGGAAATGTCTATATTGGACCGGACCATAGAATGAAATTTTTGTCATAGGACATAGTATATCATTGGTAGATTTGTTGTGCATTAACCAAGCAGTATGGTGTTGCTTGTACTTTTGGAAGAAAAAGGAAGAACAAGTAGAGATTTATAGGAGAGGGAACCGAGAGGGTAGAGAAGTCTTATGAAAAGCATGCACACACAATTTCCTTTGATTGGCATCATCACCATCATCATAATTTATTATTAATACTTAAAAATAAATAAATCTTGTTTATGGATATAGGTACGTAATCAATGAACTGCGGCAGATCAAAGTTGTGGACTGGCATAACAGGGTAACTTGTTTTGACTTTTCTATAATTTCATTTAATTTGATTTTGTAAACTATCAACCTTTTATTATATTATATTTTTACTTTAATTAATATGTCTCTCTCTCTCCCCCCTCCAACTCTCTACCAGGAATTAGTCATTGATTTACTACAGTCCATAGTGGAGCTAGTTACCTATGGTGATAGACAAGACCCACTGATTTTCGAGTATGAACTGTTTTTCATGGTAAACCTTCTCTATGGGTATGCTTTCCATTTTCTTGTTGGTATTCTAATTGTTATTTATAACTTATGTGCAGATATTTTATGGAGTACCAAGTTTTAGCAGAATTTGTTCGTGTGCTAAAGATCAGTAAAAATTCAAGAATTGAGGCACCGTTGCTTCAGTATCTGAGTATAATGATTCAAAACATGAATAGTGACCATTCAATTTGTAAGATGCTAAACGCACTACTCCTTCAATGTTTAGTTACAGAAGATTTTGGTATCTGCAGTCATGTTGGAATATCAGTTATTTGTCTTCACCAGTTTGTCTTTTTTTTCTTTTTATGTCATTTGGTTATTCTTATTGCTTGTACTTATTGGTGACGTTTTGATGGTTTCTGATGCAGACTATTGTTTTAGCAATGACTATATCAACAACATTATAGGACATAAGTTTGAATTTGGAGGAGATCTGGCCTTATATTATGTATCATTTTTGAGGTCTCTCTCTCTCTCTCTCTCTCTCTCTCTCTATATATATATATATATATATATATACCCACACACACTCTATATATATACCCACACACACACATACATATAAGGCTTAACATCTTTAACTGTTATTTGCTAAAATAATTGAACTAGTTTGAGTTTTTATCCTTGTGATGCAGTTTTAGCTTTATTTTTTCATTACTTGTGAAGTTTATACTTTTCTGATCCCTCTGCCTCTCTCTTATCAGAGCAGTGAGCAATAAATTAAACAAAGACACAGTTTGCCTTCTTCTGAAGGTCTATGGGGTAAGTTAAAGCTTATTGCGTAAGTTTTACTCACCATTCATGATTTATGCATTTTGAGTCGTAATAGTAACCTGCATATCAAGGGTGATAAATGTAAAGCATGGGAGTTTTATTAAATGTACATGGCTGATCAGCATGGCCCCTAATAAATTTTTATTTCTATGTCTCCCTTCAATTGCAGGATTCTGTAGTCTCGTTTCCCCTGTATAATGAGGCTCTCAAATTTGCCCACCATGGGGAAAAGATGATTCAGACAGCTATCCGTGCACTAACTCTCAGTATATATAATGGTAACGTGTTATTGGTTATCACTATTTTTCGAAGCTGCTAATAGAAGAGATGTAGCAAATTTTGGGTTGCAATTACATTTTTGGTAATATAATACAGTTTTTTGTTTTTTGTTGTGCAGTTAGTGATGATATGGTTTATCAATATATAACAACTCCTCCAGTCTCGAAGTATTTTTCAGACTTGGTTTCAAGCTTAAGCAATCAATTTTTTCATCTAGATGCCCTTGTCCATGCTACAGAGTATGTGTCTTTCAATTTTTTTAAAAATATTCTGGTAGTGATATGCATATTAAGGCTGAACTATTAAGTATTGATGCAGGATGCGTACAAATCAAAAGAGAAAAGAACTACTCTTGGAAACTGATAAGATTGTCGATGATCTGTATTACTTCAACGACATGCTTGGAGTTGGCCAGTCTCGTTTGAGTACAGTAGTCATTGAAAATCTTCTCAGAATATTAATCTTTCCCATATTACTCCCATTACTGCAGTTAGGGCAGAGCAATGTGAGATGTTCTTTCTCTTATTTGCTTCATTTTCATTCTTATCTACTTCATGAGAAACAATAATACTTTTGGTTGGTAGATATTCCTTTTGGAAAATTTAGAATTGAGTAAGTGTACATTAAATTTGGACAGTGTGGTTTATCTTATTAGGAGCAATCCAATAGGGTTGGTTGATTTTCATAATGTATGATTGGTATGGGGCTGTGTTTTGGTTTGGTTTTTACTAGATCAATTGATCTTCAACTGACTATTTCTAGGTTTTGGCAACCACTTGTAACAAATCGAAACCTGAAATCACATTTACTGATTACTGACTGATTATTACCAAAAACCTGAATTTTTATGTTTTTTTATGTAAATATGTATTAGCACTATATAATATAATATCTGATATTATATATGAGGTTTTCATTGGTGCCTTAATTTTTAAGTAGTACATTATATGATAACTCATATAATAGAAACCTCCACTTTGAAACTCCTAGCTAACTGGATCTGGTGGAAGAGCACAAATTTTAAAAAAGGAATTTTATTTATGACGTCTAGCTGTATGATGCATCAGTCTTTTTGAGATTGAATCTGTTGATCATTATACAATCATATATAACTATTTTCTTTTTAAGAATTTGATGTTATTGATTGGATTAATTTTGATCATCTGTTGAAGTACAGTAAGTTCCACACCTTGCTCACAACTGCCAATGGGTTGGATCAAAGATCTGATCCCATTCTGGTTTTTGCCAGATTAATGTTTTGTTACCTTACCTAAAGATGATCATTTAAATTTGTATCCAATTTTAAAGATTTTATCTGTAGTCCAATTACATTTAGAATTACGTAGATTATTCCCATTCAGATCTGGGTTTTGATTAAAAAGAATATAGTTATATATGATTGTATAATGATCAACAGATAATAAAAAACAGAAAATTAGAAACCACTTAACATATGAAAAATAGTAAAAATATCATGAAAAAAAAATGATCGAACCAGTGCCAGCTCAATCATTTTAGTTGCATTAGTTGTAGATCGAATTCATGATGATATACTTTTCCTATATGCTGTATTGATTCGGCATTTTATTTAATCTCCAGGGCTCAAATCTATCCGCAGTCACGTCTTTCTATACTGTTTCTCGTCTTCTTCAAGTCATTGGTGGAAAAGGCATGTTCAACTCTGTCGCTGGAGTTATTTTATATCCTTATATGACATCAAGTGTGAGAGATGCTATTGAAAGGGATTCAACTGAGAGCATTAGTCATGCTAAATCTATATTGAGTGAAATGGGAAAAGTAGTATCGTCTAGTCCTGAGACTGAAGGAGCAGAAAACAGTAGCCTCCCTAGAGATACTGCCTCTAATAAAAGGTTGTTCTGTTTCTCCATTTAATTTCATTCTTATAACTCTCTCAAAAGAAAAAAAGCAAGAAAAAAATGGAGAGAAAGAGAGCTTTGTTTCTTTCTTAAATTTTAGTTTTGGTGTGTTTATTGTTTTCCGCTCATTCAGCTGTATCTTACTATTAGGAAAGTAAAGTGATTAGGATCTATTCACTTCTAAATAAACTACTTTTACAGGTTAATTAATGTTTTTATTATAAAATGATGAGAATTATGAACTAAGGACATTCTAACTTATTATGAAATTTTTTTCCTGGTGCAGGAGTGGAATACTAGCACATGTTTTCTCTGACAATCCTAGTCTATCACTAGCATCACTATTCTTATTATTTATTTTGGCAGAAGCAAAAGGTACTAACTTAGAGTAGGCTGTTGTATAGATTTGAGATATAACTTCAATGCATCAGTCTATATAGCCTTTAAAAAAAATAAAAATGAGCATTTTCTATGTCCCAGTGTTGTTCATTCATATCTTTGATTTGTCTTTGCATTAATGCAGATCTTCATCCTTTACTAGCTCAAATGATTGGCTTAAATGGAATGCAAAATATGATTGTGAGTATTAAACTTCAATTTTTTTTTTTTATATACAAACTTATATTTTCTGTCAAGGGTTTCCTAACTATCAAATCATCTGTGCAGCTGGTAATAAGGGAGTAGTTTTTACTAATAAAAACTAGTTACCATATTACCTTTATGATTGTTTTTTTTTTGTTTGATTCTTAACCGTGCTTCAGTTGTTTGTGCGATTATATCAGGTGGTTGTAAAATAATTAGCCATTGAATTTATTACCATTAATATTATGATGCATATATGGTGATTTCATTGCTGTTAGCTTTTTTGTATCCTTAGGTATTTTTCTCTTTGGAGATCAATTTATGGTAGATAATATAATAGTGTTTTGAATACTAATAACATTATGAAGAGAGTCTAATATTTCATCCTTTCCTTTCTTGAGGTTACATGAAAAATATTTTATTCAAGTAGAAAACTACACAGCATTTATGTTTATCTGTGCCTTGAGGCTACGCCTCTTATTTTACAACAATCTCTCATATTTAATTTATATATCACTTGGAATCTTTTGAATGTTTTGGGTTTTCTAGTCTTGTATATGGATTTTTGAACATTCATGATACTTTCTTCCACTGTCTTGAGTTTGTAAATTGATTTACAAATTTTCATTTTTTATTTTCACAGGCAGTGGATGGAAATATCGGAAATCTTCTAGTGAAATATATGGATCAGGTATAGGGACTCTTTGAGAATTCTTTTCCACCTGTTGTTTGTATAAATAACATATCTCCATCTATCAGTCATTTTGGTCATAAAAATACACTGTTTAAAATTTGACCCTATGCATCCTAATTCAGTGTGGCTTTCAGTGTCGTGATGAACTGAATTTTCATTTTACAGATTTTAAATGCATTATTGAAGGTTTTAGCAAGTCAACCACCTTTCTCTATACTAATACAATGGCATACAGGGTGGTTCTTGCGGAAGCTATTGATTTTACAAGGAAAAGGGCTTGGTGATCATAATTTTGAGCTACTCAATGTAAGGATTTAACTGATTTGGTAGAATTTATTCTATATGTGCTCTCTTATTGAATTACATTATCAAAGGGTACTGGCATCAGAGATGCATACCAGAAAGAAATGGATAATCATTCTTGTTTGGTTATGATTTTCCCAAATTCTCCCTACCTTCATAGTTTGTTTCTGCTTTGTAAGACGGAAAACCATTAATGGTGCGTGTTCTATTAGAACTTTCGGTTCTTCTTTTCAGCTTCCATCAATGATTGTATTGATGGATGGAAGAACACTTGTATCTTTTTAGGTATAAGAACTTTTTTAGGAAGTTTACTTTGTCCATATTTTATTTACTCAAGGAGCAATTTGTTGAAGCTCCAAGTCTAAAGTTGCTAATACTTCGACATTACAAAACTTGAGGTTGAGATTTCTCCAGCCAGAGGAGAATTATGATGGATATTTGTGAAAATCCTCGAGAAGGACTAGTAATACATCACCCCTTACAGGGCGTAGCTTTGGTAGACCACACTGTATGGCGGGATTTTATATGTAGGTTTTGAAGTAGAAAGTTTGGTAGATGGTGAAGATTGGGTTATGGCTAAATAAGTCGTTTGGTCAAACATTCATAATTGCTGTAGGAACAGTTAGAAGACATATCATGACGAAAACTATCTTTGTGTTACTAAAGAGTTTGAAGAACACTATCTGACCTTTCTGAGGCAAGAGTAACAAGCCAGCTCTGAAGTGCACGTTTATTTTTCCATATGATCTTTTGTGTAATACATTGTATACCTGTCTCATACTTTCTAAAGTTTTATATTTTCTAGTTTTTGTGGACAGTCCTCATATCAGCAATCCCGTGAATGCCTTCAGAAAGAACTTGATGGATGCTGGTTTGATCATATCCCTGAGGTGTTAAGAAATGAATGGCCAAACTGTAAAGCAGGTACTTTTTTTTGTCTGCTGGGGGGTGGGGCTTAGTTGGTTCATGTTATGTTTATGCGTTGAGTATGCACTTTTAGAGGTAGTTAGTATATGCTCTATGTTTTATTTTAGGAATGGTGGTAGTTTAATATCATTGTTTCCAAAAAGTTGTGTTAAAGCCCTTAGGGTTAGCCCAAGAGGGTGGATGGGGGAAATGGGTTGGGATTAGACTAGGTCAAGGGTTTGATTCCCTTAGATTGTAACCAGAAAATTAAAACAGGTTAAACTTTTAGGATGTAGACTAACATTACTTTATATTTTAACATCTCGCCCCTCCTAATGCTTGGGTCAAAGGGATTTTGATATAAATTATGAGTTGCAATCACAAGGATTAGAACTCAAGATCTCATGCTCTTATTCCACAATAAGTTTTTGTGGTAGGCCAAAATTCAGTTTATACTCTTAACAAATCTCTCTCATGTGTGGGTTCTCCCACAATTGGAGAGCCCAACACGTGGAAATCATTACAAATTCAGAGGTTGAAATTGCTGGATTAAACTTAAGTAATATCATGCGAAGTTTAGGTGGTTTATCACTATTCCTAAAAGTTTTTGTTGTTAGGATGTTTTATATTCTTATATTGGCACCTGCTTCTCCCCGGAAAGGAAAAGCCATGATTTATTCTATATTCAGTTAATCTATTTTGGTGCTGCAAACAGCTCTCGAGGAATCATCACAATGCAAAGATCCTTTTTTTGTTCTAGAGCTTGATGATAGCCAACAAGCTACTGACGGTATAAAATTGTTTTATTTTTTGGTATTGATTAAGCCTTTTCTTTGTAGGATTGTATTTTTCCTATGTTGATGCTTCGTAAAGTATTTGGTTACCTGATAAGAGAATTAAATATTATATGCATATTGCAGGTGATGCAACTTCATACTTCGCTTGGAAAAGGATGGTTGAAACTGTGAAGGTAATCCTCATTCATTGTCCAATGATTGTTCAGATTCAAGTTTTATGTTGTAGAGCGGATGCCTTGCTGGTCGGTTATAAGCTGTTAAACACTGAAATTACTTTCAATTTCCAACATCTGAGTTTGATGTGGTAATCTTTCCAAGATGAATGTTACTTTGGTGGAGTGTTGGTGTCCATAACGGTCTAACATGCCTTGCTACTCTTAGTTTATGAGCTTTTGCATGCTTTAGTATCAGCTTCCAACGTAGAATGTGGTGTCAAAATCAACTCTTGCCAAATGCCCAAAGCCCAAGAAAAGTAAAAGAAAGTTGCCAGAATGGAATGTTATGTTGCGGGTGTGTTGGTATCCATAATTATGCAGAATATGTAGAAAAATGGAGTGAGTTCAGTATCCAGGAGTAGTAGATTCGACTGAGTTCAGTATATAATAGTGAACTGGGTTGATGTGTTTGGATTTGATACTTGTCAAAGCATGCCTTCTGTTGCCGTTTATGCTCGTACTAACTTCTCTGTTAAAGTCATGGGTGCACTATCTTATGAGTCATACACTGCATGTTACTCTAGACTTATCATGCATTATTTTCTTAGACTTCACAGTGAGCGCATGTATTTTGCATACATGTAGGTGTTCATTCTCCATCTTCAGCTTAAATCATGTATTTTCAAAGGAGAATTGCTTCAAGAACCCTTGCTGAATATGAGCAGCGCAATTGCTGATTCTAGTAAAACACATGCTTCAGACATTGCATCTGCAAGCTTTGGGTCAGAGGTTTCTTTAAGTGGGTATTCTTCTGTAAAAGTTGAATATTATCCAGGCTCTCTCTCTGTCTCTCTGTTTTTAAAATTATTTCACTTCCTACAACATTTTGCAGGATCTGGAATTCCATGTACAATTGCATTTTCCAATGCCGGAATCAGGGATATCTACCTGATACCTAAGGCACGGGAAACTACTGGAAAAGTGCTGCTTGCAGAGAAGCATCCTTTCCGTAGTCAACGAGGAGTAGTACTTGCTGTTGGACCATTGGCTGGATTGAATGTAAGTAAAATTGGTATATATTTGCTTCTATGCCTGGCCAAGTTTGGCTATATCAACTCAGAATTTTTTTTATTTTAGTAGCACAACAGGCCAATGAATCTGATTTAGTAATATGATACTTGTATTGATGAATTGTGTATGGTTAGGACCAGTGTTCTTGGCGGATGCTAGATCAGTGTCCAATTATTTATTGAAGACTTGTTCATAATACAGGCCTGAAGGAACTTGAAATTGCTTTGATTCTGGTCCTTAATATTTTACAAATTTAATTTGGTTTCTCACTTGAAACAGCCGAAGGTAGATGAGGACCATCCGACATGGTTGCATCTTCAGATAAGAGAGTTTGAACCAAAACTCCATAAAATTAAAGTTAGAGGCCATCAATCATCAGGGATGTCCAATCATGCGGCTGATGGGAGATGGACACTTGGTTTCTCAAATTCCAAAGCTTGCGAAGCAGCTCGATTGTCAATACTTGAGGAAATTAGGAAGCAGAGATCCTCTGTTGAGAGCATACTTGCTCCTCTACTGCAGGATAGTTATCCTGGAAATTTGTCAGAGACAGAGAGCCAAGATGAATGAAGTTTTTATTTGAGGGGTTGTAAGTTAGCTTGCCAACATTCTCAATTTAGTTGTTTTCGACTTTCCCTATGTTTTTTTCTCTTCCAAATTTTGTTGCTGTCACATTTAAGGGTGCTGTTCACAATATATAGGTTGTTTATAATAACAGACCACTGATCTCTAAATGTGCTAGCAATTAAGGGCTTCCTAATCTTATTTCTCAATAATACTGAGGTAGAAATGTTTCATATTGGACATATAGACTCATTGACTGAGTTTGTTCTTTTGAATTTCAATGCTCTTTGTAGTAGCAACACCTCAGATTAATCTCAGCTTTCACTTAATTTTGTTCCTCTTGTAATTGTTGATAGCGTAGTAGCATACGGTGCATTTAGAAAGACTAAAAGCGCTTCAATTCTGCACACCTACGACGAGAGTTAATTAATTTTAGTTTCGAAAATATATAAACCCGCCATATAATTGAGGGTTAATTAATTTAACTTTGCACGCTTGAAATGATAAAAGGCTTGGTCCAGTCGAGATGGTTACAGCTCCAGTATAGCATAGCAAACTCAAAAAATGTACATGTTTGGTGCAAATCAAATGCAGGAAAAGCCGTGCTTTTGGTGACCAGAACTCAACTGGCCACAACTTATCTGGTGCAAATTCAAGTGCAGCAAAAGCTAGGATCTCTTTGAATGCTGCACTTCAGTGCGGTCCTTCCTTGCTCTTTCACAGATTTAAAAAAAAGAAAGAAAGAAAAGAAACACAGATGAGCAACCTGCAGCTGAAGTACGTACTGGTACAAAAAAATCTGCAAATAGAAGCACGAGTGTTGATTATATATACATGTAGTTATATTATTTAGTGTGGTGAATGGTGAATATTGAATAATATGATGCCGCCTTTCGAAGTGTAAAAAATGAATGAAAGATTATATTAGATGATATAAGTTAATAATTAATCAGAACAATTTAGATAGCAATAGCATAAAAGTAATGAAAACTTTTGGGAAAAGTAGTGTGTGGTACGTAATTCCATCACCTTTACATTAACAAGGCTGTCATGTCAAAATTAGAGCAACTTTTTCTCATTTCTAACCTTTAAAGTCGACTGGCCGGCCAGGGCCTCCTTATTGCTCTATATATTTTTTTATTATTCACCATTTTCTTTCTACCATTCTCTCTCTCTCTCTAGATCTATGTGGTGTTTTGCTGCTCTCTTCTGTCTCTCTCTCTCTCCCTTGGATATTGCTTTCGTCCACATGGCCACGTATAGGCCAAAGATGCTCTTATTTGAAGCTTAAAAGCATAAAATGAGCGGCCCTTTTGAGTAGATAATGCCATATTTTACTTTTAATATGGCTTTATGAGAGAGTGCTTTACTTTAAGCAAAAGAGAGAAGAGCTCGAACAAGAAAATAAATAAATTAAATATTACAGCTCTCTAATGCATTGTGTTCCCATAACACATCAAAGCACTTGATAGTGAAAGAAGAGAAAAGATACACGAGACCCTAATATAACTTTCACTTTGACACAAATCTCATGGCGTCCATACACACATTAACAGGTAGCAGAGCAGTTATGGCCATGGCTTTTCTTTTTCTTTTCTTTAAACCAGGTTAACCGTTAGTACCAGTGTCTGGGAGAAGAGAGAGAGAGAGAGAGAGAGAGAGAGAAAAAAGAATGGGTTAGGGTGTTTTCTAAGTAATCGTAGATATTCCTCATCCCATTCAAACGCTCCTTTTCTAGCAATGCAGAGTGCTTTGTGTTCAAATTATTTGGTGGCTTTCTATGTCTTTTTAGGCCAACAAAGATAGAAGAACCTTTTTGACTGGGGGAATGAATGAGCTAGAATAAACAGTCGGGGAGTTTTGGATTATCTGGACCTGTATAAGCACTGTTTGGGTCCTACCTCCCATTTCATACAAACCCCATTACACATTTAATTCGCAGTTTTATAACATATGTATAATGTATATGTGATATAATTTCATTTTCTGAGAGAAAAAAGAAATTAATATATGCATTAGCACGTCAGACAGTTTGACAATATAAGATGCAATTTTATAGATCGATATAATTTTCGATTCTTCTTGTGCTTCCAATAAGAAACAATGTCATGTATGGTTACCTTAATCACTATCTTTCTCCAATATTAATTGCTAAATTGTTATCTATTTCATCCTTTGCGTAGATAACTTGTTTCAGAAGACTACTTTTTAAGGAGACAATAAAACTGATGAAGCTATTGTAGGCTCAGTAAAGATTGATATGTAATTAAATATGTATTAGTGGGGGGGAAGAAAAAAACATTGATTTGTTAACTTAAGGTAGAAGATGATTGAGGAATGAAAGAGCCAGGAGATCTCTCGTTTTTTGTGTAAGGATCTGTGTATGTATGTTTTGATTTTTATATGTATGTTATATTATTAGCTTAACACCCAGCTAAGGTGGTGACTAGTGTTTTAGCTCTCCTTTCTATGTTTTGTGCTATGGAATAAGACCACTAATCTGGCCACCAAGATTAGAGCTTACATAGCCCCCCCGCCCCAAACAAAAAAAAAAAAAAAAAAAAAAAAAAAAAAAAAAAAAAAAAAACCAAATGATTGAACCTGCTGAAGAAGAAGAAGAAGAGGAGAGGAAAGAGATTTTGTAATTTGGTTTTAGTCACCTAAGAAAATTTTAATTGGTTGTTAATTATAGTTCACTTTTTTTTCTTTAACTTTCAGTAGGGTTCTTGTTTGCTAACTTTTACAAGCGTCTCCATTGAATCGGAACACCGTCTTTAATTTAGGATTTTATCTTCAATTGCCTTTGTGTTTGGTTTAAAAAGCTATAATTAATTTATTACTAATTAATTAGTTTTGAAATAAAACACTCTATAATTACAATAGATTTCCATTTGTACACTCTAGTTATATATATATATATATATATATATATATATATATAAAGATGCGAAAATGGTATCGTTATAATTTGGCTTTTCTTTACACAGTGATTATATGTGTTTTCAAAGGGGGAAAAAACGAATTAAAGAAGGTCCAAAAGCTTCACTTTTATGTAATAAAGGAGAGGGAGAGAGGAAGGAATGTCTGGATTATTAATCCCCATGCATATGACTCTTCATGAATTTAAAGGCTGAAGCTCAGCTCAGCTCTTCTCATCTCATCTCATCTCATCTCATCGGCTAGCATTGTTGGTTTTGGTTGTATATCCATTATACTACAAATATATTATTTCTAACTAAAATGGTGGGAGCGAAAGCTTTAAGCTTTATTCCATGTCTTTGAGTCCGGAAGGAAATCGTACACAGTTCCCGATTCCTTGAGACATTTAGTCCCATTCTCTTTTCAGGGCCTCGGTTTTGGCGGATCCCATCTTACTTACATATTCTCTCTCTCTCTCTCTCTCTCTCTCTCTCTCTCTCTCTCTCTCTCTCTCTCTCTCTCATTGGTTAAATTATGCAGTACAGTACAAAAACCTATGACCTCATCATGCCTAAATATATATCAATAATGTTGGATTAATTACCGAATATATTTATCCTCGTGCGGCACCAATTTCTTAAGATGGAGATTAGTAACTAGAGTGATGTTACTATCAACGAGGAGAGGGGTTTCTAATGGAGAAAGTTTCTCACAACACAGTACGATATATATATATATATATATTTAGATTCTCTATATATATATATTTAGATTCTCTATTGCCGATTGGTTTTACATAGGGTATTTTGAATTCACATAAAAAGAATTACAAATTTAACATCTCTTCTACATTAGAAAAAGAATAACACTAACAAAAAACTGGATATATTATTCCAACATTGAAAAAAGAAATGCTGCTAAATTAAGAACTACTTGATGAAAACTTCATTTAGTTGTTATACTATAGCTAGCTTTATATCGAAAAAGAGAAAAAGGGGGGAGAAAAGTATACCATTGGCTGCAATTTGGTAATTAGATTATGCAGAAAAATATTATAATACACCAAAGATTTTCTGTATATTACTAGAAAAGGAGGTGTTTATTTCTAGGTTAGTACCATATGAGTAATTATTAATAATTAATTAAATCTTTTGCATAAAAAGAGAGAGACGCACTTCCGAATGAATTCCATATCTTTTATGAAATTTGCTGTGTGAGAAAGAATTAAAGAGAGAAGGCAAAGCTGAGTTGCCTTTGATACTGGTGCACAACATTAGAGTACTGCTTGTCAGCACATGCATTCCACTTTCCACTACAAAATCGACTTTGGACCCCAATTTTTACCTCACCCACAAGAAAAGCACCACCCCACCCTCCCATAAATTTCACACCCCCCTCTGCCCTTCACCCTCTCTTTGTAGGTTTCTCTCTCCAAACTCTCTCTCTCTCTCTCTCTCTCTCTCTCCACGACTATATCATCATGATCATCTAGATCCCTAGATAACAAACAATTCTCATACTACCACTACTACTACACTCCATATATAATTGATCTTAGCTACATATAGCTGAGTTCAAAATTCTCTCAGCCCCTCTCTCAAAACCCATCTTACTTCTCCCTTTCAACACTAAACTGATCACCAGGCCATGAACCCAAAATCTCAACAAGTTCTCCATCTACTAATTCACCGTCTAATTTGACCTCCTTTTTTCTTGTATATCAAAGCAAGCAATAGGAGATCACCAGAGTTGAAGATGAGGGCAGGAGGTTGCACACTTCAACAAGGTCTAACCACAGAGGCTGCAAATATAGTAAAGCAAGCAGTAACCCTAGCTAGGCAACGTGGCCATGCCCAAGTGACTCCTCTCCATGTTGCACACACCATGCTTTCCTCTTCAACTGGCCTATTGCGAACCGCTTGCCTTCAATCACACTCTCACCCTCTCCAATGCAAAGCCCTTGAGCTTTGCTTCAATGTTGCCCTCAACCGCCTCCCGGCCTCCAATTCTAGCCCCATGTTGGGCTCTCACCCCCAACAGTCTTCCATCTCCAACGCCTTGGTTGCTGCATTCAAGCGTGCTCAAGCTCACCAAAGGCGCGGTTCGATTGAGAACCAGCAGCAGCCCCTCCTAGCTGTGAAAATAGAGTTGGAGCAACTCATAATTTCCATCTTAGATGATCCAAGTGTTAGTAGAGTGATGAGAGAAGCTGGGTTTTCTAGTACCCAAGTGAAAAGCAATGTAGAACAAGCAGTTTCTTTAGAAATATGTAATTCCCAAACTCCTTCTGTGAGTAGCAAGCCCAAGGAAAACAATAGTCTCTTAGTAGTCAACCCTCATCAATTTCCGTCAATTGGTCAGAGTATTGGAGTCAAAGACGGAAAGCCAGTTAGAAGTGAGGATGTGACAAGTGTTATAGAGAATTTAGTGAAGAAGAGAAGGAAAAGTATTGTGGTTGTGGGAGAGTGTCTTGCTAGTATTGAGGGTGTGGTTAGAGGAGTGATGGATAAGGTTGAGAAGGGTGATGTAGTTGAGGCTTTGAGAGAGGTAAAATTTATAACCCTTACCCTGTCCTCTTTTGAACATCAGTCTAGAGTAGAGGTTGAACAGAAGCTTGGAGAGCTGAAGAGCACAGTGAGGAGCTGTGTGGCCAAAGGGGTTATTTTATTTGTGGGAGATCTCAAGTGGACAAGTGATTATAGGGCTAGTAGTTCAAGTGAGCAGGGAAGGGGGTATTATTGTCCTGTGGAGCACATGATCATGGAGCTTGGGAACTTGCTTTGCGGAATGAATGGAGATCATCAGAATGGGAGGCTGTGGCTTGTGGGGATGGCTACTTTCCAAACTTACATGAGATGCAAATCTGGCCATCCATCACTGGAGACTGTTTGGGGTATTCATCCGCTTACAATTCCCTCCGGCAGCCTCCGCTTGAGTCTTGTCACTGACAGGTACTGCAAATTACAAATTGATAAATTTTTGCTTACTCTTTTTCAAAAGTGTTGTATTTTTGGCACATCTCTTTTATCTGGAGGAAAATGTGCAAACAACTTACTAAGTAAGTTTTGGTTTTTTCTTTTCTTTTTCTTTTTGAAATTAATGAACCTCTCTAAGTTGCCATCCCACTTTTTCCTTTTCTTCCTTTTTAATTGGATGAGGAATATGGTGAACAATGACTTCAGCATTAATTCAGACTTCCCTTTCAAAATCACGTGAATTTAAAGTTCTTATCATCAACTTTACATCTATTTACAGTGACCTACAAAGTGAGTCTACAAGCAAGATAGCTGAAACTGGAACAAACAACAGGCAAGTGCTTGAAGGTGGAGGCAAGCAGCTCACTTGCTGCGCAGAATGTTCATCCAAGTTTGAAGCCGAAGCTCGAAGCCTACAAAGCAGCAGCTGCTGCAACAGTGAATCCACCACTTCAAGCCTTCCTGCATGGCTCCAACAGTACAAAAATGAGAACAAAGTGCCAAGCAGTACTAATGATCAGGTTCTAATTATAACACTTTCAGCTCCTAATAAACTTCATAATTACCTATGTATATATGGCCCAGCATTAATAGATGTACTCCAAAACTAACTTTTTCCTTGCAATTATCTTGTTTCCTCTTTTTTGGGTGCCAGAACTCTGTCCCAGTTTCAGACCTTTGCAAAAAGTGGAACTCTATTTGCAATTCAATGCACCAACAGCATTCCAATAATTCTTCTGAAAAAACCCTCACAATATTCTCTTCTCTCTCACCCTCTTCCTCCACTTCCAACTTTTCATATGAGCAGCAACAACAACCACAACACCCTAATTTGCACCATCATCATTCGTGGCGGCACCAACATTTCTGGATATCTGGATCTAATTGTAACAAGGCTGTTGATGATCAACCCAGTTTGAGAATGTACATTCCAGAGAATAATAGTCCCAAACAACCAATTTCATCAAATCCCAATTCTACCCCTACTTCAGCCTCATCCAGTGATATTGTCATGGAAACAGATCACTATGTGCAGAGGTTCAAGGAGCTCAACACCGAAAACCTCAAAACCCTATGCAGTGCATTGGAGACCAAAGTCCCATGGCAGAAGGATATAGTTCCTGAAATTGCAAGCACCATCTTGAAATGCAGGTCAGGCACGGTGAGAAGAAAAGGGAACAAGATGGGAAACTACAGTGATGTCACTAAAGAAGAAACATGGTTGTTCTTTCAAGGCATTGACATGGAAGCTAAACTGAAAGTTGCAAGGGAATTGGCCAGGCTTGTTTTCGGCTCCCAAACCAACCTCACTTCCATCGCACTAAGTAGTTTCTCATCGACTCGAGCAGATTCAACTGAGGATTGCAGGAACAAAAGATCTAGAGACGAGCAAAGCTGCAGCTATGTCGAAAGATTCGCGGAGGCAGTGTCTTTTAATCCCCACAGGGTGTTTTTAGTGGAGGACGTGGAGCAAGCAGACTACTGCTCACAAATGGGGTTTAAGAGAGCAATAGAACAAGGAAGGATAACGAATTCGAGTGGTGAAGAAGTAGGTCTTGGAGATGCTATCATCATTTTGAGCTGTGAAAGCTTCAGTTCGAGATCAAGAGCTTGCTCTCCTCCTATTAAGCAAAAGTTGTCACAGGGGTATCACGAAGAAGACAATAGGGATCTTGCTGCTTTAGAGCAAACAAGCCCTTGTGTGTCTTTGGATTTGAACATTTCATTTGATGATGGTGGCGTTGATGGTGATAGAACCGAGGATCAGTCGATCGATGACATCGGTCTTCTTGAATCTGTCGATAGACGGATTATTTTCAAAATTCAAGAATTGTGAGGGGAAGAAAAAGAGAAAAAAAGAAAAAGAAAATAGTTTCATAAGGTGGTTTTTTACTTTTCGAAGTGTCTTTTTTGCTTCTTTTGAAACTTTCTTTGGTTAGCATGTTCCTTTTAGATTCTTAGGGCTGGAAATTAAAAGATCTTCCTCTTTATGTAAAACATGTACATTATGATCCATGATTTTCCTGTAACAGATTGGTGGTTGGTTTAATTTATTTCCATAATATTTTCCTTTGTTCCGTAGGCATCTCTTCTTTCCTGGTTCATGCATGGAATCTGAGAGGACTACTAGTAGAGTTCTTGTGCATGTACCAAACAAGTGGAGTAGGATTTTAGTGTGGAATGTTCCAGCTTTCCACCGTCTATCACTAATTTTGTACTGTGTTTATGACTAGGATACCTAGTTTATTCCCGTTCGTTGAAATATTAGTCAATTATGGCAACAAGGGTTGAGAATAAGACGACCACTATATGATGGGAACTTTTTTTGTTTCTTTTTCTGGTACGATGAACATTCGAGAGGCTAATTCGGGTTTTATTAGATGTTGGGGACTGTAAGAATGAGTGCATCAAATGAATTCTCTCACATATCAGCCCCTAAAGTAACAGTAGGAAAAATAATTGGGTGAATTTATTTTTATACCTCGCAAAAAACTACTCTCCCCTTCCTCTGTCACTGTGGGAACACAGATTTTTGACGTCCAATCCGGCAACATCACGTGGAAAATGGGATTAGAATTATCTCATTTGGTCAAGGGTGTTAATTGCACTAAATTCCCTTGATCTCTCCACCCAATTATTTAAAGAAATGAATAATTCTCTTTTAAGAGAGCTAAGCTAAATTGGAGACACAAAGAAGGTAACTTCTTCCTAACCCTAAAAACCCTAACACAACACCAAGGGGCTCACGCTACTCTCTCTCTCTCTCTCTCTCTCTCGGAGTCTGCACCACCCTATCTCCTCGGAGAGAAAACTCCATCCTTTCAGTATTTTCTGCATCTCCCTGAGACAATTTTACTGGCTTAGGCATCAAAGGGCCCTTGGCCAACACCACACCGGTGTACTCTGATTGACCACCACTATTTTGCAAGGTTTGAGGAAGAGTTCATACAAGAGATGCAAAGACCTTCTCTGAATATTCTAGGGGAGGAAATTTTCACAAACAGTCATGGCTAGAAACAAGGCATCATCATCGAGGCGCTCATCATACCTCCTCCATGGTCAAAGAAAGCACCATGGGTGCCTCTCTAGTTAAACGAACAATGGTTAGCCTTAGAGTAGTGCAAGTGGTATCACCGCACATGGCCATGATGTTATAGAGCCTCTCAAATTACATCTATATTTTTTGTCTTTTTGAGTCATGATTTTATAAGTGTTTGCTATGAGAAGTGAAGGATAAGACGGATAATGGTCAAGGTTAGGGTGGGGTTTAAGTGGTATCATCATACATGGCCCTAATTTTATTGAGCCTCTTAAATTTACATCATATTTTTTTTGGGGTCTTTCTAAGTCTCAATTTTATAAGTGTGTTTGCTATGAGAAGTGAATGACAAGAAGAAAAATTGAAAATTAGGCTATAGAAAGGGGCTAATTTTGAGTATTTAGTGTCTTAATTTTAACTCTCGCAATGTGTAAGAATTCTAAAGAAGTTGGAATAAGAGTTGGCAAAATGAGACTGATCATTTTCTAATATTTTTTTGTGTCATTAGTGGTCGTTAAGGTTAAATTTTTTATATGTTCCAGGTACACCACCTGCCTGGTGTACCATCCAATACACATAGGCCATGTGGAATTATTCTCCAACTTATTGCATTGCTTTTTTTTATGACATGTAGCTGGCTGCACTGGAAATATTTTACATGTCCTATGTTTATTGGATGGTACACCAACCACGTGGTGTACCTGTAACACCTAAAATTACTACTTACTGTGAGCTTCGGTAATGAATTTCGTTAGTTTGCTTATGTGGCAGATATGTGGACCTCATATATGCAATAAAATAACGCCATATGGATTTTTATAAAATATATATGTATTCTAAAATATTTTAAAATTTAAAATGCTTTAAAAATTGAGTATTCATAATTAATAAAAGGGAGAAAGTAAGAAAAAAAATTAAACAAAAAAAATCTGTGAACATCTTAACCACTCGCCATTCTCAACCTACCTATCCCTCCTCCTCTTCTTCTGGAAAAAACCCAGCAATCACCATCATCACCATCACCATCACATCCAAACCCAACCTTCCACAATCTGCTCCATGAGTGTCTTGATAAGTTTTGGAGAGACAACATCTGGCTATGGTTTAGATGTCATGTTTTTCGTAGTTTAATTTCATAGATAGCATTTTTGTTTTATGAGAGAGAGAGAGAGAGAGAGAGAGAGAGAGAGAGAGAGAGAGAGAGAGAGAGAGAGAGAAGGGTTGGGGATGGGGTGGTGTTGGTGTAGGTGGCTTGATACAAGACATGATGTGTAAGTCTCACATTGGAGAATACAACAATAATCTATAGTTTAAATATAGGTGGTCCACTCCTATTTGCATCGAGGCTGTTTGTGATAAAACCTTATACCTAGAGGTCCATTGAGCCTTCTCTCTCCTACATTTTTTCAATCTTCATATTGGGCTCGTTGGCATAACAAGTGGTATCAGAGAATTGATTAGCCATCCTTTCACATTGCATTCTTTGTTCACTATCGGGTAAATGTTGGGTATGTCTGAGGAGGTTGTGGGAGATCGCCTTTGATATATCCCAACTTGTCTTTGTCGGAGATATATATCTCGACAATTTGGAACCATAAGGCATAGTCCGGGTCGGGGTCTTGGTAAGATCTGGAGTCAGGATTGAGTTTGTGGTCTGATTCTGCATCTTTAGGAACTGAGCTATTTGAGCAGTCAATTTGGCTAGGGTTAAGAAAGAGAAGCTAGGTCGATGGTGCTACCTCCATAAAGATTGAAAAAATCATTCTCCCCCATGGCGGCGGCTAGGGTTTGAAACTAGAGTAAGCAATCCCAAGATCGCTGTTCTGATACCATGCTAAAATATCAGAATATGAGATAATATGTTTGTCGAAATTTTCTGTGTATTCTTTTCCTTGTATGAGGAGTTCAATTTTCCTGTTACCATTTTCTTTGTGCCCACCATGTTCCTTTTTCTTTCTTTTTTTTTGTTAATATCTGTTCTCTCACTTAAGAGAACCCTAACTCTGTTAAGTCTATTGATTTTTATTAAAATTCAATAAAATAATATTTAAAAGCTGGTTTGTTCATCTTCTCTGTAATCCACCATACAACCACCCCAACTTCAGCGACAATAACCTCCGCCCCCACCGCCCAAGCTTCCCTTTCTCTCTCACTTTCTTTCTCATAAAATTGGCGAACAAAATCATGATTGTTGAACTCAGCTGAACCTAATCTCCACTTTGAGTGCATCATCAACTGTGAACCTTGCTTTCGCTTCCTCACCAAATTGAATTTTTTTCTCCAAAAAACCACATGCCCTTCGCCTCGATGAAGCTGGGAAATCTTGAAAGGCCTTTTCTTTTTCCATATTGAAAGATCTCTTTCAGTTCTTCAAAATTTCAGCCTTGGAACCTTTGTATCTTTGCCAGGTTTGTTTCCTCCCAAAACCATCACTTGATTCTCCTTAGATCATCTGAGAGAGAGAGAGAGAGAGAGAGAGAGAGAGAGAGAGAGGAGAGAGAGAGAGAGAGAGGTGTGGGTGGGTGGGATGGTTGTGGTGGTCGGCTGTTGGAGTTGGGTGGGTGGATGATTGCTCAAGGCCGCTGGGGTTTTGTTTTTATATATTTATATTTTAATATTTTTTAATTCAAGGGTAAGTTAACAAAGTTAGGTTAATGGTAAGTGAGAAGATAGGTGTCGCAAAAATAAGGGAGAAAGAGTAATGCTACACTTACCACATTAGTATCCCACATTTCTATACCACATGATGTGGCATGTCCATATCATATGACATATCAATTAAATGAATGAAGTGTACTTTAATAAATAAAATTAGAAAAACATAAACGAGTATTTTACATGATGTGGTATGTACACATCAACCGCCACATCATGTGGTATAAAATTGTGGTATAAAAAATGTGGTAAGACTAGTATTATTCTTCAAGTAAATCAATTACATTTAATGTAGGAATCCTTGATGTGCAAGGAAAGTCAACTTATACCACAAGTCACACCAACAATGGTTGAACAACTAGAATATTAATAAAATCCCTAAATGTGAATGATTTTAGGATTCAATTTAAATTAACGAGAGTGGCATGTTTTGTAGTCATGGGTAGGGGCAGATCCACAGAGGAGTATGGGTGGTCAATTGACCCCCGCAACCCTTGAATCCGCCACATGAGGAAAGAAAATTGACCCCTGCAAGGGCTAGATGGTTGGGCAATTCATGCCCGCCATCTGTTCGAGGAAATGCCTGAAAGGAACGCAGCACCTTCAATGCAGCAAGCAGCTCTGCATGCAGCGCGCTCCTTCAATATTTTTTCATCTTTTGCTTCACCTTGAAATGACACCGTTCGTTTAAATTTTTTTTTCTTTTAAAAACATATTTTAAAAAACAGGGGCAGCAACTTGCTACCCCACAATCCCCATACATTAGACAATTCATATGAAATATACTATTCTGTTTGCAATTTTTTTTCTTTTCCCAATCTTGCCTTTTCTCTTATTTTTCAGTTAATTTTTTTCTTTTTGTATATATATATATATATATATATTTTTTCTTTGTTCCTTTTGCTCTTTACTTTGTGTTTAGTTTTTATTTTCCATTTTTCTTTTTGCTTACACCATATGTGAACTCGGTAATGGCAAGGAGGTCTGATAAGATTGCAATAAAAGAGATCAATTTTTTCAATGCTCACTGTGCTGCTTCGGTAGCAAATGTAGGATTGCGTCTGCTAGTGAGAAACCAAGAGTGTGCGTGCCGCATTGACTGCTCAAGTCGCATCCTTGAAGGATGAAGTTGCCGAGTTGCATAGGCTCCTCAAACATGCAAACCGACATATAGAAGCACTAAAAAAGAAAAATTGAGACTTTGCTGAACTGGTAGTCTTACAAACTAGTGTATCAAGAAGAGACAAATAAGGATTTGAGATGAAGAGATGCAATTCTCTTTGATAATGAACATGAGTATTTTGTATTGTTTTATCTATTAAGTATGAATTAGAATATTATTGTTTCATTTCGATGGGTCTATTTTGTATAATTTTTTTTTAACCTTTTACACGTTGACCCCCGGAATGAAAATTCCTGGATCCGCCACTGGTCATGGGTAGATTTTTATTTGTGTTTAAATTCTAGATGGTTCAATATTTTGAATTTGGGCTTAATAAAACATGACCCACGAAAGCGAAGGACCCATTAATTTAGTGATTTGGAGCAATTGCTCTCATTGATAGTACATGTGAGTTTAATATATTATTATCATTCTCAATAAAAAAAAATCCTTAAAAAAATAAAAACATGACCCACGAAAAGTGCGTGGCTCAAACCACGCATTATTTTCCCCAACTTTAGCACATCCTCATCATGATGAGAAGTATCAAATATAGAGCATCTACCAGCTCTCTGTCTGAGATATAGCAACATGAACATTAAAGAATTCATGATGCCAAACATAACCTGCTTTGGACTTTATTCTACTTGGTCTTTTTTCATTGGCAAAGCAATTTAATTTGGTAACATGGAAACTTACTCCATCTATGCAGGTATCAATATATATGCCAACTGTTGCCACCCCTGTGCTTTTGAAAAATAAAAAAAAAAGGTTTCAGAATAACAGCGATTACTACCTTTAAATGTTTAAGGAAAGTTTGAGGGATTTAAAGGATGTGTGAATGTGTGGAAATCATTGAGTTAATACCAAAGCATTCAACAATAAATTCTAATAAGTTAGGAATCCTCGACTCGTCAACTATTAATTTCTCTGGTCCAATGAAAGAGATATTTTACAAAGGAGGCTAAGAGAAAGGAGATTCGAACTTTGAGCTTCATCGTAGAGGTAAATATTCACTCAACCACTAAAACTAAAACTCTCCACAACTCTCGCCCATATTTTTTTCACAACAATAACAAAGTGGTTTATGAGAAGAATAAGAGTATTGTGACCAATTGTAGTGTGGATCAACGATTCTAATAAAAGTGACACCCATTTATACCAAAGGGTTTTACCTCAGTTGAATATGTGATCTGCATCACAATATCACCAAAACAAACCCCAAAAAAAAAACAAAATTTTTTACAATCAAATACGAGAATCAAACCATTCAAAGATGCATCTTTGAGACTCAAATGTAAAGCCCAAGAAGATGAAATTGCAAGCAAAGAAAAATATGTATGGTGCCTTAAGATCAAGACAACCTTCAGAGATAAGTTTCACGTGAATCATGATATGTAACTTGCTAATAGAATTAGTCACCATCGTGTAAGATCCAGGAGGAAAAACTATTTTTTAAGGCAAGGCTAATTCCTTCCTCTTGTTTTCTTTTTTTGAGCAATTTTTCATGTGGGGTGTATCCAATGGTTGGCAACCAACCAAGTTGATGAATTAAAACATATATAGAATTAAAGAAAAAGAGTTGCACTAGTGCATTAAGATATATGAAAAAGGAATGTTGGGAACGCACAAAGTAAGATTAAGGAATGATTCATAACGTAAGGGTTGTGCAAAGGAGAAGCAACTTTTTCTACTTTGGAAGAGAAAATTAAAGTAAAATCTTCCCTAAGAGATATCAAAAGAGCACTACTTTTCATGCTTTGTGATTCGTTTTGTAAAAGAATAACTTTTCTTTCTTTGATTTTCGTAACCCCAACATTCTCATCTTTGGAAAGCATTGGAAAGTTGTGTTGGGAGGGTTCAAAATATGCAACTAAAACAAAAAGTTGAAAAATAAAAATAAAAATAAAAGGGAAAGGATTAAGAAAAACATAGATAAGCATCTCCTCTTTAAACCTCAAAGATGTTGCTACTTTAGAATCACCAAAAGATCATTATCTTCCCAACTTTAAATTAAAACCCTTAAGCATAAGTAGGGAATTTGTCGTTTATGGCTTTTCAAAAAGATTAGGGTTTTTTGAGACATATTGCATTATGCGGTGGACAAAAGAAGACTGGCTCTATGCCCTATGCCCTATGCCATCTCTCTCTCTCTCTCTCTCTCTCTCTCCTCTCTCTCTCTCTCTCTCTCTTGTTTTCAACCAAATCCAGCTTAATTAATATTTATTATATTCTCCTTTACTTTTCACCTATCTTTTGTTACTTTGTTCCCAACTTGAAAGGAAGAAGCCTCCATCTTAGACTGCCTTTTTTTTTTTCCCATTACATTTACCAGTTTCCAGTATCCATCTTTCATTTTTCTTCTTTACCCAACTTTGCTCCAAACACGTTTACTTTCTTTTTTGGTAACAACACATTTAGTTCCTTTGATTTTGTTGTCCATGACAAAAAATAAAGTGATGAGAACTGAGAATAAAGGGGGTTTCTATTTGAACCTTCAATAGAAACATCACTTTAAGAAGAATCTTGCTCGCCTTTCTCTAAATCCTCTGCCCCTTCACTCAATTTAATTGTCAATTATTGTAGTGTGTATAAGTTTAGTATTAACATCATAAATGAAGTATATAAAATCAAATTGGCTCATAATCTGGCAACTAATGTTCTTATTCAACAAATTAATTAATCCGGTTATCTGATGAATCCTTAAGCCTTAAGAAATATAATTAAGTTTGATTATATCACCTGGAATAAATTATATATTATTTTGAGCAATTATGTATCCTCATCTGGTGAATTAATTTGCTCTATGTGATGTGAACTAAGTCCTCAATCATTTACTTTTACGATCGCCTATATGATATCCATGTCATAAACACACTGAATTATTTTATTAAGATGTAAGTGTGTTAGGAATCTAATTTTCCCCTCAAAAGCAGGAAGCAAGATAAAGTAGTATCTTTAGTAAATAAACAAGTCCTAATTAATAGCAGAAAGTGGGTGTCCCTTTTGAAAAACAAAGTTGTTATCTTTTTCACTCCTTGTGGCTCTGGGTGCCTGCCATTTCTCACCCTTCCTTACTGGGCTAACTTTGATCACCTGTGCAATGCATCTTTTTTGTACGGCACACAAATGGTTCAACTTTTTTTCCACTGTTGGGAGAGAGTCTATATGAAAAGGGACCAAGTCAATAATATTGATTATGCATATGTGTCAATGTGTCATGCCACTGAAAAACACATGGATCGCATTTTGGGGTTCATTCCCTACACCAAGGACTAGGCCAATTTCAGGATCATATTGATTTGAATAATTTGACTGCAAAAGATGCACCAAAATGCCTTTCTCATTTGCTAGATTGCATGCCATTTGCGTGATATTCAATTGCTGAGAATTATGTATTTATCTCTCTCATTACGTGACCTAACAGTAGATCACGTGATAAATAAAACATTACTGTAGTATATTAGAGGGTTTAGCTTTCTTTGCCTGCCACAAGTATTCTCAATGGCTTACTATTTTTGTGTAAACGACGTCAAGCATAAATATTGTTACTGTGGCTGCCAACTCACTGGTAACTTGCGCAACCATAGTGAACATAAAGCTGTCAAATGTAGTGCAACAGAAAAATTAAACATCGGTATTAGAAATGGTTCATGGGTCTGAGAAAGAGAGAAGTACAGTACTTATGTGACACGACACTGTGTAAGGGCCCAGGCTTTGATTGGGACGAGACTGAATGAATTCAGTTCAAATGTTTGTGTTTTTATATATATTTTTCTTATGGAATCCTATTTATTTCTCAGTTAATATGAGCCAAATATATACAATTTTAAGTCTCCCTTGGCTTGAGGGTTAACAGCTTGAATAGTCTGACGTGCATGTTAATTTCATGCACAGCTTATGAAAGAATATGAAGGTTTCACGTATTAGGGAGGCCCAAACATTGCGATGATTGGTTGTTTTTTTTTGTGTGGGTTGAATTAAGGTTTATGTGGGCCTGCGCGCAAGCTTATTATCCTTACGCTTGGGTGTAAACCTTGACCCTCTGGCCCCGACTTGCATGCCAATTGGCGTTTCTGAATATTAGTCGACAATTTCACAGAACACATGACAATATCTTAGTCATTAAAAGTGAGTGTGTTCTAAAGGTAATTACAATTCTTATTGAGGAGAATGATAGAGTCAGTTGCACATGATTGATTTTTTCAAAATCTACGGTCGAAACTCACCCACGAACCTTAATAGAAACCCTCTTTTTATCAAAGCAAAGTTGTCATGCTTACTTGTCCAATCATCTCCTTACATACTCGATGATCAAAAAGAAACTGAGACCTTAAAGATTGATGGATGGTGTTTATATTATTCAAATTCATTGTCACAGATCTTACACAAATTTGTAAAGTGGTGCATCACTAAAGGGCCTACTGAGAGAGCCTAATAAACTTCAGTTTTTAAGCCTTGTGGGATAAGAGACATACTGATTAAGGCACATCCTTTTTAGCTTTACTGGAGCCAATAAAGTTTTATACCTTACTTTAAGAGCCAATATGTTTCATTTACTTAAGGAAACCTTTTTGTAATTACCATAAGATAAATACTGCCTTGTTGAGAGAGTATCCCATATTGGAGAATGAAAACTTGTATTATAGTACTCAAAAGACGTTGAACATCTCGATCCTTTATTAATTAATTTTGAGTTGAATTGTCAAGTTCTAACATAACTCTATTGTTTATTCTTCAAAACTTTGACCTATATAACACTAACCAAAGACACAATATATATGGTAAATTAGGGATTCTATTTCCCTTCATGCACCTTCAACTTTATTAAATTTGAAGGGTGTACTATATGTCTTTAATTAGCAGACAATTTATGTACCAAGTAGAGGCTTGATTTTGAAAAACCAAAGACAAGCTACAAGTGACACAATAAGGTCCCTCCAAGACTGTTACATGAGACCCACAAAAAGAGAAAGACCGTTGTTGGCATCTAGAAAAGACAAAGGGAGCTAAGCATGGAGACAAAGTTTCCACAGACAGCTTGAGAAGTGAGAGGGCTTTCGCAGACTTTAAGAAAAGGGGAGTTGAAGCTATCAGAGGCCTCTTTTCCATAAGGTCACTGTCTTTGTTCCAATTCCAATTCCTCTTTTCTTTCTCTTCTGAGTGAATATTTTTGCATGAAAGTAAGGGAAATCTCGGATCCAAAAGACCCTCAATCTATACATAGATATAGATGTTATAGATCAGGGACCAATATGTATCTGTAGTCATTGTATTGATCATCACTCACTCTGTGTGTGCTTTTGTGCTTTTTTTTTGGGTTTTATCATTTGAAAGTGATGAGATTGAGGGATCCAAGGAGAAGGGGTACTTTCATGTGCTGCTGTTTCTTTCTGTTATGGTGAAGAAAGGAAGGGGGGGCTACCACTCCCACCATGACCAATTGACCATGTTGTTTTATTTATGTAGTTTTTAGGGTTTTTATTTTCTGTTCTTGTTTTTGGTGGGGTGGTCTTTGATGGAGAACTTGGTCAAAAAGAGATGGGGGCAAGCACACGCGAATAAACCAGAGAATGTGGGTGATGATTAGATTTTGGAGATGATGAATGATGATGCTTTTGATGATTGTTCGGTCGTTTTCCAAAAGCATATACACTTCTTACACATACACATATACACATGTAGTACTACCTTGCACTTTCACTAAGCTTACTGTTCTTATACATATATAGACTATAGCACACTCTGATTTTGAAAACTCAAATTATTGATTTTCCTTCCAAAATATATTTATAGCCAATCAAATCTTATAAAACAAGAGATTCAATTATTTATTTACCAAACAAATAATAATTTTTGAGTATAAGCGATAGTCTAAACTAGAGGGGATGTATGATTTCTCTATCTCAAACACACAAATGATGTCATGGGTGTTCGAATCCGAAACCTCTTGTCTGTAAGTCAAAGTCCTTTTTCATTGAGCTAGACTCCGTTCGCCCAAACAAACAAATAATAATAAGAGAAATAATTGTGTCCTCTTATCCTTTTATCTTCTATGATTTATATTTTACTTGAAGAAAATAATAATGTCGGTTGCCTTCAAGCACTGTTGTTGATGATGTGAACTGTTCCCATTCAATTGCATTGGAATGAAGTAGGCCCAAGATGATGGGCTAACAACCTCTTACAAAGTTAGCATGAAAAAGCTGAACAAAATATTTGTGAGCAATTGGGTTCGATTGAATAAAGATCAGGTTGCTAATTTGTTGTCTGGTTCAATCAGCCCAAGTACAGCTCTCCAGCAAACTCCAGTCATCAATTGAAATGTAAAGGCCCAAGTGGTTATTTCTCACACCAATTGCTGAGATACTTCTAAAGGATCTCCACCGAAGAAGCAAATTTTGCAAGGTGATTTTAGTTTAAGTGATTAAGAACATGTCTAGCGCGAACCCGTTTGCTAGGGAAGGAGGCCCGTTTGCTTGGTTTTGGACCTCCAGCGCAGAAGATGCAGCCCGAGCAAGCCCTGGGTCCCACTAGGCTGGGCAAGCCCAAGGACAGATCTTGCCTGGGCTTCAGCCCGAAGGCGCTGACGTCAGCGGTGATGTCATGCTGACGTTAGTGAGCAAAAAAAATTCAAAAAAATGGAAAAAAAATTTCAATTATTTTTTTTAATTTAAAAAAAAAAAAAAAAAAAAAAAAAAAAAAAAAAAAAAAAAAATGATTTTCCCTATAAATACATAACAAGTTTATATTTTGTTGCATATTCTTTTTTTTTTCTTGCCCTTGCCCTAGCCTTTTGGGGTGGAACCAAAGAAGGCAAGGCTGTCACTATTCACTTGAATAGTAACAGCCCTTGTCTTGCCTTTGCCTTAGCCTAGCCTTTTGGGGTGGACATGCTCTAAGAGCATTTACAATGGGCTCTCTAAATTACCTCATTAGATAAATTTTTGGGAGGGATTGTAAAAATACAACTCCAACTATACTCCATATCTACCTCCTAAAATAGGAAGACCTCTAGGAGCTCCTAAATCTGAGGAGAGAGAAAGGACTCCTAATGGCTTCCTATAATTTAATGCTGCTTTATTTAATGAGTATTTCAAACCTTTATTTAATATAAACTTTAAAAAAAAAAATATTTTATCATAGAGATGGACCAATCAAAAAAGAATTATAGCATTTATGACTCCATAAACTAGAGAGTATGATTGAAGTTTAAATTTTATAGAGAGCTCCTAAAATAACTTTTATATGTTTTTAGCTAAAATTTAACTAAAAAATAGAGAGCATAATTGTGAATGTTCTAAGAACAATTATCTTTGCATCCGAGATTCTAGATTCGACACCTCCATCCTCCAATATTGTTTAAAAACAAAAAACAAATTTTGCTCTTCAAATTCTACTTGCTTATCTATATTAAAGAGCTAAAGTTCTAGGACCTTTGGCATCCCAAAAAACGTGAAGTCGCGGCCTTTTAGGCGTCTGCACCACATCATAAATGGTAGTAAATTACAAAACACCAGATAAGCCCCCCCACTCAACTGCCAAAATTAATTCAAACTTCAATGCAAAGTCCAACTCAGCACTCCTTCGACTCCCACGCCATCACACATTTCCTTGCTCGGATCCTGTCCACATTTCTTCTTCTTCACCCCACCCACCCACATTTCCAAGAAAAAACATCGTTTTCCTTCACGCCTAGCTCACACTCACTCTCTTTTTTACAAAACCTTTATCCATTCATCCACCGGCAACCTGCTAAACCATACTTCCTTCCATCCTCTTCAAACCCATTTCTTCGCTTTACCTTCTCTGTAAACAACCGGTTGCCGGTCAACCACCCGTTAACTTAAAACACTGAAAAAACCCAGAGAGTCATTTACACAAACAACTTGCAGACATTAAGTTTTACGCAGAGACACATGAATGGTGGTCTTAGCAAGCTCGGGACTGCTCTCACTGTAGTGTTTGCGGCCATTCTCGCAGCCCTAGCAGCCCAGCTCTTCTTCCTCCTCTGGCGCCGGCGGAAGTCTCAGTCTCAGACCCGGATCGGGCCCCACGTAAACCCGCCTCACTCACAGCACCACAGCAGCGTCGACGTTGACGTGGACGAAGTGTTCAAGTGGCAGCAGGCACTGTACGGCGTGTCGTCAAGGGTTTTGTTCACGATCGAGGAGGAGGAGGAGAGAAGGGTGCTGGACTCCTCCGAGACGACGACGCACTCGTCGTGCGCGGAGAAAGAGGTGAAGACGGCGACGACGGTGGTGCTGGACGTAGCTGTGACGGTGATGAGTGTAGAGGTGGACGACGGGCCGACGCCGTTTTTGACTCCTTGTGCTTCGCCGCCGTACTATACTCCGTCGCCTTCTCCCGGTCGTGAGACTTGTAGCGTGTGATAAAGAAGCTCGATTTAATTCGTGGGGCTGGGTAGAGTCCTGGGCTTGGGTTGTTGTCGGGTCAAGCGATGATCTGGACAGGAGATGATATTTCCATGTGATGTTAGCAAAGCACAGTATTGGACGATGGTGTTTTACTGGTTTTTAATTTTTTTAATTTTTAATTATTAATTTTGGGGCAACCGGTAGCATTATGTTTTGGGTTTAAATAAATGCGGTTGCATGGCAAGTGTAGCGGTTTAGGTGATCATTGATTGCTGATGCTTTTTAGTACAAAAATGGATGGAAAGCAAAAGTATGCAACTCTGTATATGCATTATTTAAGCAATGAAAAGACTTCGGTGTAAATACCTCTAGTTTTGCTGTAATCTCAATCAAAATATTCAAATTTTTTGGCATGTACAAAACAGGAGTGAGAAAATCAGCTTCTTCAGTTATAACACATGAATTACTTGCTCTATGTGACAGAGCTACGAAGACGAACAAAAAGCTTTCCCATTAATAGCATAGTAAACTATATATTTGTTGTTTCTGAAGCAAATGGACTTGTATGTTAAAATATGAATATGGTTTGAATATTTTTGGATGATTTTATTCTTCTCAGTAAGGAGATATATAGTACTTTACATATGTGCTTTACAAGGAATAAGATATATGAATTAAATTGAAGAATATCTCCCTAATAATACAGGAATTGTCAACTATACCCAAAAAAAAAAAATCTCATTGATTTGTTAAGTTAACTCAAGTGAACACTCCTCCTAAAGTTGGTGCATGCATGTCACTAATACCCATCTTGATAAGTGAGTTGTGAAACACTCGTCTGGAGATAGCCTTAATCAAGACATCCGCTAATTGATCTTCTGATTTCACAAGGGGTAGGTAGATGATTTTGTTCTCAATTTTTTCTTTGATGAAATATTCATCCATCTCAACATGTTTAGGAAATTTATAGCTGAAGAAGTTGTGAGTGATTAATTTGATGAAAATGTGACTTCTCTTTGAAATAGATTTTAATTAAGTGTTCCTAAATACCATATTTACTCTTTCGGCTAAGTTTATTTTGCATTTTGGGCCTAGTCATAGTTTGATTTGAGCAAGATTGAAGAACAATGATTTGGGCTTTTCCCACCGCATGGTTGGATATAGGATAAAATGGGTGGTCTTATTTCCTGCATTTTTGTTCCACCCTCATGAATAGTTTGGGTTCCGGGTGTGGGCAACCAGGGGTATTTGGGCTCATCCCTTGCTCAGTAGCGTTGGGTTTAGATGTTTAGTGCTTGCTTAGTTTTAAGAACATATTGTCGCAAATGAGGTCTAGCCCAATAGAAAAATGTATTGATTTGCATACTAGTGGTCTAAAGCTCGAACCCTCATAACAAAATGGTAATGTGTGTGTGTGAAAAGCCCCATGTCCCCCTCTTCCCCCTTGTAGTTTAGTCTATCACTTATATGTATTAAAAAGGAACATATTGTCATGTCACCCTCAAAATCATTTGGTCACTAAAATAAAAAACAAAAAAATAGAAAACTTAGCTAACTTTAGTATTATTTCCTTAAGGTACAAGCATGTAATGTGTACATTATTATACCCTTCATTTCAACATCAATATCACCATCTTCTGATTTATTTTGTCTTTTGAGGAGAAGGTTTCACTATTTTTATGTTCCCCCAATGCTGCTTAACACTTGATATTTTCACATACATATGATGCCATGCATTGGCGGACCCAATGAAGGACAACTGTGGGCACTTGCCCACACTTACAAAAACATTTTAGCCATATAATCCCACCCAAACTCACATTTTTTAAAATTATTTGTAGGTCCTTCTTAGGTGGAGCCCCCACATGGCCCATCCAATACATACACTTTAAGCCCAAAGCTTATATTAAAAATGAAAAACCCTATGTTATAAAAGAAGAATAGAGATCCCACCAAGTTCACTCATTCTGTAATTTGGTGGAGAACTATTTATGATAGTTATGGAAAAAGATTTTAAAAGAAAATCTGAGTTGGAATTGTCACGACCTATTGGGAGAAGTGATGATAGTTCAAAGCAAAGTCGCATAGAAATCAATATGTCATATCTTCATTCTGATTCTGGTTTACGAACTCGGATTTTAGATTACAATCTGAATATTCGAGATGAAATTAGAAGAGCTTACTTACAAAAAGGCCTTGTTAGCCTAGAAATCATGATTTTCCTATAAACAAAAATTAGAAAAGAGTCAAGACAATTCAACCCAGCATGGTTTGGTGAATTCCCTTATTGGTTGGAATATAGCATCAAAGAAGATGTTGTATTTTGCTTAGGTTGTTATATTTTTAAAACAAAATTGGGAGAGAAAGCTTGAGGTGACTCATTTGTTGGTACAAGTTTTTTGAATTGGAAGAAAAATGAAAGATTTTAAGTTCATGTTGGAGGTCCCAACAGTTCCCATAACCAAGCTCTAAAAACATGTCAAGCCTTAATGAATGAAAAACAACATATTAATTGAAAATGTTTTCCATAAGCACTCACATAATGAATGATTGCTTGGTAGTATATCTTGAAAAAGACATATTTAATAGTATTGATAATGAGCTTATTATGCAATGTTTTCAGAATATGAAAAGTCTTCAAGGACAATTGTAAATTTACTTATTGGACAATGCTATTAATATACTGAGTTAGAAATATTTTTTGTTTAGCTATATATCTGTTGGATTTTGTTTAAGCCCCCAGATGAACGAAAGTCTAAGTCGGCAATTGATGCCATGGAGGATCAAAACACAGACCAATAGCATGTATGCCAACAACTCTACCACTGAGCTAAGGCCACATTGGCTAACACTTTGTTTTATTTATTTATATTGAACCAAACAATGTGACATAGAGGCAAGTTGACCAATATGAATGTGATAGCAGCAGAAAATTGTTCTTCAATATTCAATAAGGAGGGTGAAGATTTCAAACGGCTTTTCACATTCTTTGCCAGTTACTACACGTTATTGCCGTTGAAGGAGTCACCAATTACAACTGTTCTGAAAAGTGAGTGATTAGTTAGCCACCAAACCACGTTACGGAGTTGTAATTAAGCAACGTCGCCAATGACACTATATAAATTTACACTAATACCTCTTAAGGTTTTTTGTGTTTTCAAAAGATTTCTTCAGGTCTTAAAAATTACACAAACACCCCTGATGTTTCAGTTTGTTTTCACAACATCCCTTTTCGTTGATTATTTGTCCAAAAATTGATGATTTCATTGAAAAAAAAAACTTATTCAAATTACAAAATTAACCTTCATGAAGTATATGCAATCTAATATCAAAGGCCAACTTTGTCATTTGGAGAATTTTTTTTGTATAACATCATCAATTTTTAGATGAAAAATCAATAAAAATGAGTTTTGTGAAAACAATTTAAAACCTCATAGGGTGTTCGTGTAATTTCTAAAATCTCAAGGGATTTTATGAAAATGTTGAAAACCTCAGGAGGTAAGTAGTATAAATAACTCTAGTCTGAAAACCTCAAGTTGTATGTTAATTAATTATGAAGAGCCTACATATGGCCTGTACATATTATTTAAGATTCAAATCTTTGTTTCATTATGTTAAATTTATAAGTTGATCCTTGATTACATTGATATTTTGGGCTTAAAAAACAATTAGAAAAAAAATTCCCATGTGAATATTATAATTATAAGTTTGTAAATCAATCCCATTGTCCAATCCGGTCCTTGAAGACAGAAAGGTAAGGAGCATCTTTTTTTTCAGTACAAACAAGGAGGAGTCTTACTGTGTTGGATCCACAATGTATTGTCTTCTCTTCCAGCAAAACTAGCCCATGTGACCAAAGAGACAGCTGACGTGAGAGCGAATGTGAGTGAATGGTTGGTATTCCCTCAAATTAGTCAATGCAGGCCATCCCCAATTGAAGTGGTCCTTTTATTATCTTTTTCTGAAGGCATCAATTTTATAAGCATCATAGAAAGCAAAAGGCGAACTACTAAAAACACTATTTTATTTATGAACATGCGTAACGTAAGTAGGTATCAAAACCCACAAAAGAAATCATATATCTCAGTAGTGTATAATCTAAGACTGGATCAACACAAACACAAAAACAAAAAAACAAAAGAATAGTAAAAAAAATAATGTAAGACTGGATCAACAAGAAGACATATGAAGTGGTAAGATGTGGAGCTCAGATTGATTTGAAGTAATCAACGTCACACTTGGTAGTCTCGAAAGTGCCAACTGATGAGCTTCCATTCTGAGTCAATGGAACCTTCAACCCGCATTTAATCCTGGGCTTGAACTTGCCGGTCTTGATCAATCCGAGCTTGAATCGAACCCGAAGGTAAAGCTTGACGTCGATCTCGTAAAGCCCACTATTCTTCTGCTCATTGTACTCGGAGAGCACTTTCGTGTCTGGGATCACCTGCTGGCCCTGGAACACCAGGTTCACCACGTTCGTTTTCTTGTGCCCTTGGTAAAAGGGCGTCGTCGAGGTGTTCGTGCTGAACCTCTGGTCCTCGTAGATGGCCCTGGCCTCGATGCGGTCGTAGTAGACCCCGATCTTCTTGTTGGGGTTGCGGATGGTGAGGTCGATGGCGAGGTTGTAGTGGAGGGTGTTGTCATTGGAGAAGTTGAATTGGGTGAGGTGGGCCTCGGTGACGTGGAACTTGATGCGGTTGGGGCGGACTATGAGCCAGAAGATGAAAAAGGCCAGGCCCACTATGACGACGGCGGTCATAATGAGCTTGAAAATAAGGCCGAAGATGCAGCTGCAGCAGCAGCCGAGAGGGTCGCTGCCACGGCCAGGGCGGTGGTAGGCTTGGGATTTGGGTGGGATTGAGGGGCCGTAGTAGGCCCCGTTCAAATGAGCTTGTTTCTCGGACATGGCTGAGAGAATTGATAAAAGATCAAATTATGACTATAAGCAAAAGGGTAGAGAGAGAGAGTAAAGAATGAGAGATGGAGAAGGTGAAGTGTGGTATATATAAGGGGGGAATATGGGTGGGATTAGGAATCTTGGTGTGCTTCGTGTGTATTTTGTATGATAAGGGAAGAATGCGGCAAGGCCGCGTGGGGGGTGGGATAAGAAAATGAAAAACGCGGTTGCTTTAGAATTTAGAAGGTCGGATTTAGAAGTGGGAAGGGGGGTGTGTTTAGTGTTTTTGTGAGGAAGTCTTTTTCGAGAGACTTAATACTCAGCGTGTGGGATGGGGATGGGGTGATTTGAAGCGTCCTTAGGCAGGTGGTTCCTGGTAGCTTCCGTTGGCCTTGCTTGACTTTTGCCTCCCTCTGTTTCTTCCGTACTTCAATTTCATAATCATAATTATAGCCCAAAAGGACAAAGAGGTTACAAAAGTTAATACCTCCACCGAACCAAATCTTAAATATAAAAACTAATACCAAACCAAATTTTGAAAGGATAAAAAAAAGAACCCAATCACTTCAATTCTAAATATTTATTCATTAGAATTTGGGTTCGTATTCCTCAATCACGGATGCAAAATTAATTTCTCTTAACCACTTGAACGATGATTTCACTGGCCGACTTTTTTGTCATATGTAATGGTAAATACATTTTTGAACAAAGAGATCAAATAACAATATTTTGTTAACCATGTTGACATTTTCATGAAGCTAATTTTGATGAACAAGGCCAGAAAGAAAAAAGAAGCTTAAACTAGGGGTGGGCATTGGAACCGCAAAACCGTAAAACCGAACCAAACCAATCCGGAAAAAACCGAAAAAAACCGTGTTGACCGAAAAAGTCAAAAACCGAGAAAAATCCAAACCGAACCGGTTCAGACCGGTTCCGGTTCCGGTTTTCCACCCTTAGGAACCGGTCCAATCCGAACCGGTCCAATAAAATTAATATATATATTTTTATATTATATTTGAAATTATATAAATATTTTTATACTTGGCTAAGTTTGATTGGGTGTCTTTGTAATTTTATATGCTTTATTAATGTATTATATAATGTGTATGTTTGACTAATGTTTTAATGGGTTTATGTTTTTTTTATGTAGATATTATGAGTTCATCCACACCTAGCACCATAGCTCCAACTACTTTTCAATGTTAGGAGGAATTTAATGAAGTTGGATTGAATTTGGGTTGTAATGTATATTTGAATTGAATTTGGGTTGTATTTGGCTAGTAATTTATTTTGGAACTTATTTTGTTGAAGTTTGATTGAATTTGGGTTGTAATTTATATGTTAAAGTTGGATTGAATTTGGATTGCATTTTTGTTGAAGTTTGATTGAATTTGGGTTGTAATTTATATGTTAAAGTTGGATTGAATTTGGATTGCATTTTTGTTAAAGTTAGATTCATTTTGATGCGTTGAAAGCTTGATAGAACCTCAAATTTGAGGTATGTTAGTATATAAATTCATTTTGGGCATGTTTGTTTATTATTATTTTTAAAAAAAAAAAAAAAAAAAAAAAAAAAAAAAACCGTTGGATTCGAACCGGAACCGGATAGGTCCGGTTGGTGGTTCGGATTTCTGTATGGATATTGAGCAGAACCGGTCCAAACCGAACCGGATTGCACTATTGGATCAGGTTCCATTTTTCTCCAAGAACCGGTCCAAACCGAACCGTGCCCACCCCTAGCTTAAACACTTCATACTTACAATTCAAATGAAAGAGAGATTTGAAAAGGCAAAAGGAAAAAAGCGTTCTAACGGCATGTGTGACGGCTAGCTTTAAAAAAAACATAAAAAAGAAATTTATAAAACTATAGTAGGCCACCTATATGTGCACAATAACTCTAACCTTAATCCATTTTGTTTCAGATTATCATCATATATCCAATTGCATCTCCTACAATGCTCATGTAAAAGTACACCAAATACGCGGGCTGTTGGTCTAGTGGTAGGTGTATTCGTTTTAACCAGAGAATATTTCAAGTTCAACTCACACATATACGAGCATGATATACATTTTTTATGTTCGTTAAGTTAGGTGTGTTGACCTTTTGCAAAATATATGTTTTTTTTAAAAAAACATTCTGTCGTTTTGTTTGTGAAAAAACAAAAAACCCAGCTCAATTAACTTCCTTTCTTACATTTAGTAATATGATCTGTCACCGCCAAAAGACATTGTAATGAAGCAACCTAATCCGTGTTTAGACGCACATACTAGGAACAAGCTATACAAAAAAAAAAAAAAGTCCATCTCCACTGTTGAATTGAATTTCATGCAAATCCACAGATATGACAATGAATTTTAAATGAACTATGCATGGCCAAAGTCTATCTATAAAGTTTTCGTAGATGACTTGTACACAGTTCTTTACGGCCAAGTCAAGACCATTGACATCATCACATGTGACATGTAGTGATCTATGTCTTCATATGACTTTTTTAACGCTGTATTGTCCACCTGTCCTGAAAAATATCACATGATTAAAATGGATGCGTTTAGATTTTCTTTCATCAAAACTGGCCTAACTTTTGGACTTTTAAATTTAGGGTTTCGAAACAAAGAAAAGAAAATAGAACTCGTGGGGTGATCGATGCATCTTCATGGATCCATGCCTGACCCAACTTGGCCCATCAGATCACATGTGTAATTTCACGAGGCCTAGAGATCACAAAGCCTAACTTGACGCAGAAGGCAGTATAGCCCAAAACTCCGAAAGGTAATTTTGTTATCTGCAGTGCACTGATTAGTGTTAAAAGATTTCCATACCAACCGACCTCGAGATTAATAGTTTGTTTGCGAATGATTTTGGATAGGTTAATAATCACTTCTATATATAATCACTTTAAGTAAGTGATTTTAAATTATTTTCTGAGAAAATTGCTTAAGATTGTGTTTGGATAAGGGATTTTGAAGTGATGGGATTTTAAGGTGAGGGACTTTACAATTTTGAAGAAATGGAATCCTATTTTGGTTTTATTTGAGGTCTGCTAGAACTTATCTTCTTATCTTTCTTGGGACACGTTCTTCTTCCCGAGTCATGAGATTTTGTCACAAGTGTGTCACCAGTTGCGCTGCTGTTGGCATGTGAAGTTATTTTGTTCACATATTTTGGTCCTAAAACCAGGAAGCCTCCCATAGTTTAGACATGGTGGAATTAATAAGATGCCCCCCATATTACTTTTAACCTGAAAGTCGCATTAGGGCAACTCCCTAGACTTTTTAGGGTTTCAAGTTGGTCCGCCATATCAAACTAATAAATTACCAAAGCCACCCACCAAACGTGAACATTTTGTTTTATGTTATTGCTTCATTTTTCACTTTTGATGGTTTTTGTAAGCGTTTCATGGCCAGGCAGCCCAATTCCCCTCTTTGAGGCAGGCCTCTGAAATCTCAACCTGTCCATAGATTTGGGCGAATTGAATTGAATCTTGCACACCCCGATATATTTCACAAACTTCTGTTACTTTTGCATATACTTTTGCCAATTATATACATAATATGCACCCACTTATTTCATTTCTGCATCCAATTCCATGTTATTTATTTATTTATTTATTTAAATTCTCCATGCCAGCTGTGATCAAAACGACTCAAAATCAACATGCGCACCAACTCCTCCGGATCCCAATCTTAATTGATCATACCAATAATTTTGAACTCATCAAAATGCTACCAAAATCTTATGAATGCGCCTAATATAATTCTGTCTGCTTGCTTTTGACTCATTGTGCACGCAATCATGTGATGGGCTTCAGAGCTTGACACAGACCACCCCACCTCTTTATCTCTTCACTCTATTCTATATATATCCTTAGCTCAACAATATGTCACATTTTATGAGAGCCATATGTTGAAAACTTTTATTCACCAAAGTCCCTTTCCATCCCTCCATTATTAGTGGGTAGAAAGAGAAAATTCTCACCGTGTGGAAGACGATAAATAAACCAAACCATCCAAAATTCCTAATAATCCCCACCCTAGCTACTACAGCTCCACCAATTTTAGCTACATCCATCCAGTAGGAGGTTTGCAGCTAAAATAATTAACAGTATTTATCAATGTATCTAAGATCTTAAGTTCGATTCTCCCTTGCCTATCCTAATATCATTTGTGCATTTCTTTTATAAACCCACGAAGCCCATGTAGGCCCCATTCACCAACCTACCTAAGTGGGACCACTCGTAAATAATGGAAGCAACGTTTCATCACATTCAATATAACTGTATTACTACTGATTAATCTATGTTTCATATTCTTCTCCTTTTCCTTAGCTTCTGGCCATTTTTAGGCCAATCGAATTCAACTCTTTTCTTAAAAAGAAAAAAAGAAAAAAAAAGACTCATCCCATGTGGGAGAATATTAAAAAAAAGTTGAATTCTATAAAAGTTATAAGTTTATAAATTTTAAATTGATGACGAAGACTTCTCCAGCTAAGTGCTACAACTAAATTAATGAAGGGGGAGGACGGATGAAGTCCATATAGCTTGAGGAATACGAAATTGACATCATTTATTTAAGTAATTCCTCAAAAGAAAATAAAATAATTAGATGAGAGAGAGAGAAAAAAAAACTATAAATTGAAAGAAAATGACACCCCAACCTCCACTATAAATTTAAATTATACAATTTAAAATCAATTACCACCGACCGACTGCAATTTTGCTATACGTTGTATCATAATCCTCCGTTTTTATTCTATAGCAAAATGTACAATTCCAAACACCAAAGCGTATATATAATTATATAACCAGACGCAAAGACTCCGACTAAAAGTTCAAATTAAGAAGAAAAAAGAAGAAGAAATTTGAGAAAAATAAAGGAAAATGAAGTAACGGCGTTACTTAATGGTAACATTGAGCCTCCAGTTCCCGTCCATCTTCTTCTTCACACGCTCACTTTGCAATGCTGCAGCAGCTGGTACTTGATGGCGTTATTTCCGACCTCAATCCCGTTGTTCTTCGGACCCAAAGGGATAAAAGCGGGGCACCGAACGTAGAAATGGTACCTGCCCGAGATAAAAGTCCCGACCTTCCACCTCACCCGGCCGTCCATCTTCAGCAGCAAAAAAACCGACCCGGCATTCTTGTCCTGGTCCAGCGCCAGGGAATTGTACGGCGCGATGGGGACTTCGGTGCCGTAGATGAACGGCGACCAGACGTTGACGTCCTTGTGACCCTGGTACACCGGCGGGATGAGCGTGATGAAGGTGATCTGCTGGTTACGGTATGTCGCGTAGATGTTGAGCCTGTCGTAGTAGATGCCGATCTTGTCGTTGGGGTTGCGGGAGGAGACGGTGACCTGGAAGCTGGAGGAGAAGACGTTGGGTACGGAGTTGTTGAAGTTGAAGACGGTGACGTCTTGGAGGATGAAGCGGGGTTTGGAGGGCTGGAGGATGGCCCACACGATGAGGATGGTGACGAGCAGGATGAAGTTGAAGATTAGGAGCCCGGCGCAGCAGCGGCGAAACCTCTTCCGCCGCATGTTGTGTCCATGTTGGCCGCAGTCCTTGGATGACATGGCGGCGGCCGCGGTAGTGTGCGGTGGAGAGGGAGACACAGAGAGAAAGAGGAAGGATGGTTGGAGTTGAGTTAGAGTTGGGTTGGAGAGTTGACCCTCTAGTAAATGAGCTTTGGTTGGGGATGTGTGTGGGGGTATATATATTACATGGTTTTTAATGAAGATGATGATGATCTATGTGATCATGTATGTATGGTGGAAAAGCAAGTATGCTAAAGTAGGTGTAATGTGTTTAGGGACATTTCATAGTATCTTCACTAATTATGAGGAAAATTAGTTTTTTATTCGCGTAAAAAACATATTTAATACTAGATTACGGTCTCATTCCAAAATTACTCTGAATCTCTATTTTTTATATGAGTATCTGTCTATTAAAGTTAATATTTGTAATATCAATAAGATAATCAACAATGAATCAAATACTGTAAATCTTTAGTCAGCACTAACCAATAACTTTATTTTTGAGAGAGCTTTTTGGTTGCTTTTGAATTGTTTGGTGGTAGTGTAGCAAGGTAGTGGAAATTGGTGACCTATCAATTTTCAGTACCAAGGCATTATTTGGGTTTTCTTATTACTCAATCATAACCATGGGCATTAACCGATTAAATTACACAAATACCTTATGTCATCATGTGCCACTTGACAAGGCTCATCAATTATAGCTACTGATTAGGTTTATTATTACATGATTTAATCTAAATAACTTAGATGAAATTTGTTGGGTTTTTGTTTACTGCATGATGTGTCCTAGTTAAGATGCCCATATGGTGTGATGGGTTAGGACCAATCGCTTTCTATGCTTGGCTTTATTCAACAAACAGGGTTCAAATTGTTTGTCGAGCTCACCCACATGTTATCTCAATGGTTGGTTCATATCTTTTCTTCATAATTCTCTCCCAAAACCTCATGTGTTTCAGCATTTCAAAACAAGTAATTAATCGTCTTTATTTTTCAACTAATCAAAATTAAAGTCCATTGAATAAACTATGGAGGCTCAAGTCACTAAGCAAGATCTTGTTGCTCAAACCCTAATTCTTTTCAAAACCTGATCCAAGTAATACGCTCTTGGCATCAGCTTCAAGATATATAGTTATATATATATATATAAAATAAAATATCATTAATATTGTTCGCCATCCATCTTCATTGTTAATATAAGTGAGTTTTAGTATACATGAGCTTACTGTCAGCATCCGAGTTTGAATACCTCTCCATGTAATTTAGACTAAATTAAAGTAGAATATCGTTTGTATAAAAAAATAATATAAATGAGTTCTGATGAGTACGATTGTATTAATCCATGACCCTCAGTTGTATTGTGCTCGCTTAGTCAAAAAGTGAAGCTCACTGATTTTTCTTAATCAACTCAGAAAGACAAAAAGCCTAAAGAAAATAACATATTTTTTAATTTCTTTCTATACTAGAATTTAGAATGTGAACGGGCCGATAGTGACTTGAATAAAGTGTTTGGAAAAGCAAGACTCTTCACCACCGTCCGATTGAATATGGATACATGGGAAAAGTCTAAATGACACGTCTCTTGCAACCACTTGGCCCCACTTATCATGACAGAGGAAACCTCTGGGTTCCAGAATATTACTTCTCCCACCAGCTAAAGCCTAAAGCCTAACAATGATGCAACAAAAAAGGAAAAAAAAAGAAAAAAAAAGGAAAAAAAACATGATTTGGATGTGGATATATTGAAAATTTCATAACCTCTGATGACTGAGAAACAAGACTTTGTTTGGGTTGATTAAAAGCTTAAACCCTTTTCCATAAAGAACCCATTGCTTTCCCAGAAAGAAAATTGTTAGCCTTTCTTTCATCAGTTTTGTTTCTTTAATTATTTTGTTTTGCTTTTTAAAAATCCTAAAATGTTACTTAGAAAACAACATTGAGAAAGGGTTTTTTACCTTTTTATTTTTTATTTTTTTAAAATAATTTTTAAATCAAGGAAAAGTAGGGTTAGCTGCACTTTCCCAGCAGATGGTAAAAGGGTACGTGGGCAACAAAAAAAGAGAGCAATAATTTCAAAACATGTACAAATATTAGTTAAAAGCACCAAACCAAACTATACTCCAATACATTATTGATGGTAGAAACTAGGAATTGATTATGTCGGTTGGCAAGTGTGAATATGAACTACAAGACCATGATGTGTTCTTTCACACATTTAGTATCGACATCAAGCTCTAAAAGTCTCCTCAACCACCAATGACCAAACCTATGACCAATTTTTATCTACCTCTTAATTTTATACACTTTTTTTTCCTCTCTCTCCCTCTCAAATGGTGATAGAAGCTTAGATTACGTTAGATGAAAATTATTGATATGTGTACGGACGATGAGTCGCTGAATGAGGTGAATCTCTCATTATCAGGTCGATAATCTTAATCACTATATAAAATTTTCTCTTCCTTCATTTTTCTTTTCTGAAGGTGTTGTTCTTTTCCTTTTGTTGTTCTCCTCATTCCCCTCTCTAAAATATATTACAAACACCAGCTTACTTTAAGTTCTTAAACATTTGGATGTTTTCCAATGAAATAATTTTCATTTAAAAAGTCATAGTCGTTTGCAACAGAATAACTAGATATTAGCAAGTGAGAAGAAAAAACATAGGGAATCAAATTTCTTCTATGCACCATCAATTTGCTCAAAGTTAAGCAATTCACAAAAGTTGAATATCTTCAGAAGGGACTACTTTGTCTTATTTCTTGGCTTAAAGCCACACATGGGTTAGAAATTGGTTGTTGCTGAGTCAAATTCTGGCAGAGTCTTATGAAATCAAATAACTAATTCTGACATAGGCCTCTTGCAGAAAAGTCTTGGATCAAATGAAAGAAACACAGCTAAAAAAAGACTAACTTTCTACTAATTTAGCATTATTAGATGGTGGGTGGATATAATACACTATTTGTCATTTACTTGGGTTTTCTTTAAGTGTTATAATATTAGACAAAAGAAATGCAGTATAAAATATGACTGGTGTATAAATTTGGGTGTTTTAAATGTTTTTTTAAATATTTTTTTTATTTATCAAATTAATAATATTTGAAGAGTTGTCATCTATAAATCCAAAAGAGAAGAAAATAACATCCAGATGAGACTTGAGATCAAACCATGGAAAGATAATATTAGTTGGCACACCTAAAAGCACATGACTCTTTTGTTCTTCATCACTCATTTGACACCTACAATGACATCCACTTTGCATACTTGTATGCTCTTTATGATCTCGGCTCATGATTCAATTGCCATGTATTTAGCTATATTGAACCTCAAAGTTTATATTTTTATGTGATTGAAGCATTAAAAAAGAAAGCCTGAATTTTCCACGGAAGCCGGCTCGAAATATTTGATCTTAGGTGCATTTCCCTTTAGAATATTACTGTTTGGGTACGACCAAACCCAAAATTTGAATCATTGGAGCCTTACTCGTAGATATGTTGAAGTTCAATTATTTGGTACTTGGTGCTGTAGAGCTTATTTGATTGTTTTTTTTTCCTCTTGTTGCATCTCTTATGTACTGTGGCCAAGAAACCAAGTACACTTGGTGCAGTTTCCAGAGAATGCAGAGGGTCCTTTACCAAATTCTTTGCTGCTGATTCTCTCAACTTTCTCATAAAAACAAGAAGAAAATGCCTTGGGTAAAAGCACTTTTACAAAACATGGAAGCCGCAAAAAGAAGCCAAGGATATCCCCAAATGTCCATAAAGAAGGGTGGGGTGGTTTGTGGCCTATGCTTACTAGATTCTACACACACAAAGGTATTCTCTTCTGCACTTGCACTGACATCCATGCTGATTCTTTATCCCTACTTTGGGAATTACAAATGTCCCTACAAGATCTTCTTTGAAACCACCAAATCCCAATTTCCTGTTTAAATCTCTGTTAAGTAAATCACAATTAACTTTTAACCTAATCTTTGTGGTTAATGAATGCCCAAAGCCAAAATTGTTCTATGCAACTTGCACCCAATGGATTGGGTTGTTGTCTTCATACGCTTTGCTGCTAAAATCTGACTAGAATCTGTGGCTATGCTTCTTTCTGGTAACCATGGGTTAATGAAAGAGACAAAAACAAAAAGTTGGTGGAATAAAGCATTGGGGGAGAGAGAAGAAAGAAACCCTTTTGATTGGTGGGTCATTCTAAGAAGGGGAAAGTTCCAAAAACAATGAGAAGAAAAATGGGGAAGAGAAGACATGGAGGTGAAGGAAAGGGATAATATTCTTGGTAGCACAAAATGATGACTATCTAATTGGGTTGATTAAGCTGTCTTGAATTGGTCTGAGGGGTAATTGATCACCCTATTAATAAAAAAGTGAAACTAATAGTGGGTGATGATGAGCCAATGAACCCTAAATAGTCATTTGGATGCATCTATGATTTATGATGGTAGAAGTATCTTGAAGAAAAGGAGTTGGAATATGATGGAAAATGAACTTTGAAAGCAAGTTTTGAGAAGGAAAAAAAGAAGGGGATCATCCAAGCACTTTCCTTTAAACGGAGATCAAAATTATCATAAGTAATTACGCAAGCAATCACTTTCCTTTTAAGTGTTTTCCTGCATTATGAATGAATTATGAAAAGCCTTAAGATCAAACTGACTTGCCAAGCTAACCGACTCAACATGGAAATATCTTAAAAGCCCCTAAATCTGTTTTGTTTTTTTTTGCATCAGTTCATGCACTGCTCTGAGTTTTGAATATAAATATAAAATGGTGCCTAAAAATAATGATGCAGGTGTAAACGCCACCAAGTAGAGCCTTTTGTTACGTATTTTCCACATGCCATCACATGGCCAGTGAGAAGCTTCCTATCCTTTGCACCCTCCTAGAGGACTATTTCGCCTACAAAGGAAGAAACAGATGCAATACTGTTGGGTTTGTAGCTTAGTGGTAAGTTATACCCCTAACAAAATTTAATGCTTTGCAGTGTAATTTTGTTTGTGTGAAATAATTGTTTCTTCGAAGAAATTTTGCTTCATAGTACTAGTACCTCTACCTTCACGTCCCCATCCCGATAAAAGTTATATAACCGCGATCTCGCCTCAAATCCTATTGGATATCGTCTTCTTCATTGAGATTCGAATTTCACATCCTATTCATAAAAGTTTCAATTTAAGAGTCAATAAAACAATTATCATTCTTTAACATGATAGTTTTAAAACGGAATGGGGATGGAGAAAGGGCGGGAACCTCAATCCCCATCCGATTTGGGACGGATCAATGTGGAGATTGGGTGTGACAGGAAAAATTGCCATCCCCACCTTTTGGTCAAGTGAAGTCAGTCAATTGCTAGTAGGACGACTTTGTTTTCTTACTAAAATAAATCTGGATTTAGCTTTCATTGCGCGAGACTGGTAGATTTGTCTCTTCTTTTATTACGTAAATTTCACAACAGATAATTTGATTAGTTTCTTATGTTCAATCATCAATCAAATAGCTCCCTCCACATTCTAATTGTCCTAATCAGTAGTAGAAAATGACAAAGGACAACCATGTCTCATCCCTCACACGTTTCTAATTTGGACACACAATTTCCATTCCAATGCTGTTTCTTCACGGGCCCATAAATCTTGCCGGAAAAAAAAATTTAATAAAAAAGAAAAAAAGAAGAAAAATCCCAGATATTTACACAATTACTTTTACATGCATTAAAAATCAATGTCAATCTCTCTCAATCCACCAGCGTCCTAATCATGTCCAACTGGAGATATACAAATATGCACTCTTATCGTGTCTGAGAATCTTATCATGTTTATAAGATATCATCAAAGTATTATTAGTTTATATATAATTCCATTGCCAATGCCATCTGCATAACATAGGTTTTCATAAAGTTATTTAGGCCACCCAAAAAGCTCTGTCGGCCAAGCAACCACTTCATCCCACTGCCTCCTTACTTAAACAACAGGTCGAACCAAAGATACCTATACAATTGCTAATACTTATATATAGGAGGGAGGGATTGAACTCTTTCTAGTCCGAGTTTAGGGTCGTTAAGGTGTCACGTCACAATAGACACATGATTCTATACAACCGGTGAAATAGAGAAGAAAATTTCCAAAAGTTAAACCATTTCAGCCAGCAAATCAGAGCTCTAAGCATGGACCAGCGAAATACATCTTCAACCTATCTCAAGTCAATACACCCAAGACCAAGTTCTACACATCAGTTGTTGAACTGATGATGGAATAGTTCAAAAGCAAAGTAGATGCAAGTAATGACGAGGAACTTGTAAGGCTTTATTTCTTCGCTGAAAACCTAATTTCGCCTAACTGAAACTGATGCCTCATACCTTGAATAATCATAACTCTTTAATAGATGAAGCCTACTGCATAAATGCCAGCAAAAGAAAACCGCAGAGTGAAGGCTTGCCTGATAACAGCTTTTAAAGAAAATTAAAGTGACGGAGGAGATGAAAGAGATGAACAAGACAGGAGAAGTATAGGGAATTAAAAGTAACAGGCTAAAAACTAAAAGCTATTTAAATTGCTTTTTACTTTTTAGAACTTTTGAAGTATTTTTTCTCTCCTTTTTCCCTCACCTTTCTCCTAAGAACCGTCCACCTCTCCCCCTCTACCTCGTTAAAGAAAAGCTTAAAAGTTAAAAACAAAAATGCCACTAAAAGGACCTTTAAAAAAAAAGTTCTTTTAAAATTAGGAAAATATGAATCACCTGATGAGCTACAACTATGTCACCAATCATAGGAACTACAGTACCAACCAGAAATACTGAATTCAATATTTTGGAAACTGATTCTATGTTTCAAGTTTCAACCACAAACAGAAAATAAAAGAGCAGACAAACAATCTCAACACGAATTAACCTCTAACACCTATAAACATCAGAAATGAAATCATCAAAATCATAGTAAAACTAAAACCACTTCAGCATCAAGGACAAAAGGACAGTGTTTGCCATCACTAGATTAATAGTTTAAAACCAGTACTAAAATTCAAGTATGATAAGAGGCTTCAGAAGCACATAATAGCTTCCCTTAAGTATTAAAAACAAGTAACATCAACGCATAGGGCAAGACGAGCAATGCCCCTTTTCTAATCACCAACCTCGCATGGCTTCTGAGGCCAAAATTCTGAATTTGTCAAAATCAAAACTTCAACAATAACAAAGCAACTACATCAGATCAGAACTATACTGAAAGTGTGAAAGCTAATACAGGCAAGTTTTGACATAGTAGTACAGAGCAACATAAAAAGTTCCCTGTTTGGCCAACTTAACAGCATATTGACACAGTTAGAATGGAGCAGAAAACATGCAATACAGTATGACGTAATTAAAATGTTGCCAGATCAAAAGTTCGGTGTTTTTTCTCCTACGAGAAGACATGCAGCTGAGTTTCAAAGGAAAAAACCTAAATGGAAAGCAGCCAGGAAGGGAGTAAATACAAAATCAGAAAGAGAATGACTTTACATTTGACAACAGCTCTATTATTATCATATATCAAATGAACCCAAATCATAACCTACTATGAAACTTAACATTGTAGTAGAAATGGTTTGGAAGTCAAATCAACTGCAACTACATTCTTTACCTAGCCACTCCTCTTAATCGTTACTGGTACAGTAGTGTCTAAAGCACAATTCGACCATTACAAGCAAACATTCAATACCACATTTACATGAGCATAAATTCAGAGTCTGAAAAGATAAACATTATGATGTTATCCTATGAGGGGGAGAGAGAGAGAGAGAGAGAGAGAGAGAGAGAGAGAGAGAGAGAGAGAGAGAGAGAGAGAGAGAACAAATAACACCAAACTCCTATAAAAAGAATTGATCTCTAAGATGACGAAGTAAGTAGAGAGATTCATTTTAATTCTTCGAGAGCAAAACAATAAACAATTTCCCAATACATAGGTAAAATACACTACTTGCTAGTTCCTTGTAGACCAAGCTCCCCTTCCCCAGGAAAACCTTGTACTGTTCCAATACTACTGACTTGAATCACAAGACAACAGCTTGAATCACAACCCTAGACTTACAACCAGCATTAAGCACAATCAAACAGACATCCTAACATAGAGGCTTAGTAGCCACTACCACAAATCCAATGCTTAAAAAAAAGTCTTTACCATTCTTCTCAAGCGCATAATCTTTGAAGGCATGAACAATGGTTTGATATCATTAAAAACAATAGGGATGAGTTTCTTCAAATGTTATGCTTGGAGACAGCTATGGTTGGTGCGCACTTACTTTTTTCCTTGTGACTCTGTGAATGGTAAGTGGAATTCAATGGTGAAGGGAAAACCCTATAATCCATTCAGAATGCATTTATGCATCTCTACCAAATGAGTCAACACTCAATTAAAGCTTCACCAAGCAACACTTAATACCCTACAGTCTCTGGCTCTGGAGTTTGAATCACAATGACAAAGCCCCAGAACACTAAAAACAATCACATTGCTCTTTATTCTAACACAAATACAAAACCCAAAGTGGCAATGTCCCATATTATCATCTAACCCATCTCAACACTTCAAATGCCAATTCCTACAGCATATGCAAAACAGGGAAAATGGTATTTACCTCCAAAACAAAGAAAACTAGTAGAAATCATAATATACAAAAATGAAAAAATAATAATACTATTATTAGCTAGCATAAAAGAACAGAGACAAATTGGATTCAGAAGATCACGAATTATATTCCATAACCCAAAATCATAAACAACGACTAAATATAGCATTTACCAATTTGTGTTAATCCAATGGACTAATTATACTCATTCACAAGTCAACCACACACGGACTTGACTCACCCGTCAAAGTCCCCGTCCCATTCTTCTGGGCAAACCCGAAATCGATCCGCTCGCAGAAGACCCGCAACACGCGAGGCCTCGACTGGAACACTCCAGACCTAAACCGAACCGAAGCAAAAACTCCTAGCCCGAACCTCACCGACCCACGATCCCTCTCGTCGGAGATCCGCTTGGCCACGGAATTGCCGACGTACTCCCCCACCGTCGCCAGCTTGAACCCGACACGCGTCTGGTTCCTCTTGGTCAAAACAAAGGGAGGCAACGAAGTCGTGGCGATTCGGTCATCGTCGCCGTAGAAGAGTGAGGCCTGGATGCTGTCGTAGTAAATTCTGAGCTTGTGGTTGGGGTTGTTGGCGAGGAGGGTGAGGTCCCAGGTGGCGGTGAGCTCAGAGCCAGTGGCGTTGAGAGGGAAGACGGAGGCCGATTCGACCCGGAACTCGGGGAGGCGAGGGCGGAGGGCGAGCCAGGCGATGAAGAAGACGAGGGACATGATGGCGAAGACGGCGACGGCGGCAATGAGGAGGCGGCAGAGGAGGGTGGGCCTATTGGGCGCGATGGGCCCAGTGGGCTGAGGGGCGTAGTGAGGAGGTGGGCCCATGGGCCGGTAGGTGTTGGTGTGAGGAGGCGGGGGTGGGGCCACGTAGGGGTAGGCTCCGGCGGCTGGGTAGCCGGCTGCGAATTGACCCGGCTCAACTGGGTAGCCGGTCACCGTCTTGTTACGACCATCATCGGCGCCGGCTGCTGAGGTAGCCATTTGAGAGCGGAGAGAGCTAATTGAGTTTTTGGTTTCCAAGAGACAGATAAGTAATGAAAAAATAAAAGGTAGGCGTAGAGGTAGAGGAGGATGTGTTTGGTCGGTCGATAGATACAATGCGAAAAAAAAAGATTTCCGATATCACAAAGTTGCCTTCAACTACAGTTTGATTGTTGATAGAATTGCTTGGCGTAATTCTGTTTTGTATTTAATTACAAGTGTTTAGGAGATAATTAATTAATTAATTGGCTAATAACAGCTGTCATCTCTGGCTCCATTTTGAGATATTTGTTTCTTTTTTGTTTGGCAGAGGGCGTAGACTTAAGTTGAAGCGCCGTACTGAGGAATCTCTCCCGCCTTCTACGGTGGTGACACTTGTCGGCTCATCGTTGTCCCTATCTGCTTCTTATGCGAGGCGGGTTCGGGTTCGCGGTTACCCGCTCCGCGTATAAAGCCCAAATGGACATATGGGTGTTTGTTGGACTTCTATCTACTTCGTTATTATTTTTTCCGGTGGCCTTTGCTTTAAGCATAATGTTGTATCTGGCCTAACACTTTTTATAGATGTTTGTCAACTTGTTTAATGAAGCTTTTTCACGAAGAAAAAACACAATTAGTGTAATACACATCCTAATGTTGGTGATAATAGTCTAAACTACATAATTATTCTCCTGTCAATATCATTTTACAGTGAGTTAGACTCTGTTGGCCTATCAATTGGTATTATTGAATTCAATAATAGTCGGATCTAAAGGGTTTTTTTTTCCTTTCAATTTTGATTATGAAATGGAATTTGGAGAGACTTATTTGCAAAGCACCTCAAAAACAATAGACATGAAGGGACGATCGCGGATCACATTGTGCAGTGTTCTCCATATCTTTGCTCAATAACAAAAGCTAAAATTTATACAATAACATATTCAATTGAATATCAACCATATATATGTTTTTATCAAAGAATGAGTAATTAACTTATGTTAAAGCTGAGAAATTTTGCATTTAGTTCATCATACATGATTAATGAATGGGTTAAGAATCTTCTAACTTAGGTTAGTGTTGTGTAAAACATAAAGTAATATGATTAATGCCGTTTAATATTGAAAAGAGAAATACGATCAGACTTCGAGTTAGTCATTATGTGTCACTATATAGCTATAATGAAATTAAAATTAAACGAAGTACAAGAAATCCTAGAAAAAATAGCTTAAAAATTTTTCTACAATAAAATTAACAGATTTAAGGGTTTCTAAAATTATAAACATATGACTCCGTCTAATATAAGTTAGCCAAATACACAATCCCCACATATGGAGGAGACATGGGAAGAAAGTCAATGAGACCGTGAGACAGATAACCAAACAAAAATATCCGACCCATTTCTCGTCTATGACTAAATAATCAGAAACCATCGGAGATATCGCATGCCTTCGAGCTCCCACTGGGCATGCTCCCAGTATTTGACCCCGCCGGCAGCGGCACCTTCAAATCTGAGCATTTCACCCGGAGGGTCCCACTTCTGTAGTTACTGTAGTGATTATAAAAAAAACCACCGGCTTTCATGTCGTACGAAAGCGTCAACCTCAAATTGAAGCTCACGTTCCCGCCCTCCTTCTGCTCCTTCTCCATGTCCTCCACCGCGCTGCTCGCCGTTGTATTGTACGTCTCCATCTTCATGTGCATGGTGCCTTTTGCCCGAGAGTCGAGATTCATGGAATGCATGACCGAGCCCGTCGCGAGATAGTTGTCCTTGTGGTACAGGGAGGTCTCCCACCTGTCTATGTCCAACTTCATCCTGTAGCTGGGGTTGTCCACGTAGATGGAGGCCTCCCATTTCCCGGAGAGCACTTTGCTCCCTGGGACGAGGTTGAAGTTGGAGACGCTGAAGGACTCGACCTTGAAGGCCGGGGTTTCGGGGCGGACCACGACAAACATGACGATGCTGGCGAGGAGGGTGAAGATGACGAGGAGGAACATGATGATGCAGAAGCACCGGAAGCAGCTGCTGGCGGCCTCGTCAGCTTGGTTGTAGGAGGTGGTGGTGTAGTAGGGGTCCCGGTAATAAGGGTTGTAGGCACTCGCGTGGTACCCGTGGTAGGGGGGCGCTACGGTGGGGTATCCTTGTGGGTGCGCGTAGTTCATGTTGGATGGCGGATAGGTGCCCCCAGGGGGCGGGGGGTAGGGGTCAGTGGGGGCTCGAGGTTGGTGGGCTTCTGATGATTGTATTGCGGGTTGGTCGGAGGAGCGGGGTTGATTGGTTTCGGTTGTGGAAGCCATATGTGTTGCTATTAATTATATATATGGAATGTTCGTTCTCTCTCTCAAGAATCTTCCGGGAGAGAGAGAAAGAAGAGAGAGAGAAGGAGGGAGTTTTGGGGGTAGGGGATTAAAATGTGAATTGGAGGGAGATTAATTATTGAAGGAAATGAGAGTGTAAAAATAGGTGGGTGTGCTGAGAAAAGCCGCGGAAAGAGCGTAGGACAAGGTAATTAATTAGGAGTTGTAATCTATGTTAAGGAAATAAGTGATGAAGACAAAAGAATTATAGCTAGCAAAATTGGCATATTAGCACCTCCATGTCAATCTTCTCACACAGCTCTCCATAATAAAACTAGCCCTATATTGTGGCCATTGTTCGTGGCCACTATACGCACACATTAAAGATCATGTGTTGCAAGCATGAGTTTATTTAGGGGAATACTTAGGTGTGTTTTCAGGGTGCCTATGTGTTTGCTCCTGCGTGTTAACAAATGTTCACCATACACATGTCACCGTATGTTCAATTGCTTATCTCCTTCATGCTCAACTATTAGAGGAGAAGCTATGTCGGGAGAACATAATTTCCCCATGGAAAATTGTACAATTTTTTTGCAAGTCCCTATTTGCATACATGAACATGACGTGACCCTCATTCCCTCACTCCCAAATATGAAATTATCTCTTGATATATTTGTCGCCCCCCCATGGAAAACTAAAAATACAAGAGATTTATACTAAAAATGGTAAACTAGAATATTTAAAGGAAACAATCAAGGGAGAAAATGAAGGGATTAAGAAATTAATCGAACATGGAAATAAAAGCCAAAGAATTGTAAACAACGCATGATGAATCGTGATTGTGATAATCGAGGACATTTAACATTGAAACGAAGAAAGTGAGAAAATCTTGGCATTATTTGACCCTGTTCAAACTTCACTAGGAAAACAGCAAAGTCATGAAACCTCGTCTCCTTCAGTATGAATGGACAATGGAGGGTGATGCTGTCAGTTTCATATTTTTCTTTTTTGTGTATTAAAAAAAAGAAGAAGAGGAGAGTGGAGACTCAAACTCTTTTCTTTGCGTCTGTCTGCTTGCTTGATGCCTAATTCTGTGAGGTAATTTAAAGGAGAAACAAAACAAAATTAAATAAAAGGGGAAGCAAAAACAAAGATTATTAGATTGGCATAAGTTGATCATAACTCAAAATTACTCAGGCAATGGAACAAAGCACCATCCTCCCTCACCAATCAGCTTCCCCTCTCCAACCGAAGACACAAACTCAACTCTCAACTCGGAACAAGATTCTTCAACATTCAATCCCCAAAGCCAGGCCCAAATTCTGGTCTTTCCAAACTGGTAAGGCACAACCAGGTCCACTTTCATTTCCAAACGAACCTCCTTCAGAGCTTCCTCTGTCGAAACCCCGGGCCCTTCCTCCCCACACTCTCTCATATCAAATCTTATGTGCAGCCCATTTGGCCTCCTGAACTCAACGTCCACTGGCTTCACTGAGGCACACCACAGCGGTTCGAATTTCGGGTAGTACACGAAGCCCTGAAAGTGTTTGATGTGAACTTGCAGATCACTGTTTTGGCTGAACTTCAACTCTGCATCCCAAACAGCGCTCTGCAGTTCAGAGACGGGTTTCATTGTGTTTGAGACAGAGAAAGAGTGCTGAGAAATGGCGATGGGATATGTTCGAATGCCGCCGTTCAACGACAAACATACGGTGGTGACAAATGCAAGTAATGTGATGAGGATTGTAGCAGCACCCAATTTCAAGGACATTTCTTCTGCCAGTTCCTTATGGCGACGAGACCACAAAGGGCCCATTTTTGTTTTTCTGCAATGAGTTAAGGTGTGAATGAGAAATGAGTTAAGGTGTGAATGAGAGAGTATTGGGAGTAACTAATATTGAAATGGCAGTCAAATTCACAGAATCAGTGCACATTTGGGTACAAAATTTATGTCATTAATTCATGGAGGTAAAAAATGGATAAACTCAGTGTGAATGCTAATTGGCATCCTTTGGCATAAACTCAATGATTTAATGCAAGGGTGCTTAAAATTTAAAATGAGAAGAAAACCAGAAAATGAAATCACATTGATTTGATTTCCTTTTACGTGACGTCCGTTTCTTGTTGAGTTAATAATTCCTTATACAGCAAAACCTGCTACTTTTAAATCACAAGAATTTCTCTCAAGTTGGGCTTTGCCTAATTTTCTCAAGTGCTCTGGCCCAAGTAAAAATGACTAAATTTTTTGAAATAAACAACTTATCCATACAAAATTTACATTAGTCGCATTTCATGAGCTTATCTTCGTCTGCTATAATCCCTTAAAATTTCAGAGTCGGCCCTTATCTGCGGTAAGAATTGCATGATCATTTAGGTAATGGAATGGTGCACTTGCGGCCCCCATTTATCTTTCCCTCCCCTTTTGCACCCTCAAACTGAACCTTCAACCCTGAACAGTTAGGATATAAAGTCACTTGGGTTCCCATTCCCAAAAGCTCCCTCATACTATAAGAAGCATCTATGCGCATTTTCAAACTAAAGCTAAGGTGACCACTCTTTCGATCTTCACTCAACTCCTTCATCACTCGATCCTCCACATACGGCTGTTCTCCTCCGCAACTTGTTGGATCAAATTTGATCTGCAGAGTTTTCTGTTTCCTTGGAGGAACTTGCAGCATTGCATCCACAGAAGCACATGATAGAGCCTCACGTTCTTTATAGTACACATAACTCTCAAAGGGGTTGAGGGTAACAGTTAGGCCACCGTTTTGGTTCCCAAATGTCAACTTGGCCTCCCATTCAGCTGAGAATGACGAATTCGAAACCTCGAAATTCGTTAGAGAAAATGCATCCAAACGAAGCACAAGGGGGTCTGTTCCTGGGCCGGACTTTGAATCCACATAGTTGCCTAAGAACCAGAGAGAACATCCGATGGCTGTTGCTAGACTCACCACTATTACAAAAAGCAGGATGTATCCACGAATTTTACTGCAATCTGCAGACTTTTTGCACCACAAAGAAGCCATGCATAACTCTTCCTGTAAGAGAGAGAATACAAAGTTCAAGATGGATATGTTAGGGAAATTTTCACTGGTTATTCGGTGAAAGAGAATACTCGTGGTTCATAGTCTAGCAATATATAACACGTTAGAACATCATTTCTAATCTATAGACCAAATTAAAGTTGCTAATTCCTCAATTTAAAATTACTATTTTACTAATTTCACCAAAAAAAATTAGTAATCGGCCAAAGCTATAAAAAGTCTAACAAGAGATTAGAAATAAAATGTAGTAGGTAGTTTGTTCAATAATTTGTTTTTTTTCTTTTCAATGCCAAAGTGATAGTTTAAACTACAGGGAAGGGGATTTTTCACACGCACACTACTATGATGCCGCAGGATTCGAACATGAAACCTCTGATATGCAAGTCAATCCTTTACCACTAGGCTAGACCCCGTTGGAAGTAGGTAGTTTGTTCTTAAATGCGGTACTGCAGGGTAAGATATATTTGTTGCTACAAACATACTTGTAAGACACTCTCCAAATAGATTATTCACTTGGTATAATTAAACAAATAAGAAGCTTCAAGAGGACAAATCAAAGAGACAATTTGCGAGACTTGGATTTTATAATCGTTCACCAAATTAGATAACACTGATTTTGACAATTTAATTTCACCCAGAAGAAGTTTATAACAATTTAAAGATAGAGAAAGAAAACCGTACCTTGTGATGCTAAGTTTTCTTGGTCTTGAATCAATCCAATATGTGAAGCAAAATTCCCAGTACTAATTATAAGGATTTATACTGGATGGGAGAAAGGTGGAGATGATGAGGGAGAAGAGAGAGGAACAAATGAGGGAAGATGGCAGCGGTTAAAATCAAGTTATTTTATTTGTTTGGAAGGATATATATGCGTGGCGGTTGAAGGCGTTTTTCTGGCTTTGGTAAAACGAAGTGATGTTTGCAGTTCGTGCCCTTTCACAAGTGCAAATAGTTTGGAAAGAGTCAAGCACATCTGAAATGATAGACCCAATATTAATATTTTTCGTCTAACCATAGAGGAAGGGGGTTTCTCGCATACTACTACGGTGCCATGAGATTCGAACTTGAGACCAATAGTCTGCAAATCAAGGCATGTTTTAACTGGACTAGACCCCATTGGGATAAATTACAATTATAATTTAAGTGGAGGGTCTAACCAAAAAACAATGAGTGGAGGAAATATTTTTACAAGGAGGATTAGTTGTTTTTAATAGAAAAAAGGAGATTTAAATTTTGAGTTATATCCTGATAATCATTTTATTTTCAGGGTGACTCTAGTCAATTAATAAAAATTCATTTGCACACCCAGTATTTAATGAAATTTCTATAAGAATTTATCTACACAGCACGTGTAAATTCTAGAAATCTTCTGTTTATTTCATTTATGTAGTGAAATCATCAAAGAATTTCATAACATCACGTTCATATTGACCTTCAATTTTGATGCGTGAAACAATTTCATTTCTTTGTTTATAATTTACAGGTTCGATTTTGATTCTCCTCTCCTACATCGATCAAATTAACAATCTAAAACTAAAAACCTCTAGATGAAAAAAGAAAGAAAAAGTCTAATTTGGTCAATTAATTAATATAGGAACCGGGCATATCATAGGCCCGCCACTAATCCAACTCCCAAACCCAATTCCACGCGAGAACCCAACCTTCAAATCCAAACACTGAGGGCTCATCACAATATCTTGTGTCCCCCACCAACCAGTCCTATACGTAGCCCAAACAAACATTTGCATGCTAAAATGCACAGCTCCATTCTCACGTCTCCTGCTCATCATTTCATCCAAAACCCTCTTCTTCACCATCAGCTGATGATCACGATCCTCTTCCCCCAACCCCATCGTCGATATCTTCACCCGCACCGTTCTTCGTTCCTTCAATCCCAACATGAATGGCTCGACGGAGCTTATCGCGAGGATGCTATCTTTGTACGAAATTGAACCCCTGATGTGGTTGAAACGAACCCATGTGACCAGGTTGGGGTTGTCTATTGTAAGGGTCATGTCCCAATTAGCCCCCAATGTTGTGTTGGAGATGTTAAATTTGGACATGAAGAGCGAGTTCAGTTGGACATTTGGGGCTTTTGGATGAACTTGGGACAATAAGAACATGAAAATGCACAGCAATGCCAAGGTCCCAAATATTAATAATGTAGGTGATAATAGAATAATGGGTTGGAAGACGGATAATTTGGAAATGCGTCTTGATTTAACAGACTGCGAAACGTTGTCGTTTGACGGGCTATATGAAACTGGGAGTAGTAGGGGCATGGTGGCTGAGTGCTGATCAGCTTTTGCATTAATTTCCATGGCTGATGATAGGAAATTGAGAGAGAAAAGAGAGATGGGATTGAGGAAATGTGTGAAAGAGAGTTGGGATATAAAGTAGAAGGACATAGAAACTGTATAACCACTAGAGATTGTTAAAAAAAAACTAAATAACTACCAAAAACGGTTAAAAACCTGAATAACTATCTTCTAACAAACATGCGAAAGAAGATTTCTGAACTCCATTAATTTGATAACCGATAAAACTGTAAGTTTGCTCGAATGTTGATGTCCATTAAACATCATTATTTAAAGCAAATGAAATTAATTCAGGGTGATTTCGCAACGGTTCATAACCTGAACTTATACATTATTGTTTGGTTAACCGTAGGGGAGTGGCCGGTGGTGGCAGCAGTGTGACGCTGGGACGAAATTGTTGCGGTGGCTCTTGAATTACCACAAGTACTAAATTAGAAAGTTGAGGGTGTTAAAAATAAATATGATGTGACAAGTGAATATGGGTAAATTAATTGGTGACCGTAGCATTCAATATATTATCTAATCAAATTACATATATATATATATATATTAATGAATCGATTGACTTAAAATTACTAAACATAACTTCGATTGACTTAAAATTAATCAAAATTTATTCAATCGCACGTGTATGAGAGCAAAAAAGTATGAACACAACTATATTCAACCTGCCAAAGGCCTTCAAATGATCAAAAGTGCATTTGATTGGACTGGATTAGTCAGTTTAAACATTTTGATTGGATTTTAAGCAACCATAGTCATTTTAAAGCCAAATTTCTTTATGAAGTGTCCAAACTTAAGTTTCAACCTCAACTTTCTTCAAAGCTATTTACTTCCAAGTAATTCGACATCAAACTACGTCACGCGAGTATTTCCACATCTCTAGAGTGCACAACAAAACACCCCAAAAACGGTTTCATTTTGAGAGTTCATCTAAAGTTTATTGTGCCAATTTAAAACTTGAAGTGCTTATACAGAAACGAATATAATAGAATTAGATGTCCAAATTCCACAAATCCATCTGTTCCTTTTTTAAATTTTGGCATGTGTAGTGAAAGCCTCTATTTAGTTAACTATATTTTGAAGGCATCTAGTTAAAATATTTCTTAGTATGTGCATAAAAAGCATCCTCGATCATGTTTAGGTAATACATCTGCGTAGAAGAGGTTTTTCACAAGCATCTAAAAATTTCACAGAGACACGGTTTTATGCGTCTTCCATGCGAAAATATCACCAAAATATTTGTACGTATATAACTTTACTTCTACTCTGATAGATTCCCGTTGGAAACAAAGCTCAACTCTACTTTTAATTTGCAAGATCCTTCTACATCGTAACATTACATTACAACCTCCAATTAAAAAGCTTAATTTAGGCTCCCTTGTAACTAAAACCAAAAAGCCTAACTAGGTTACTTGAAAAAGGAAAAAGAAATTCAAATTTAGTCATCAATTAGCATGGGAACTGCGCAAGTCATAGGCCCTCCACTATTATTCCAGCTTCCGAAACCAACTTTAGGCAAGAAGCCAACCCTCAAATCCAAACATTGAGGGTTCATTAAAACAGACTTTGTCCCCCACCAACCGGTCCTATACGTAGCCCGTGCAAACATTTCCAGGCTGAAATTCACAGCACCATCTTCACGTTGCCTATGGATTTCTTCCAAAACCCTCTCCTTCACAACCGGCTGATCTTCCTGTAATCCATTCACGGATATCTTCACACGCATCATTCTATGTTCCTTCAATCCCAGTATGAAAGGGTCCAACGAGTATGTCACGAGAGCGTTATCTTTGTAAGAAATCGAACCATCTATGCGGTCAAACCAAATCCACGAGACTAGATTAGGGTTCTCTATTGTGAAGGCCACGTCAAAGTTAGCCACTAGCTTTGTGTTTGAGACATTAATTTTCGACATGAAGAGAGAGTTGAGTTTGATTTTCAGGGGCTGTGGAACTAAGGATGTGGCCATGGCTACGCATAGCAACGTGACGATCCCTAACACGAACAACAAAATCCGGTGGAGAAGTACTAGTTTCACAGTGAATCGAGATGTGATAGACATAGACATGTGGGGGTTTGAAATTGAAGGGTTGTATGAAACTGGGAGTAGTGGCATTGTGGCTGAGCGCTGTGCTGTTCTATTAGAATCCATGGTTAATAGAAACTTATGCTTGTGATGCAATAATCAAGCTTACTAGGGTTTCGGGGAGAAAGAGAGATGGGTATGAAGAAATGGGGGAAGGAAAGTTGATATAAAGGAGAAGGGTAAAACTAATTAACTACTAGAGAATAGAAGGTTATATAAACTGAAACTGAGTCCAACTAACATTTGCTAAAAGGGAGTAACGAATAACTACTGGATTTTCTAAATGTCAGTCATTTGATAACAAAAAAAATGGTTAGCTGAGCGAAAAATCTAGAAATAGAAGGTTGTTCAAGTGTCAACCTACATACTTAATCATACGACGAATATATTCGTACATGATTTACCCGAGTTGCAAGGTTTGTTGAAGTATCAAGGGGGCCATCTCTGAGATTTATAAGCCGCCTTAAAAAAAGAAGAAAAAAGAAGAAGTTCATTTTAGCACTTCAATTTATTAGACAAAATAGTGCATGGAAGATCTAAACCAAGTCAAACACATATAATTAGGAGCGAGAGAGTCTTTACCTCTAATCTGAGTAAAAAGTAGACCAAACACTATCATTAAGGTTGTTTTTCCTATCAATGTAGAAAGTTCGGCACCATTTTTTGGAAATGTTTTCACAAAATCTTTTCGAAAGTGAAAACGAAAGAATGAAATTGTGTTTCCAAAATTGGAGAATCTGTTCAGCCAAAACATTTCCCAACATCTCTCTCTCTCTCTCTCTCTCAGATTGGTTGGTTGGGTTTGGTGAGAGTTTATCTCACATTGAAAAATTACCCAGCCAGCCTGAGTTTATAAGAGTTTATGGTGAGTTCGATTGGATGAGGTTTGACTGGGTGGTGGGGCCACCTAAGTTTTTTCGTTCGTGCATTTTTAAAATTTTATAATCTACGTCTTTTTGTTAAATTTTATAATAAAAAGAGTTTTATATATAATATATTCTCGAAATACGGAAGTATACACCATTCTAGACATCTTATATATGTTTACTTTGTTTGTGTGTGGTGAATTTTTTTCTTATGATTTGATTACAAAAATATACAAATTTATAAATAAACCCAATCCTAGACATGTATTTATAAAAAAACCCAAACACTATTTAAACATAGAAACACACCCAAAATCAACTCCAAATTCAACAATTGTATATTTTTTGGGTGTGTTTATAAATGGGTTTTGAGTGTGTGTAATGATGGGTTTTGGGTGTGTTTATAAAGTGTTTTGGGTGTTGGGTTTTTTTATAATTTCAGCCCCCATTTTGGGTGTTTTAGTGATTGTGATATCCTTTTCAATTTACACATGGATAAAGATAAAAAGGAATGTTCACATTATTGTCTCCAATTTTGATGCATGCATTCCCTTGAGAAGAAAAGACAAGTTCTTCCTTGTTCATAATTTACAAGCTTCATCTACATCCATCAAATTACAGACTAAAAACCCTAGTCCTGCCTAAAAAAAAAAATTTCAACAACTTTCCGATTTAATCAACTAGCATACGAACTAGTCGAGCAAGTCATCGGCCCTCCGCTGATCCAGCTACCGAACCCAACTTTAGGTAAGAAACCAACCCTCAAATCCAAACAGTGAGCCTCCATCATGACATCTTCTGTTCCCCACCAACCCTTCTTATACGTAGCCCATGCAAACATTTCCATCTTCAAACTCACAACACCATCTTCACGTTGCCTATTCATTTCTTCCAAATCTGACACCTTCATCTTCAGCTGATCCTGTAATCCGGTCCTCGATATCTTCACACGCATCAATCTTTGTTCCTTCAATCCCAAGTCAAATGGCTCAACAGAGTATATCGCGAGAGGGTTGTCCTTGTACAGAATTGAACCCTCTATGCGGTCGAATTGAACCCAAGAGACCATATTGGGGTTTTCTACGGTGAAGGCCATGTCCCAGTTGGCCCCTAGTGACATGTTTGAGACGTTAAGCTTGGACATGAAGAGTGAGTCGAGTTGGATTTTTGGGTTCTGTGTGGGCGTGAGCATGAAGACACATAACAATGTGAATGTCCCTAATGCAAGTAATAGAATGCGGTGGACGTGTACTAATCTTGCAATGGATTGGGATGCGACTGATTGGGACACGATGGGGTTTGAAGGGTTGCTTGAAATTGGGAGCAATGGCTCTGTGGTTGAGTGGTGGTGAGCTTTTGCATTAATTTCCATGGTTAATTAATCAAAGCTTGTAATGTGGTATAGAAAGTTGCCAGGGTGATTATGAGAGAGAGAGAGAGAGAGAGAGATGGGAATGAAGAATGGATGAAAGAGAGTTAATATAAACGAGAGGGGTAAAACTAAATAACTACTCGAGAGTAGAGGTCGTTGTAACTTGAAATTGATTGCAACTAACATTAGCTAAATGGGAGTAATGAATAACTACTAGAATTTGATAACCAGAAAATATAACTACTAGAAGTTCTCAACAACAGTGGTTTGATAGCAGATAGAATATGATTAACTGAATGATAACAGGAACAGTCTTTCACAAAGACATTATTGAGCCTTTATAGATACTTCTTATTGTGGACCATTTTGGTGGTTTGCTCTTGTTGTGGAAACTTGTGGTACATGTTATGACTCACCTTAGCATATTGCTAAAAATGGGTAAGGACTATTTCGAATGTATTGCGCGCGTAATGTTCTTTTGTTGAATGGTAAAGCAAATTTATCATATACGGACCAAGCGGGAGAATGTAAGAATATTTTTATAATATGTTATGTGGCTATGTGTTATAGGAATTATTTGCTATTACAATTGTTTAATAAATACTAGCCCCTTGGCATGCATGTGCCAATTGGTTTTCTTTTTTCTTTCTTATTCTATTTTAGAATTAAGAAAATATAACATGGGTAGTTATGTTCCTTAAAAGTAGGACTTATTATCTGATTTTTGTTTTTATTTTTATTTTTTTAAATATGAAAAAATGTGAATTTATCATATTATCCTCATTTATTTAATAATTTCAATTCTTAATATTTAAATTAATCAAGGGTATTTTCTGGTATTTTGAATGTTTCACCATTCTCTGCCTTTTGCTCTATATATATATATATATATTATTCAGACATTTAAAAGGTCAAATAAAAATAATTATTATTTCTTTTCTATTACTGTGGCTGGTGTTGGTGAGAAAAGTTTCATTTCACGTGGGTGGATTTAACTTTTTATTTTGAGGAATAAGAGATAGTACTACTTAATACATTTGAAAAGCATATCACACGATTTCATGGCATCATTAATTGTGCCATCACTTTCTACGGCTCATTTGCCCACCCTTTATCTATCTATTTTCGGCATCACTTTCATGGAACTAATTCTGAAGCAATCACTTCCATGGTTGTGTGTTCGTTCCATAAATTAGTTCAAAGCCTGATAAGAATCACTGAAAGCCTAGCAATCAAATATAATCAAATATGCTTGGTGGTGAAAACCTCTTTACTCAACGAATCAACAATTGATTTCATTTGATCACTGATTTTATCTTGGGGAGATTTGAAATCTCGAGCAGAGTAGCCAAACTGTAGAACTTAATCGAAAAATAAAGACAATCACAATAACCGTATTATATTAGTTTGAACATTACAAACCTAGAACAAATTATCGAAGTTAGGAAGGGGGAGGGTGTTTTTTTTTCACACACGCACTGCTAAGGTGCCATGTGAGTTTGAACTTGAGACTACTAATCTGCAAGTTAAGGCTCTTTTCCACTACCCCGTTGGCAACCTAGAACAACATAAGCTCATCATGGCATAACAAAATTACTTCAGTTTTAACACTTGTAAAGAACATACGTGCATACACAAGGCCTTAATCTTAAGTTCTGGGCGTGGACCTAGTTAAGCTATACGGATAAGATGGAGCATATGGTTTGTATGAGTGTGAGCACAAGGAATATAATTGCTGCAATGGTGGAAGCAAATTTCCATGGAGTGTTGAAATAGTCGCGCTTCAAATTTGCTTTCCATTTGTGCCAAGGGACCTTGCAGTAGGCATTGAGTTTTTTGGAAAGGCTTAGGTAATAATAAGTTCGCCCATCGAAGCCAACCCCTTGGCCAATTCGATTAATTAGAGCGGACAACTCATCGTTAATCCCCAACATGCTAGAAATAATTTCATGTTCAGTGAGCAAGTCCGCGTCCTTTGAAGTCCTCATCATGCACCCCATGAGGAATACAAATTGTGAAATATACCTCATGTGGTGATCGTGGCACTGTTCAAAGACGAGCAGGTTCCTCAACAGAGTTTCCGTCAAATCATCTACTGTAAACTTCGGAATTACAAGACGTCCGTTGTTGAATTGTATGTCAAGCAAGAAGGTTTTGCTTGTGCTCACAAACTTAACTCCAGCATCGTCTAGCATTGTCACGCTTGGTGGGATTTCATAAACCTTTTCGTGATTTACATCTTCCCTAGGCGGTGGGGGCAAGTAGTAGTATCTTATAAAATCAACAAAATGCTGTACTCCATGTTCAACTCCAGGCACAGGTGCATGACCAGCACCAAACATGTCAATTTTCTCGTAACGCTTGAAGAACTCATGCGTAAGCTCAACCAACTTGAAATTTCCTTTGGAGCTGCTATCAACTAGGTCATACAAACCCTCAAGAACAAAGAAGGGAATTTGGTTCTCAATCAATATGACATCATGCATAACATCTTGAATCATATGCAGCTTTCCATATATTCGATCGCAATCGTCTACATATTTGGAAAACCAGGACCTAAGCAAAAGCTCCAAGACAAAAATTGCATCCACCAGCATCAGCTCGGCAAACTTATCACTGCTTAGGTCAATGGGGTCGGCGTAATAACGCCTGGCTATTTCTTCCCACGTTCTCACAAGGCCAAGGCATTGGTCTAAGCTGAGATGGTTTCGGCTCAAGAAGGCCTCTAAGTATTTGAGTTTAAAGATTTGCATTTGCGGGAAACTGCCTTGGTGAAAGTGATAAGGTCCGATTGAGACCACCAAGGGTTTGTAGAATTCTTCATTTCCTTTGCGAAATCTCTCGGGGACTTTGTAAATACAACAATCTGGCCAAAATAAGGGCGTTTCTCGCACTTTAAGCTCGATTAGAATCGCCACTTGATCGCGCGGTTTCTCAACTGCTGGTAGCATCTTTGCTGTATGGATATGGAGGTGCTCTCAAACTAGTTCAAAAGGCTCCTTCTTCTTCCACAGCCTCAGCTGGCGCAAATCTTAGATTACCGCATCTCCTCTTTCTGTTCATCCTTCAAATTCAAAACATTTTAATTAAAGTTAAGCATTTTCTTTTTTGAAAAAATTTGGTCACAACATACATATTTCTATTATGTAGAAAGAAATAAATCATGAAATATTTCAACAAATGTACAAAGAAATTTTGCATATATGATTAAAAGACATAAGCCTTACCAGTTTGGGTCACTAGATGAGTTCACATCTGTTGTCAAGATTAGGAAGAAGAAAACTTTAACAAAGCAATCTCCCTGTTTCGACCCAAAAGAAGAAAAGACACTACACCAGAACACATCTATTACGGCGCACAAAGCACGTCATAAATTATCATTCACGACGCGAAACACGCAAGTAGTAAAAGCCCGCGTCGTAATTAGTGTTCCTCAATCACGGCGTGCATGAACGTCATAATAAAAACTTAAGACGACGTTCCTTGTGAGCAGTAATTCAGAAGCAATTACGACACGCTCTGCGCGTCTTAAAAGAATAATTACGGCGTGTTCCGCGCACCTTCTTAAATGACTAATTACGGCATACAATGCACGCCGTAAAAGAGTAATTAATTCCCATTTAAGACATTCATTGCACACCGTGTTTAACTTTAAATTTTTTTTTAAAAAAGTTATTAATTCCCTATCTGCTCCTGTTTCATATTTACCAATCATAATCAATTCCAACCAAAACGAAAAGTAGTATTGCAACCAAACTTGAAAGAAAGAACCATTTCATTGAAAACTATACCAATCATAATCAATTCCAAATACAAACTCCATAGAGTATTAAAGAAACACATAATAGTGCTGGCAAATCTACAATTAACTTGTACACAGCATCTAACTCATTCACTCATAATAACGCATTATACTATAACACATAAATATAAGATAAGATATAATTCTATCATACAAAGATCATGAGACTACAGGAAAAACAGTGTAAGCTATTTGAGTTAGAGTGATCAAGATTCTAGAATACCCTACCGTGACAGATATAGCTTCTGGAATATTAGCTTATGTTGCCATTAATCTGCAGATAGAAAGGTGGGCTTGAAGGAGGTTGAAAGAGCAGTAGAAGCTTCAATTTTGTGTAGTGAATGCTAACTTTTATTCTGCATAAATAGAGAGAGAGAGAGTTCATTGAATTGAATGATACCATTGGAAAAAATTGACATCATGAAAAAGATAACCTCAATATATGCCTTCTAAACATTCAATCTCCTACCCAGCAAATACCTTACAACTTCTACAGCTTCCTTTAACTTGATAAAGTGTTATTGAGCAGTTACAAGAGAGGAAGTAGTATGAAATTGGATGTTTCACACAATGATGCTGCTGTGAGCACAGAAATACTCACAGCTGAAAGCCCTAACAAGGACAGGAACCAAACATAAAATTAAACCATAAAAGTGGTCAAGGAATTACCTGCGTACCAGCAAAGAGCAAATCATTACCCACAACCAGGGCATAAACTTGTCCTACAGGCCCACTAAGACTCAGTTCAGAGTTAGTTTGGGTGTTCCATGCCTACAAAACCATATCCACGACCGAATGAGGCAAAATATCATTATAGTCTGCTGCTATAAGCTTAATTTTTAGGAGATTCGTCCTGCCTACATTTACAACATCTGGTATACCAACAAATAGACCTTCACTGATCATACAACCTACTTCACCACCAAGATTAATTACTCCCAGGCACTGCAAAATAAACAAATACAAGCACATGAATTATTTTCCTGCCCCTCTGGATTGACAATGAGACATGTGAAAAATAATATCCAACTATCTAAACTGAGCACAATGAACGTGTGATTAAGAAAACAAAAAGCCAATAATTGAGACATGAGAAAAAAAATCTCTAGAAAGCTCTCCAGTTCTCCCCATAAAATCTCTCAAGACCCTTCTATGCATCCTATAATACAAGCCATGTTTCCCTTCTACAGTTTTTGTCATTGCCACTCATAAGTCCACACTTTGCTCGCTGAAGTAATCTTTGACAAGGACTGTGGTCAGCTGCATTTTAGTGTTGTTGATTACTTTCTACTTTCTTTACATAGATATTACCTGGTATTACAATTTTCACATTCCTATCAGGGGATGACATCTTTAAAATCATGATTGGTAGGAAATTCCCGTGTTATTGAGCAGTAACCGAATAAAATCCAAATCACCCATTTCAATAAATAAGAAACGGAAGCAGGCTGCAAGATTTACAGTAGACCACAAAGAATCAGAGTTCCCACAGTACCTACCAGTGCCATAGTACTACAGAGCTCTAATCATACTAATCATATACCCATAACTAATCCTACGTTGAAGTCCAATTCTATACTTTATAAAACTCAACAAACCCTAACCTAGGCTGATTTCGATTGAATTCAATCAAAATCAAATTAGAAATACACATAAAATCTAGATTCAATACAATTAAATCAGACATGCAAATGGAAACCAAATTCAATCAAATAGAATCAAACATTCACATAGAATCTACAAAAATAACCCCAATAAAATCAAGATAAGCAAATCTAGAATCCAAATCAACTCTAAAGCTATAAGAAAACTCATAATCAAGCATTGGGGGTTAGGGCTTTAGAGAATCGCACCTTTGGAATGTCACTGAGAATTCAGCTTTGAAGCAATAGGGCTCTAGCAATAGTCTTCTCACGAATGAGGAACTGGAGCTCTTGATTAACAACAAGCAGAGAGAGAATCCAGAAATTGTGAGAGAGAGAGAGATGGAGAGAGTGAAGAGAACGTTCACATATGAACGAAAAATAAAGCGAGGGTTAGCAGATTGTAAATATATCGGGGGTTTTCGGAAATTTTTATTTTTTGATGACGTAGATACTGTAAGACCCACATCATGAATTGATTGACCAATTTCCTTTTAAAAAAAGCTGAGTATCAATCACATAAATTAATAAAATTAAATTAAAACAAAATTTAAAACAAAAACCTATCCAGCCACATCACCCTTGGCCTCTCTCTCTCTGAGTATCAATTACATAAATTAATAAAATTATTAATTTAAAACAAAAACCTATCCAGCCTCATCACCCTTGGCCTTCTCTCTCTCTCTCTCTCTCTCTCTCCACCTCAAACACCACACCGGACCCAAAACTCAAATCCACGCCACAACAATGGCTGCCTCCTCACAACTACCATTAATCTAATTTTTGGTTCTACCAAATAACATAAGTCTTTTATTATTTTATATAATTTTGATTTTTTTTTTTTTTTTTTTTTTTTTTTTTTTTTTTATTAGGGTCAGCCAAGAGGTGAGTCCCACAATATTCACATTATCAATTAACGTTTGACCAGACGGTCGATTTAACGGAGGGTGTAAATTGGTCACTTTTAATAACGTTGGAGGTGTAAATTGATGAAATTGAAACCCCGTAGCTTATATTGAAAATCACCCCAAAACTCAAGAGGGTGAAATGATGTTAGCCCAAAATTTTATATTTAATTATTATATTTGTTACATTTATTCTTCTGCAAATCCATATGTTCTATAATGAAAGGTTTTGCGTTGTCTCTCCACTGATTAGTGTCATGGGATTTGCCATTCGTCCCTAATATAATTTTCTACTTAGTATTATAATCAAGTTTCAGAGCAGGCTTTTAATTAGCAAGTGCATAATAAGCGATTGTATAGGGCTCCACTTTAAAGGGGACTTCACATTAATATTATATTTCATTAATATAATGCTATAGCCTAGTAATATTATATGGACAATGCTTGGCTCCTGATGTATCAGGAGCCACTCCTCCTCAACAATGATGTGGCCTTTTTAAAAAATGACACAAAAAAAAAAAAAAAATTGTTTCCCTCTCTCTTCTCACCCACTCTTCTCTCCTCTCCCAACTCTCTCTTCTCTCATCCCCCATCTCTCTCTCTTCCTCTGCAACTCTCTCCCTTCCTCTGCAACTCTTTAGAAGAAATTTTCAGCCCCTTTCTCTTCCCATCGCTGCTCCTCCATCATCATCACCCAAACACTATATATTGATCTCTCATTTTTTTAACTTTTAATTTTATTGAGTTATTTATTGAGGAGTTTTGGAAATTTAATTTTCAGCCCCTTTCTCTTCCCATCGATGCTCCTCCATTATCATCACCTAAACACTATGTATTTGATAGGACCCGCCCCAAATTTCTCGGAACCCGAGACGAATTCTGTGGAATTCCCGACATCACCCAAATGTCAGGCCCACTCACTAAAACTAAATCCTCTTTTCCCAAAAAGGATCAAGGGCATGAGACTTCCTACCGAAATTTCGACAGAATCTCCCCTATAAATTGAACATTCCCCAAATTTCAACATGCACAAAATTCACATTTTAATATCCCAACAGGCAGCACGCACAAACTAATCTCATGCAATTCATCTGATTGGCCTCCGACCTTCAAATAATTTGAAGCAAACAACCAACAAAGTCCTTAAGCCAAAATAATAACTCAAACACACTTATGAATGCCAAATGTAAATTACAACATCTAACTTTCCCAACTATCAGACATACGAGGTTTTAACCTCCTAACACAAACACATAAGTAAAGTTTAGCCCGCGGCTGCACCTAGGCCTTACCCTAGGCTGCCTACGTACCCTCGCCGAGGGATCAAGCCACACGTAATTCTTATGTCAACGGTCACAACTCCGATAATAGACAATTATTTACAACCGAACCACTATACATTTCAGATCTATCACAATTCTAAATCAGATAAAAACACATTGAAACATTATCACTTCCTTCCCAAGGCATCGTATTAAGAAGACATTCGAAGGGCCTGGACAAACTCCGACGGGCCTGGGCAAAATCAATCTCCGACGGACCTGGGCAAAATAAATCTCCGAAGGGCCTGGACAAACTCCGACGGGCTTGGGCAAAATAAATCTCCGAAGGGCCTGGACAAACTCCGACGGACCTGGGCAAAATAAATCTCCGAAGGGCCTGGACAAACTCCGACGGGCCTGGGCAAAATAAACTCTCAAACATAAAACCCATAACCGGGGAGGTACCTAAGATAGTGCTAAAAGCATTCAACTAACATTCCAAGTATCCCACACATAATCAACAACGATAGTACCTTCTCAAATATTATATAAAAACTCAAGACACTCGAGTATGTCAAACCCACATATGACCAATACTTTACAAAAATAATAATTTCCACAATTAAATATAAAATGAATATCGATAAACCATTAAATTCATATGCATAATATTTCCATCACAAAACCATGCCATTTATTTGAAAGCAATGCCCACTCACTTCCTAATAATCATAGCCGAGTCCCAAGACTCACTTTCACAACCCAACAAATCAAGTATCTCATACTCATCCATTTCCTAATTTCAAATTATCAAATAATATCCAAGAATTTCATAAAGGAAAACTAAACACTCTTGAAGACAAACGTCCACTTAAATACTAATACTCAAAGCTGAGACCCTAGACTCGCTTGCAAGGTTATCCTAATACTTTTCGAAGGGTAAAACTACCTCGGAAGACTCATGATCAACCGAGAATCAAACTGTCCAAACTTGGTCAACCGGGCCCACAGGACCCACGACCTCCAAATTCCAATCCGAAAGTTCCTATGTATTCTACAAGGCTTGGGACACACGTCCTGCGAGTTTCATCCAGATCGGACGGTCGGATCGCTCACGATCGCAAGATCGGACGGTTACTATAACCCTAGCCCTAGGGTTGGGATTTCCGGAGTATCCGGGGCTCCGTTTTACGATCCGTCAAATCCTACACGATTCTAAGGATGTCTAAGTTAACATATAATAAATTCAAGACCATCCAACGGTCCAAACCTGTCGAACCCAAATAACGCATAATAGGCGATATCCGTTCGAGACTCAAACGGTATCCAAATCGAGATCTGTAAAATCCTATGTGCTCGTGACAACCTGGAGATCATTTTAGGACACAATGACAGGTTAACACGTGGCCCACGCGCCGGCAGCGCGTGGGTGTCCAAAGAAATTTCCGGCGATCGGAAAAACTCCAAACCGCCGGCCAAGCTTCCTACCCTAGGTAAAACACCTAATTTGGAACCACTTTTGTTCTTGGACATACCCCAAAAAGTCGACGGAAGTGGCTGAAAACGGAGGTCGAAGCCGGCAGATTTTTCTATCGCTTATTTAGCTACCCAAACGCAGAAATCTCGCCTATCCAACACAACCAGCAGCTAGTACGTCTCGAGAGGTTGAGAAAGCAAACCTGGATCGACGGAATGGGTGGCCGGAGGCGTCCGAACGAGCTCCGTGAATTTTGGGTTAAAACCGGTCGGATTTTTGCATTTTCCGGCGATCACAGGTGGTTCCAGCGGCTGAGATCGGTCAGGATGGAAAGAGGGAGGTGGCCCAGAAACCCCGGCGATGAACAGTAACAGGGGGGCTGTTTTGTGCGCGCAGGGAGAGGAGGAAGAAGAAGAAAAAAAAAGAAAAAGAAAAAATATTAAAACTGCCCGGTCACTGTAGCATGATACTGTAGCGGTACTGTTGTTACAGTAACAATGTTATAAAAAATTCCATATACGTCCCTTTCATTTTCAGACTTTTCCTCCTTCGTTACAACTCGGAATTGGGCATGCCGCATGTCTATGAACTCGTATCGACGAGCTCTATGCAACGGTACCACTTATTTTCCCAAAATCCTCTCGAATTAAAAAAGTGACCAAAATACCCTTATCCCCAAGAGTAAAATAAATAATTTAAATGGATAATTAAATTTGGAGTCGGAGTGTTACAGTATTGATTTCTCTCATTTTAATTTTTAATTTTATTTATGAGTTTTGGAAATTTTGGGAATAGTGGAAGAAAGAGATGGAGAGATGGAGAGATGGAGATATGAGAGAAGAGAGAGCTGGGGGAGGAGTGGAGAGAAGAGAGAGAGATGCGAAGATGAAAGAAGAGAGAATTGGGGGAGGAAAGGAGAGTGGGTGAGAAGAGAGAGATGGAGAGAGTCAGTGAAACAAATAAAATAAAAGGGGTTGAAAATTTCTTCTAAAGAGTTGCAGAGGAAGAGAGAGACGGGGAAATGAGAGAAGAGAGAGTTGGGGGAGGAGAGGAGAGTGGGTGAGAAGAGAGAGGGAAACAAATTTAAAAAAGAAAAAAAAGAAAAAAGAAACACGTGTCATTTTTTAAAAAGACTACATCATTGTTGAGGAGAAGTGGCTCCTGATACATGAGGAGGAGTGGCTCCTGATACATCAGGAGCCAAGCATTGTCCATATTATATTAATTTAATAATCAATGCCAAACCGGCACTATGGAATAGGAACACAACCTAATAGTGTTATAGTCACACTAAAAGATTACTCATTTTGATGGCATTTAAACATGGTTAAAGATCAAAAGAAGGTTCCCATATTACCTTCACTTTTAATGCATTATCCCTAGAGAAAGACACACAAGTTCCTCCTTGTTCATAATTTACAAGAATCTTCTACCTAAAAAAATATACAAATTTCCGATATAATTAACTGTCATATGAACCAGTCGAGCAAGTCATTGGCCCTCCACTGATCCAGCTACCGAACCCGACTTTAGGCAAGAAGAAGCCAATCCTCAAACCCAAACAATGAGCCTCCATCATGACATCTTTGTTGGAAGTTTGAATTAAATTCAAGAACCTTTGTCCCACATTGATAGAAAGTAAAAAGAGTGAGGTCCTTATAAGTGTGGAAGTGCCACACTTAGTAAATGGAAGTAGGCCAAGTGGAAGCAATTTGGGCTTCAAAATTGATTTGGGCTTTGAATATTATATAAAATATATAATATTTAATGGTCAAAAAGATGGGCCTTGGGCCTTGGGGCACTTTCAGATTTAAAATTATTTTTTGGTTTCGAATTAATAATTTTTATTAATTCGGATTAGTTTTATTAACTGTTTTCTAACAGTTGTGACTCTTCTGATAAGGTTTCAGAAGTTTATTTAAATCAAACAAGGCCTCATACGTTAGAGACAGAAAAAAGCATTCTACAAGCATTTTCATATTGTCTGAGAGGAAAACAAACAACGTTCGCCAGATTCTAAGTCCGAGTGCTAGGGCTTAGAATATAGATAGTTGAATCCTGGGAGGCAGTCACCTGTAGAACTTCAAGCACCGAGAAGGGGTGAAATTACTGTCTTTAGGACATTGCATCAAATCTGCAAGCCTCTATCTCAAAATTCAAGTCAGTTTTATTTATTGTTAATATATGTATTCTGTGTTACAGATTGTTATATATTCTGTTTATATATTGTTTTAATCAGTCATTGATAATTGTTTTTCCAACAATCTTGTGTTCCCCACCAACCCTTCGTATAAGTAGCCCATGCAAACATTTCCATCATCAAACTCACAGCACTATCTTCAAGTTGCCTATTCATTTCTTCCAAATCCGACACCTTCATGGTTGGCTGATTCCGTAATCCGGTCATCGATATCTTCACATGCATCATTCTTTGTTCCTTCAAACCCAAGTCAAATGGCTCGACAAAGTATATCGCCAGAGGGCTATCTTTGTATAAAATTGAACCCTCTATCCGGTCGAAGTGAACCCATGAGACCATGTTTGGGGTTGTCTATGGTGAAGGCCACGTCCCAACTGGCACCTAGTGATGTGTTTGAGACGTCAAGCTTGGACATAAAGACGTATAACAATGTGAATGTCCCTAATGCAAGTGCTAGAATGCGGTGGACGTACTAATCTTGAAATGGATTGGGATGCAATTGACTGGGACACGATGGGGTTTGAAGGGTTGCTTGAGTAATGGCTCTGTGGTTGAGTGGTGATAACCTTTTGCATTAATTTCCATGCTTAATTAAGAGGAATTAATTAACGCAAGTAATGTAATAGAAGGTTACTAGGGTGATTGCAAGAGAGATGGGAATGAAGAAATGAATGAAAGCGAGTTAATATAAAGGGGAAGGGTAAAACTGAATAACTACTAGAGAGTAGAGGTTGTTGTAACTTGAAAGTGATTACAACTAACATTTGCTAAATGAGAGTAAAATGAATAACTAGTAGAATTTGATAATAGAAAATATAACTACTAGAAGTTCTCAACAACACTCGTTTGATAGCAGATAGAATATGGTTAAACTTCGAGAATCAGAAGTTCGTTGAAATGCCAAAAATAAATTAGGCTATAATGGTAAAATTTTCAAAAATCCAAATTGCCCATGTTTAAGAATTTTATGTTTTTGCCAATGGGGTATACCTTTGTTAGTTAAGCTTTTTTGCATCCACCTATGTGGGCAGAGGTTCGAAACCCTCAAGTACCCAATGAATATTTGTGTAAACCCCTTCCCCCAAATCGCTTGTACTGAAGAAAAATTCTTTAGGAACTTGCAATAAAGACAATGTAATTCTAACATCTGGGCCTAATTAATTAAGATAGTCCTTGGGAAGATGCATTTGAACTTTTATTTAATTTACTGTCACTGCATTTTTTTTCTTCAAAAATGAAAAATATTATAAGGGTACTAAACATAAATGGAACTAAAACACTTTGTTATTATATATGGAGATTCATAAACAATGAGTGCTTATGAGGATGAAACTTAATGAGTATGGTGAAAAGATTGTTCTTGGTTGTCGATCTGTAATGTCTCCTCTTAGAGGGATAAGATAGAGCATATGGTTTGGATGAGTGTGAGCACAAGGAGTATAATTGCAGCAATAGTAGAAGCAAGTTTCCATGGAGTGTTGAAATAGTCGCGCTTCAGAATTGCTTTCCATCTGTGCCAAGGAGCCTTGCAGTAGGCATTGAGTCTTTGGGAAAGGATAAGGTAACGATAAGTTTGCGAATTGACTGCAACCCCTTGGCCAATGCGGTTAATTAAATAGAGCGGACAGATCATCGTTACTCCCCAGCGCACTAGATATAATTCCATGTTCAATGAGCAAGTCCACGTCCTTTGAAGTCTTGATCATGCCCCCCATGAGGAACATAAATTGCGAAATGTACCTCATTTGGTGATCGTGGCACTGTTCAAAGGCGATGAGGTTCCTGAAGAGAGTTTCCGTCCAATCGTCAACTCTAAAATTCGGAATTATGAGACTTCCGTTGTTGAATTGTATGTCAAGTAAGAAGGTTGTTGTTCTTGTCACAAACTGAACTCCGGCATCGTCTAGCACTGTCATGCTTGGTGGGATTTCTTCAACCCTAGGATGACTATTGGGATTTTCACCCTCCACATCGTCTAGCACTGTCATGCTTGGTGGGATTTCTTCAACCCTAGGATGACTATTGGGATTTTCACCCTCCACAGGCGACATGGGCAAGTAGTAGTATCGTATAAAATCAATAAAATGCTTCACTCCATGGTTAACTTGAGGCACAGGTGCATGATCAGCACCAAACTCATCGATTTTGACGTAACCCTTCAAGAACTCATGCGTAAGATCCACAAAGAAGCTGAGATTTCCTTTGTAGCTGCTATCAACAAGGTCATACAAACCCTCAAGAAGAAAGAAGGGAATTTGGTTCTCGATCAACAACACGACATCAAGGAAAACATCTGTTATCATCCGCGGCTTATGATATATTCGATCGCCGTCGTCTATATATTGGGCAAACTGATGCCTGAGCATAAGCTCCAAGACAAAAATTGCGTCCACCAGCATCAGCTCGGCGAAGTCATCACTGCTTAGGTCAATGGGCTCGACATAATATCTCCTGGCTTTTATCTCGCAACTTCTCACAAAGCCAAGGCATTGGTCTATGAATCCGAGCTCGTTTCGGCTGGTGAAGGCCTCTATGTATTTGAGCTTATAGCTTTGCATTTGTGGGAAACTTCCGTGGTAGGAGTGATAGGGTCCGATTGGGACCACCCGGGGTTTGTAGTGTTGTTCATTTCCATTGCGAAATCTCTCGGGGACTTGGTAAATAGCACAATCTGGCGAAAACGGCGGCGTTCTTCGCATCTTATCCTCAATTAGAATCGCCACTTGATCGCGAGGGTTTGGGTTCTCCACTGCTGCAGCAGCTGCTGGTCCAGCAGCATTGGTTGATTCCTTTGGACTTGGAGCACCTCGTGTTGTTGAAGTCTCCTTGGCCGGCCCAGATGACGGCGTTTCTCGCGACGCTAAACCCTTAGATGGAATCGCTGCTTGATCGCGCGGGTTTGGGTTCTCTACTTCTGGTCCAGCATTTGTGGATGCACTTGGAACATCCGTCGTTGATGAAATTTCCTTTGGAGAAGACGACGCCTTGTGTCGCCCTTTCCATGGAAATAGTCGCGCCCATTGACATGGCCCTTTTTTAATTGTTGTCGCAGCACCCAACCTCTTTGAGTCAGGAGGACGAACGTCTGGTCCAAACCGGGTCATTAAACCTTTTAAATAATAATAAAAAAATTATGTCGTTAAGTTGTCATCGATTACATAAAATAAATAAAGAACATATAATTTAAAGTTGTATTTGGATCAAGACAATTGCTAGTTAAGTTATCATATTTTAAGATTTTAAGTTTAACACAAATAAATAATTTCTACCTGGTTCTTGGAAGAAAAAAGATTATTTGATGGAAAAAAAAGAAAAAAAGATTCACAAACATCAAGGGTGTGTGCAATTGCCACCCAAAGAAATTATTTTAACGTATGGCACCTAAACTTCACTTTTGGTGTGAATCTATCACCTCCATCTATTTTCATCCATATTTCCATTAGAAATATTTCTAAGGACACTCTTAAAAATTCTCTAGGCACTAGCATTACTTGACTCGTTCGTTGTTGAGATAAAATACCTCTAGAATACAAGTGACGGAGTTAAGCTGAGCTGATATAAGCCTAATTTACGTAGTATCCACTAAAAGGACTTCTAGACCTAAGCGAGCTACGATGCTTTAGGTTGATCAAGATATGTCTACTTGAAAGGAATCCTAGAACAAGGAGGACTAGGTTGTTCTTGAGTTTTACTCTTACAAGGATTGGGTCGTGTTGGATACCACAACTTATTGTGCATTTTACTCTCAAACACTAGACTTGTGGCATAAAAGATGAATCCACAAGGTGAGAGAAAGAGAATTGGTGATTTTTTTATTTATTTTTAATTTAAAAAAATAATCTATTTTTAACATTTAAATTGTCTTCTAAGTGTTTTTTTTACACACATTGCACTTAGGTGATATACATTTGAGCAAGATAATAAGCTCCATTCGTGCCACATCAATATTTGTAACAAACTTTTTTAAAAACATGATAATGGAAAGCAAAGTGAGATGCAAAACATTAGTAAGAAAGTGGATATAATTTTGTTGTAGTAAATAACATCCTTTCCCCAGTGGTTGGGTTTGATGGTTTTTGGGTTCATTTCAACATCTTATCAGAATACAAAAGAGTATGTTAAGTAATTATGTTCGGGTAGCTAAAAAGATCAAAATTTAATCATGAAATCTTTCTACACATGTAAATTTTGCATAATATATTATTAAAAAGACATTAGGCGTACCAGTTTGGGTGGATGATTTTCACTAGATGACTCCACCTCTGCAATCAAGATATATTATTTTCAGGTAGGCATTTGAGACAAGCTCTGAAAGTGGCTGATCATGATAATTAATGTGTATATAACAGAATGTAAAGTTCCATATTATTCTTTCACATTATTACAAGAAATTAACAAAGTATTATTCTTCATATTCTTTGACATTATTACAAGCAATTAACAAATTATTATTCATCGACATTATTACAAGAAATTATAACAAAGTATTATCTAAGTTGTGGGAACACATATTTTGGCAATCAATAGATGGGTGTCATGTGGAAAGGGAATATTCCTTAAGCCAACTGATTATCCTAATTAATTCTATTTAATTAGAGAAATTATTTTGATTTAAGATGAGAATATCACCTCAAATCAAATCTCCTTGATTAATTCCAATCTCTTATTTACGGGTAAGAATAATCTTAAACAAATAAGGATTATTCTTCAAACCCTAGCCTACAAGGGTTCATAAATACATGGCTACACAACACACAAGAGGTAATTTTGAAACTCTACACAAAAAAGCTCTCTTTCTCTCACGCCACTCTTGGATCTCTCTCCCTCACGACTCCGACCACCCACATACACGGTTCTGGCCACTTGACTCTCTCCGTGAGAGAAGACCTCCATCCTTTCTGTTATCTCCACATCTTTTTTAAGATCATTTAACTGACTTAGTCATCGAATGGCCTTTGGCAGACACGCCGCGAATGTGGTCTATTTACTCCAACCTTTTTCACAAGGATCAAGGAAGAAGAGAGAAAATGAAGCTCAAAGGGTTGAAGACTCAACCCACGAAAATTCCCCATGCAGAAATTTGCTCAAACATAAGTCTTCTGTATAAAAATTTAAAAAAAGAAAAAAGAGAAAGATCCCTTGCAAGATAGCTGCTTCGTAAGGGTTGTCTATGGTGAAGGCCACGTCTTGATTGGCCCTTAGTGATGTGTTTGAGACGTTAAGCTTGGACACGAACATCTAGTAAAGATGAACTTTTAGGGTTTGTGGAAGTCTGTACATGAGGACGCATAATAATGTGATGTCCTTAATGCAAGCAATAGAATGCGGTGGACAAGTCCTAATTTCGCAATGCATCGCGATGCGAAAAACTGCAATATCATGGGGGTTAAAGAGTTGCTTGCACTGACGGACACATTAAGGCGCAATGAGGTGCAACTCACCTCCCCTCACTGGAAAAAACCCAGGAGGCGCTAGATTTGCCCCTCGGCTATGCTGCCTACGAACTATATGAGTAAATGCCACAACCATGTTCTTCTTTGTTTGTTGCCCTGTGCGAAGCATTCCTTTTTTCTTTTTCTTTTTCAAAGTCCTGGGCAAAACGACTCGTTTTGGACCATACCAAAAAAGAAATAAATAATTAAGGGAAGGGCTAACTGTCGATTTACCCCCTGAACTTGTACGCTACTTTCAATTTGCACCATCAACTTTTTTTTCTTCGTAGAAAATTGAGTACAATAACTAATTTTTATTTCCAATTCCCCTACCGTCGAAATCTCAACATTTCATCAAATTTTCCGTTAAATATGAGGGCAAATTGGTCATTTTAAATGTTAAAATAATATAAAATCTCAAATAAATAAATAAAAGCATTTTAATAAACAAAGGGGCTCCACCCATGCCTTCCCTTTGTTGTAATTAAAAAAACAGAGGGGGGGAGAGAGAGAGAGAGAGAGAAGGTTTATTGGGAGGGAACAATGGTGGTCATGGGGAATGGGGAGAAGAAAATGTTAGATATATGCCATAGAAGCAAATATAAAATGAATAATTCTAAGGAAATAATATATAATAATAAAAAAGACAAGAACGTTGCTTTAGATACATAACGTACACAAAGTAACAAGTCCATGGATTAAGATATAAATGAAAAATGGTCTAAAGAAGTTAGATGCAAGAGACCTTATACATATGAATATCGTATCCTAAAATGTTCCTGGTCGTAGGATCACCATTGGACAACGATGACCCACAAAGACTGGTACACATTATGTCTGCTTAATTAGGAGGATGACTAGTCTCAAGAAGAGGAATAAGCTACGCGACAAACGATTGTATGATCAATTATGATTTATTTGTTTAATTGATAATTTGATATATATTTCAATTAGATTAATTGATATTGCTTTTCGCTAGGTTAATTGTTATTTGGTATGAATTTTAGTTGATCTTCCCCTGAATATTGCCCCTCCATTCAAAAATTTCTAGGTCGCCAATTGGTTGTCTGAAACTGGGAGTAGCGGCAGGGTGGCTGAGTGTTGAGTTATTGCATTAATTTCCATGGTTGATAAATTAATAGGGAATTAATGCTTGTGATGTAATATGAAGCTTTTTATGCTCCGTTTGGTGTTGTGGTGCGTTGAAAATAACTAAAGAACAGCTTATTGTAAAAATTAAGGGTCGTTGGCAGCAATTTTTGGAAGCAGATGGGAAGGTGCTTTAAGAAGTTGATGTCATGAGAAGCAAGCGGGTGCAGTTAAAGAAATTTTCAAGTTAGCCATAATGCCCTCGTGCTTTTAAATAAATGAGAGTCTTATACCCCGCTTTACTCTTCTTCTTTCTCGTTGAGAGCTGAAATCCTCAGCCCATCATCTAGGTCATCTCTAGATCTCATTATTTGAAGAACGTTTTGGGTTCTCTAAACTTTTTCGACCACAAGGCACAGTTACATTTACATCTCTCCTCATCCAAGATTCTTATTCTTTGAGAGGCTGTGTGTTTTGCTGTTCTAATCTTCTGCATCTTTTGGTTCTTGAACTTTTGATTTGGGTTTTTTGAACTTTAATTTCGTGACATTTAAAACAACAAATTGCAATTACTGAAGTTCTATTTTTGTGTACACTAAAGTTCTATTTCGTGACATTTATACAATAAAGACACTTTTAGGTCTTAGGGAGGGATAAAATAGAGCATACTGTTTGTGTGAAGGTGAGTACAAGGAGTACAATTGCAGCAATAGTAGAAGCAATCTTCCATGGAGTGTTGAAATAGTCTCGCTTTAGAATTGCCTTCCACCGGTGCCGACGGGTCTTGCAGTATGCATTTAGATTTGCACAAATCTGAAAGTAATAAAAAGGCTTTTCGAAGCCAACGTCTCTGCTGATATGGTTAAACAGAATGGAGAGGTCTTTGCTACTCCCTAGCATGCTAGATATGACTCCGTAGTCCATGAGTAAATCTGCGTCCTTTGAAGTCCTGATCATGCACATCATGAGGAACATAAACTGGGAAATGTACTTCTCCGTGCCGTGGCACTGCTCAAAAGCGATCAGGTTCCTGAAGAGAGTTTCTGTCCAGTCGTCTACTACGAAATTTGGAATTTTGAGACAACCATTGTTGAATTCTATGTTAAGCAAGGAGGCACTGCCTTTAATTGTCTCAAACTTAACTCCGGCCTCATCAAGTGCCGTCACGCTTGGTGGAATTTCATGAACCATAGCGTTATGTTTCTGCTCATCCTTTTGAGGCGGTGGCAGCGCCAAGTAGTGGCGTCGTATAAAATCAACAAAATGATTCACTTGATCAAGGTTAGCGGGACACTCATCAATTTGCAAGAAATGCTTGAAGAAGTCATGAGTTAGCTCGGTGAAAGAAAGATGATGATCTCCTGTACTCGCACCGATTTGCATGTACAAATACAAACCCTCGAGCACGAAGAAAGGAAGTTGATTTTCTATCAACAAGATGTCGTGGTAAACGTCTTCAATTATCCTCGGCTTGTGAAATATCGGATCACAATTACCTCTGTATCTAGAAAAGTGATGCCTAAGCATGAGTTCCAAAACAAAAGTTGCATCCATCAGCATTGTAAAAGTAAATTGATCACTACTTAGTTCAATAGGCCCCACATAATAGCTCCTCGCTTTTGCTTCCCATGCTCTCACTAATCCAAGACAAGCGTCCAAGTTGAGCTTGTTCCGGCGGAAAAAGGCGTCCACGTATTTGGCCTTGACATAGCCTGTATCTATGAAGTAAGGTCCGATTCCGACTACACGAGGTTTGTAGAATTCTTCATTCCCTTTGAGAAATCTCTCCGGGACTCTGTAGATACAACACTCAGGCGACAGATCAGGCGTGCCTTGGATACATTCCTGTATGGCAATCGCCACTAAATCACTCGAATTTCCAATTATACTTGTATGGACGTGTGGAGGAGTAGGTATCGGATGTGGAGGCATCGGAACTAGACCACGTTGTTCATGTATCGGACCACGTTGTTCAAAATGCTCGCCAGCTGGAGCAGTCCGCTTATGTATCGGATCTATATCTCTAACGCCATTCCCATCGGATGTGGGGGGATCTATATGTGCTTTGCAGGAATCCTGTCATCATGTGTATGGCAGAGCCAAAATTTTACTTTAGTTAGTAAGCCAGCATCAGACAGTATATGTGCTTTTTAAATTTATAATATTGCATGTCAAAAACTCTAGAGTTAATTGATAAAGTTTGTAGGTCAGAGGATGATGAAGCTTACATATTCATTTCCAAAGGTTAACCTGCACATGGCTCCTTCTTCGTCTAAGATATTATTTTCAGGCAGGGACATTTGACCTTGTTACAAGAAATTCACAAAATGTCATCCAAGGTATTCTTCAATATTTCCAAAAAGAAAAGTTTCCTTGCAACCTGCTTCCCATTCAAGCCCTGATTATTCAATTAAAAATGTATAGCTTCCTCTATTTCTTTTTTGGTTCCCATTAACAAAAGGGTTAATTATGGCTAAAGATATTTAATGAGTATGTTGAAAGGATTATTGACAGTTTTAGCTTAATATAATTGGTTATATTTTGGAGGTTGATATTCCCACTCCTCTTTTGTTCACTTACACTTCCTTATATGTTATAGTAAAAAGTATTTTAAAAAAAACAAAAGGAAGTGTATGTGGACAAAAAGAGAGTGAAAAAATCAGCACCCATATGTTTTTATGTTTCATGTTTTCCTATAATGTATGTAAACATGTATGAGATTAGATGAATGATAACATGAACAGTCTTTGACAAAGACATTATTGGCCTTCATAGATACATCTCATTACGGACCATTTTGGTGGTTTGCTATTGTTGTTGTACATGGAGGCGACTATGTCACTCGTTGGGGTGGAGATAGAATCATAAAGTTGGGGGGCTGAAGTAGAAAATACAAGTATATAAAGCACCTAAGTATTCAATAGTTACATGTTTATAGCTAAATATTTCTAATTTAGTCATGTGTCTAATTTGTTTTAGAGAAAATTTTAACTTAAATTATAAGTTCTTTATTACAAATTCTACATGTTACATATAATTTAATAGAGGAGATACCAAAATCAGGGGAGGTAGGGCCACTCCAGGCCTAAGAATGGCTCCGCCAACCGCTATGACACATGATACATTAGCATATTGCTAAAACTTGGTTTTTTGAATGTATTGCGCATCTATGTTTCTCACATGATATGGCTATGCATTACGGAAATTATTTGCTATATTAAATTGTTTAGTAAATATTATCAAGATAATCTAAACAGGGAAATTATTACAAATAAATAAAAGGGTAATTTCTTTTCTATTAACGTGGTGAGTGAGAAAATTTTCATTTTTATGTGGGTGGATCTTAAGCTTTTTTCTTTCGATGTTGTGCGACATGTGGATTGGACTAATTCTGAAACAATCACTCTAATTATTATATGAATATTGTTTACTTATTATTTCAGGTAGGTGACAAGACCAAAACTAATCATGAAATCTTTCAACAAATGTACAAAGAAATTTTGCATATTGCATATACGATTAAAAAGATACATACCAGTTTGGGTGGATGATTTAGCCACCTCTGTAATCGAGATATATTATTTTCAGGCAGGGACAAGCTGACTGATTGTTATTATAATTGATGCCTGTGTGTGTGTATATATATATATACAAAATCAAAAGTGCCATATTGTTCTTTGACATTGGTACAAGAAACTAAAAAAGTATTATCTAATTCTTCTTTCTAACAAAAGAGAAAGGTTCATTGCAAAGGTCAACGGTGACCACGTTTTGGTTGGATTATAAAAAAAACATTCGCTACTAAAGATGCCCCACAGGCCTTCTTTCTCAAGATTGAATTATTCGCGTAGAACAAAATAAAGCAACGCTGCCAGGTTTTACATTAATTTGGACCCTCGCTAGATTCTCCATTTTTCTCTCTTGCATTTGTGTAGGTTCGAGCTTCGCGTCTCGGATTGGTGTTTGTGTTTAATTAACTTAACATGTTAATTGTGTTGAGAATTCCAGACGTGAGCTTGCAAGGAACCTTTTCTTTTCGCAAATATTGAAGAATACTTGGATGACACATCCTTAATTTCTTGATGCCCATATAAACAGACAATGAAAAGTGCCATATTATCCTTTGACATTGTTACAAGAAACTAACAAAGTATTATCTAATTCTTCTTCATAACAAAAGAAAAAGGTTCATTGCAAGATGCTTCCCATTAAAGGCATGATTATCTACAATAGGAAAAGGTTTCCTCATAATATCTATTCCTTTTTCTACTTCTTTTCATGGCCACAAAATTCAACAAATCATAATTTACAAGAATCTTCTACATCCATTAAATTACAATGTCAACCTAAACACTCTAGTGCTATGTAAAAAAAATATATATTATATACAAATTCCCGATTTAATCAACTATCATACAAACCAGTCGAGCATGTCATTGGCCCTCCGCTGATCAACCGCTCTTATACATAGCCCATGCAAACATCTCCATGTTCAAACTCACACCACCATCTTCACGTTGCCTATTGATTTCTTCCAAAACCCCCTCCTTCATCTCCAGCCTCCTGTAAGTCGGTCATCAATATCTTCACACGAATCATTCTTTGTTCCTTCAACCCCAAGTCAAACGGCTCGACAGAGTATATCGCGATTTGCAAGAGGGTTGTTCTTGTACAAAATTGAAACCCGTTATGTGGTCGAATTGAACCCACAATATCATATTGGGGTTTTCTTTGTGAACGCCGCGTTCCAATTGGCCCTAATGCAAGCAATAGAATGTGGATTTTTGGGGTTTGTGGAAGTCTGGACATGAAGACTCATAACAATGTGAATGTCCCTATTGCAAGCAATAGAATGTGGTGGACAAGTCCTAATTCGGCAATGTACGGTGATGCGATCGACTTGTGATTGAGTGGTGAGCTTTTGCATTAATCTCCATGGTTAATTATAAGAGGAATTAATTAATGCATGTTACGTAATATCTGGTTACTAGGATTTGGGCCAATAAAAAAAGGTTACTAGGCTGATTGCGAGCGAGAGATGGGAATGAAGAAACGGGTGAAAGAAAGGTAATATAAAGGAGGTCAAACTGAATAAACTAGTACTAGACTACCTCACTCTCAAACTTATTCCAACATATCATTTGCTAATGCCATAGAGTTTGATAACCAGAAAATATAACTATTTTTCCACCGCAGTCGTTTAATATAGCAGATAAAATGGTTAACTGAGCTAGACTTTGAGAACCAAAATGTTTAGGGTTTAGGAACTTGCAATGATGACAAAAATTTAAGTAATAATTCTAGATAGTCATTAGCTAGAGCATATAATATACCTTATAAATGAAGGTGAGCATGATGAGTATATTGCAATAGTAGACATAATCCTCCACAGAGTTTGGAAATAGTTGCTCTTGAGAGTTGTTGTCCACCTCTTCTGCCGAGGGTATGCATTGATTTCTTGTTTCTTCATTTTTCTGGGTCACATATGCATTCAAATTTTTACAGAGACTAAAGTAACAATTTGTCTCACCCAAGCCAACATCTTTTCCAATGTGGTCAAGCAGAGTTAACAGATCTCTGCTACTGCCTGGCCTGCTGGATATAATTTTGTTCTGGACGAGTAAATCCACGTCTTTTGAAGTTCTGATCATGCACCTCATAAGAAAAATAATATAATGGGAGATGTACTTCACAGCGTGTTCGTGGCACTGCTCGAAGGCGATGAGATTCAAGAATAGAGTTGTTGTCCAGTCATCTATTGCAAACCCAGGAATCCGCAAAACGCCATCTGTGAATTGTATGTCAAGGAATGATGATGAGGTGCATGTCTTGGTCACAAACTTAATTCCAGCCTCGTCAAGCGTTGTCACACTGGGGCATTCGCAAACAACATTGTTGTTATCTTCTCGCTGCTCCTCGTCAAGTGGAAGTGAGGGCAAGTAGTAGAAGTGCCGTACAAAATCAACAAAATGTTTCACTTCATGACAGACAACATGGCCAGGAAACTTTTGAATTTTCACCAACTGCTTGAAGAACTCATGTGTAAGGTCGGGAAAGGAAACATCTAGAGTTCCTCCAATCTGCGTAAACAAACCCTCAAGCACGAACAAGGGAAGCTGATTTTCAATCAAAACCATGTCATGGTAAACGTCCTCAATCATCCTCGGCTTGCCATATATGGGATCCCGCATGTCTATATAACTGGGAAAGAAATTCCTAATCATCAGCTCCAACACAAAAGTTGCGTCCACTAGAAGCATAAGTACAAAATCATTACTGCTTAGTTCAAAGGGCTGCGCATAACTACTCCGGCCTTTGCTTCCCAGGTTCTCACTGTCTGAACACAGAGGTCTAAGTTCATCTTGTTGTACCGATCCAGAAAGGCCTTCACGTAGTTGAATTTAAAGGCTTGCATGACTTCGAGCCCTCCTCCAGCACCAAGGTGGTAAGGTCCGATAGGGACAGCCCAAGGTTTGTAGTATGATTGTTTATTTCCTTTACGAAAGCTCTTTGGGACTCTGTATATACAGCAGTTGGACTCCCCCGACGATTTTGGGATGCCTTGTAATTTACCTTGTATTAAATTTGCAACTGGATCTCTCTCACTTGTACGGACGCTTGGAGCCGGAAAATCCTTGAGCTCCCCACTTGATATGGACGATGATGTATCAGTCTTGTTTGTCTTTCCATCTTCTGAAGTACGTTTCTGATCATATTGTCCTCGCGGTTTAACTAACATGCGGGCCACTTGCAGAAGTATGCATGTGTATCGGAGGCTTAGAATGCGCGCCAGCTGGAGCAGTATCTTCTGGAGACTTAGAAAGTGCGACAGCTGGAGCGGCATGCATATGTATCGGAGGCTTAAAATGCACGTCAGCTGGAACAGTACGTGTATGTCTGTCAAGGTAGAACTAATATGCCAACAAAGGAAACTTGTGCTAGAAATTTATTTATTCGCATTGAAAGATCCAGATCTAAGAATAATCCTTTAAATTTCCAGTTTCTAAAATCAATAGTAAATTGAGTTTACATTCATAAAATTCATTTTTAATCATCTACAGCTCTTTCCTTTATTTTTCTATTTAAAATACCTAATTGTTTCAAATAAAACCCGATGACTAGTATTCAAGTAAGCAAGTTACCTAATGTATCTTAAAATTTTTTTTTTTTTTTTTTTTTTTTTTTAAAACTACCCTTATTTATAAGTTAACGTATTATGTGGGGGAGTGTAATTAATGACACAGGTTGAATTTGGAAAGATCTCCAAATGGTTGTAATAATGGATGTAGGAATTAATTTAGAAACTTATTTCAAATTAAATATTAAATTCAAAATTAACGTATTAGTAATCTATAAGTGATTAAAGTTTTGGTTTTTATTTAATATAAAAAAATTATGTTGTTTTCCTTTTATGAATTATACAACTACTAATCTATTTTATTATAGTTTTATGAATAATAGTGTACATTCTAATTATGTTGAAAAATAATTTGATAATCTATTTATTGTTTCTTTTATGAAATTTTTTTTTAAAATGAACCTATTTTTCTCTAAATAATATACCTATTTTTTTTCTCTAAATAGTGTACCCTTTTTTCTTTGAAAAAAAAAGTACCTATTACTTGTTTTATGAAAAATAATTTGATCATCTTTTTATTGTTCGTTTTATGAAAAAACCTTTTTTTTTTAATTAACCTATTTTTTCTCTAATAATGTACCTAGTAAAACAATTTGCCTAGTACAATGAAGCTATAGGTATTTTTTCTCTAAATTTTGTATCTATTTTTTCTCTAAATAATGTACCTATTACTTGTTTTATGAAAAATAATTTGATAATCTATTTGCTGTTTGTTTTACGAAATTTTTTATCTAAATAATGTACCTATTTTTTTCTCTAATAATGTACCTAGTAAAAAAAAATTACCTAATATAACGAACCTATTTTTTTCTTCTAAATAATGTACCTATTTTAATTTATGAAAAATGTGCATAAATTTCAATTATACAACATACCTATTTTCTGGGGGAAAAAAAAGTACATAAATGTCAATTACGAAAGTAACTGACTTTTTTGTGTAAATAATGTACTGATATATATATATATATATATATTATAGGTAAATTATTTATTGGAAAAGTAATTTTGGGATTTTTATTTATTTTTTGGATTCAAATTTTTTTAGAAATTGCCGATGGGTTAGAGGGAGTACCAACCAAAAGAAATGAGGTGATTGATATGCAATTAATAGGGAGTATTAATCTACATATATAAAGCAAAAAACAGAGAATGGTGAAACATTCAAAATACCAGAAAATGCCTTTGGTTAATTCAAACATTAAGAATTGAAATTATTAATTATCTTTTTAATTCTAAAATAAATTTAAAATATTTTAAAAAAAGCCTCTCGCAAGCGCGATAGCTCGTGCAAAGAGGCTAGTTATAATTAAGGCTGTTAATGACATGCGTGAAAATAAATATGAAAGTGTAGATGGCATTCATTGTAATTTAGTTAATAATACTAGGATACATCTATCTTACATGGCAACCTATTTTAAATTTGTGTTTGAAGTAAAGATTTAAAAGTAGGTGGGTATGTGTCTATGATATAGTAGTTATAATGGCCTATATTGGAACAACCTTTGTATCAATTATCCTTTTTGAAAAAAGGTTAATGTGGAAATGAGGAATGCTTGCTGGATATGTAAGGTACATGAAGAAAGAAAATCTGCAATAATGACCCTCTAATTAGCTTATGGTTATATATAATTGAAGACACAAAAATTAGCTTACCTTGAGTATCCATCTTCCTGAGATTATCTTATCTTCAGGCACCCCTTTCGTTCGGCAAATGTGGGACTAATTGTTTTTGCTTTGCAATTTGTATTCGGTTATAAGGTTTAGCAGATTATGTTGATGCCACACGTTGAAAAGGCATCCATATTGTTCTTTGACCTTGTTACAAGAAATTAACAAAGTATCAACCAAGTATTCTCCATTGTAAAGAGTAGGTTCCGTGCAAGTTGCTTTCCATTCATGAAGCCATGATGATTATCAAATTAATTAAAAGAAAAAAAGTAACTAAAGTTTGCTCTTATTTATTCTTCCATTTTTTACTTTTTTTCCTTTTAGCTCATCCTTTTTTAAATGGAAAATATTTAACTCCTTGCACGTAAGGAGTTCTTCCTTCTTTGCAAAACAAACTACAGTCTGACATGTTTAGAAAATTTTCACACACACTGTAAAGATGTCATGAGGTTCGAACTTGACCACTGGTCTGTAAGCCAATACCATTTTTCAACTGGGCTAGATCTCGTTGGCTCTTTTGTAGTTTTAAATGAGTTAGTTTTGTATTTGTATCATACCGTGATTTGTTTGTAAAGAAAAAGGGCTCCTTACATGTAAAGAGCAAAGCAACTCCTTACCTGTAAAGAGTAGAGCAATATTCTTTTGCAATTGAATGAGTGGTATTGATTGTATGATTGTAGAACCACAAAAGATATAAATGCGACCGCAACCAACGCCCTTTTCACTTTTCCATGAAACTTAACCCTAGAACGCTGTTAGAGAGAGGATATAGAAAAGCCTGGACTCTGTTTTTCTCCAGTTGAGTGAAAAGCCTCCTCCAAATTATGCCAAAATAACAACGGATTTCGCTGCATAAGCAACATCATGTGTAAACTGATAGAACAGAAGTGGGAAAGAGTACAAGTATAATAATGCACTGGGAATTGCTTGTACCTCATGATTAAAACGAATGATGCTCGTTTTATGGTTTCACTTAGATTGGTTACAAGGGCTCTTCCCAATAAGGGAAGTGCCTATTTTTGGGACCTATCCCCTCCCTCTTTGGTCACGGAGAAAAACTTAGATGCAATGCGGATAGCATTGTTTTGCTATTCCAGTCCAATAATGTTATGCTACGTGAAAGTATTATCACGTGTGTCAATGTTATTCACTGGGGATAGCAAAATACTGTTGTCTCTGTTTCATGGAAGTCTTTCTCCTGATCAGAATCCTCACATTGGATGGCCTTCCTAGTCCTCCTTCAGATAAATGAGTTTTCAAGCAAAATGCATGTGGCCATGGCATTTTCAGTTTTCAAACTAGATGATGTGGTATAATTTTCAGTTTTGCTGCTGCATTTTTTTTCTTTTTCCTATAAGTTTGTTGTGGGTTTTGTTTGTATAATTTTGTTTCTTGAATAATTTTGGGTTTTGTTTGTTCTTTTCTTTTTTCTTTTTTCCTAAAACTGATGCTTCCACTTTCTAGTCCCTCTCTATAAACTGTGGAAAGACATATACAACTATGACCTTACAACAAATTATCGTTATCATTCAAGGATTCGTCATTAAAAGGGAGAGAGAGATTATCTTTGACGCTAACACTTCCCCTCCAATGATTGTTTTCTCCTAATCTTTTCATGGAGACAAAATTCTAGAAGTGAAAAACATCCTTCCAAATTACACATTTTTCTCATTTTAGTAGCTGAAAAAACAAATAGTAAATAAATTGGAAGAAAAATGCAAGCTTTACATGGGACATATAATTTTGGACTATTATTTAACCTCATCATTGTACAAAGAATACCAATTGCAAAGCCAGACCCTAGTTTTCAAAACAGGCCTGGCAACTATATATATCTACCGCTTCGGTTCAGTCCAGGTCTTACTTTCAAAGAATTCATTCAGCATGGACTCGATAGTCTCAGGACGAAACCTTATATACTTCTGTGGGTTCTTCCCATTCTCGATCATAGGCCTGCAACACAGATCAAATCCATATTAATGCTGAAAAAAATAAGATTATGAATTTTATTTTTTGAAGGAACGTTTGCAAATGTGAGAAAAACATGCCCGAAACGCTTGACGAATGATCTGTAAGCAGGCAAGAGGACTTCAGCAACAGCCAGCCTCAAAGACTCTCGCAACTCGCTATCGGGAACCGTCCACTGAGATTGCCTTTGATGAAGCTCCTCAAATTGGACGTTGAAGGTCTTGAACCGATCTTTCACCATTGCTCTTGAAAGTGAACTACTGTCACTACCTGATGAATTTCCTCCTTGGACGGTAAGACACTGCAGAATCTGCATCTCACCAACAAAAACAAAAACAAAAAGGCCAAAAATAACAGAGCAGCTGAGAATGATTTTCAGCTAACATCCACAATCAGAAAGATTATAATGGAGAACAAGATTGATCAAATAATCAAAACCTTTGCCCAAGAAACCCTCTTGTACTGATTTGCATGCTGCTGCACGATCCTTCGGTGTATCTGCACCCAGTCATCCCCCAACAAGTCCTTCGCTTCTGACCTGTATATAATTACTTAACCGGCAATGTTAGGATGCAGATAGGATCAGAATCTATCAAAGAGCAAGACTAGTACGAACCTCCGCACAGATCTCACTATATAGTGAATGTTGTTCATGAGAAATAACTGAGTGAGTGCAGGATCTTTATACTGCTTCGATTTTCCATCCAGATTGTTCTGAAGAGCCTGCATAATCCTTGTAGTTACGGCTGTTAGCTGAGACTCTGAATCACCGTCATCAAACTCTTGAAAAAGTTGCTTAAGTGTAGACTGATAACTGCGAACATTAAAACAGTCATGTGTGATTGTTGCACAGTTAATACCGACAAAGGCCAAGGTAGCTAGAAAGAAACCAAATTTGGAACTGGGGAAAAGGAAGAAATATAAATAATATCAAAAGTAATAACTTTGCTAATATAGAAATTATTGTAATAATGAACTTGATAAACTAATATTACCCTCATAAATAAGCAGATGAATTTACTTTAAGATTGGATCGAGCAATTTGGAAAGATCTCCAAATGGTTGTAATGGATGTAGGAATTAATTTAGAAACTTATTTCAAATTAAATATTAAATTCAAAATTAACGTATTAGTAATCTATAGGTGATTAAAGTTTTGGTCTTTATTTAATATAAAAAATTATGTTGTTTTCCTTTTATGAATTATACAACTACTAATCTATTTTATTATAGTTTTATGAATAATAGTGTACATTCTAATTATGTTGAAAAATAATTTGATAATCTATTTAAAATTGAAATGAATTTATTTTTTTTTTTTTTTTTTTTTAAAATATTTTTTAAACTCTAAATAATATACCTATTTTTTTCTCTAAATAGTGTACCCTTTTTTTCTTTAAAAAAAAAGGTACCTATTACTTGTTTTATGAAAAATAATTTGATCATCTTTTTATTGTTCGTTTTATGAAAAACCCTTTTTTTTTTAATTAACCTATTTTTTCTCTAATAATGTACCTAGTAAAACAATTTGCCTAGTACAATGAAGCTATAGGTATTTTTTCTCTAATTTTGTATCTATTTTTTCTCTAAATAATGTACCTATTACTTGTTTTATGAAAAATAATTTGATAATCTATTTGTTGTTTGTTTTACGAAATTTTTTTATCTAAATAATGTACCTATTTTTTCTCTAATAATGTACCTAGTAAAAAAAATTTACCTAATATAACGAACCTATTTTTTTCTTCTAAATAATGTACCTATTTTTAATTTATGAAAAATGTGCATAAATTTCAATTATACAACATACCTATTTTCTGGGGAAAAAAAAGTACATAAATGTCAATTACGAAAGTAACTGACTTTTTTGTGTAAATAATGTACTGATATATATATATATATATATATTATAGGTAAATTATTTATTGGAAAAGTAATTTTGGGGATTTTTATTTTATTTTTTGGATTCAAATTTTTTTAGAAATTGCCGATGGGTTAGAGGGAGTACCAACCAAAAGAAATGAGGTGATTGATATGCAATTAATAGGGAGTATTAATCTACATATATAAAGCAAAAAACAGAGAATGGTGAAACATTCAAAATACCAGAAAATGCTTTTGGTTAATGCAAACATTAAGAATTGAAATTATTAATTAAATGAGGATAATATGGTAAATTCACACTTTTCATATTTAAAAAAAAAAATAAAAGAAAATTCAGATAATGAATCCTATTTTATGGAATACAACTACCCATTATCTTTTTAATTCTAAAATAAATTTTAAAATATTTTAAAAAAAGCCTCTCGCAAGCGCGAAAGCTCGTGCAAAGAGGCTAGTTATAATTAAGGCTGTTAATGACATGCTTGAAAATAAATATGAAAGTGTAGATGGCATTCATTGTAATTTAGTTAATAATACTAGGATACATCTATCTTACATGGCAACCTATTTTAAATTTGTGTTTGAAGTAAAGATTTAAAAGTAGGTGGGTATGTGTCTATGATATAGTAGTTATAATGGCCTATATTGGAACAACCTTTGTATCAATTATCCTTTTTGAAAAAAGGTTAATGTGGAAATGAGGAATGCTTGCTGGATATGTAAGGTACATGAAGAAAGAAAATCTGCAATAATGACCCTCTAATTAGCTTATGGTTATATATAATTGAAGACACAAAAATTAGCTTACCTTGAGTATCCATCTTCCTGAGATTATCTTATCTTCAGGCACCCCTTTCGTTCGGCAAATGTGGGACTAATTGTTTTTGCTTTGCAATTTGTATTCGGTTATAAGGTTTAGCAGATTATGTTGATGCCACACGTTGAAAAGGCATCCATATTGTTCTTTGACCTTGTTACAAGAAATTAACAAAGTATCAACCAAGTATTCTCCATTGTAAAGAGTAGGTTCCGTGCAAGTTGCTTTCCATTCATGAAGCCATGATGATTATCAAATTAATTAAAGAAAAAAAGTAACTAAAGTTTGCTCTTATTTATTCTTCCATTTTTACTTTTTTTCCTTTAGCTTATCCTTTTTTAAATGGAAAATATTTAACTCCTTGCACGTAAGGAGTTCTTCCTTCTTTGCAAAACAAAACTACAGTCTGACATGTTTAGAAATTTTTCACACACACTGTAAAGATGTCATGGGGTTCGAACTTGACCACTGGTCTGTAAGCCAATACCATTTTTCAACTGGGCTAGATCTCGTTGGCTCTGCGCCAAAGTCGCGCAAATATTTTTTCGTCGCCAAAGTCGTTTTGTGCGACCAATGAAAAAACTTCGTCACATAAAGCCTTTCTTCACGATCTTTGCGCGACAGATTCTGGACGACAAAGTTTCTGTCGTGCTGAAATTTTTGCTACTGCAATGTATTTTGCGCGACTAATGAAAAAACTTTGTCGTGTAAAGCCTTTCTTCACGATCTTTGCGCAACGAAATTTCTGTCGCACTGAAATTTGTGCGACTACAATGTATTTGCGCAATGAAATTCTCTTCGTCACGCAAAGTGTAAAATGTAGTAGTGTATATATATATTTCCAAGTTGCCGTCCCTCCCAGTTTGAAGAATCCTTGCACGTATCATGATGCTCCCAATTTGTATTTCAGCGACTTGGTTTGGAGTCATTGGATTGATACTTGAAGAACCCTTGCGTTGAGTCAAGGTCTGGTTCCATTTTGGTTTTTTTTTTCTTAGTATGTTTTATTATAATTTTTTTTATTCAGTCAAGGTCAGGTCCTGTCTTAATAATGAAAAAAAACATATTTGGTTTTAGTTTCGTTTTTTTTTCCTCTTCATAATATGTTTTTTTTTCTTTCTGTTTTCATTCCCTCTAGATTCGTATGATAAATAGCAAACTAGAAGAGGAATAAGCTACGCGACAAACGATTGTATGATCAATTATGATTTATTTGTTTAATTGATAATTTGATATATATTTCAATTAGATTAATTGATATTGCTTTTCGCTAGGTTAATTGTTATTTGGTATGAATTTTAGTTGATCTTCCCCTGAATATTGCCCCTCCATTCAAAAATTTCTAGGTCGCCAATTGGGTTGTCTGAAACTGGGAGTAGCGGCAGGGTGGCTGAGTGTTGAGTTATTGCATTAATTTCCATGGTTGATAAATTAATAGGGAATTAATGCTTGTGATGTAATATGAAGCTTTTTATGCTCCGTTTGGTGTTGTGGTGCGTTGAAAATAACTAAAGAACAGCTTATTGTAAAAATTAAGGGTCGTTGGCAGCAATTTTTGGAAGCAGATGGGAAGGTGCTTTAAGAAGTTGATGTCATGAGAAGCAAGCGGGTGCAGTTAAAGAAATTTTCAAGTTAGCCATAATGCCCTCGTGCTTTTAAATAAATGAGAGTCTTATACCCCGCTTTACTCTTCTTCTTTCTCGTTGAGAGCTGAAATCCTCAGCCCATCATCTAGGTCATCTCTAGATCTCATTATTTGAAGAACGTTTTGGGTTCTCTAAACTTTTTCGACCACAAGGCACAGTTACATTTACATCTCTCCTCATCCAAGATTCTTATTCTTTGAGAGGCTGTGTGTTTTGCTGTTCTAATCTTCTGCATCTTTTGGTTCTTGAACTTTTGATTTGGGTTTTTTGAACTTTAATTTCGTGACATTTAAAACAACAAATTGCAATTACTGAAGTTCTATTTTTGTGTACACTAAAGTTCTATTTCGTGACATTTATACAATAAAGACACTTTTAGGTCTTAGGGAGGGATAAAATAGAGCATACTGTTTGTGTGAAGGTGAGTACAAGGAGTACAATTGCAGCAATAGTAGAAGCAATCTTCCATGGAGTGTTGAAATAGTCTCGCTTTAGAATTGCCTTCCACCGGTGCCGACGGGTCTTGCAGTATGCATTTAGATTTGCACAAATCTGAAAGTAATAAAAAGGCTTTTCGAAGCCAACGTCTCTGCTGATATGGTTAAACAGAATGGAGAGGTCTTTGCTACTCCCTAGCATGCTAGATATGACTCCGTAGTCCATGAGTAAATCTGCGTCCTTTGAAGTCCTGATCATGCACATCATGAGGAACATAAACTGGGAAATGTACTTCTCCGTGCCGTGGCTGCTCAAAAGCGATCAGGTTCCTGAAGAGAGTTTCTGTCCAGTCGTCTACTACGAAATTTGGAATTTTGAGACAACCATTGTTGAATTCTATGTTAAGCAAGGAGGCACTGCCTTTAATTGTCTCAAACTTAACTCCGGCCTCATCAAGTGCCGTCACGCTTGGTGGAATTTCATGAACCATAGCGTTATGTTTCTGCTCATCCTTTTGAGGCGGTGGCAGCGCCAAGTAGTGGCGTCGTATAAAATCAACAAAATGATTCACTTGATCAAGGTTAGCGGGACACTCATCAATTTGCAAGAAATGCTTGAAGAAGTCATGAGTTAGCTCGGTGAAAGAAAGATGATGATCTCCTGTACTCGCACCGATTTGCATGTACAAATACAAACCCTCGAGCACGAAGAAAGGAAGTTGATTTTCTATCAACAAGATGTCGTGGTAAACGTCTTCAATTATCCTCGGCTTGTGAAATATCGGATCACAATTACCTCTGTATCTAGAAAAGTGATGCCTAAGCATGAGTTCCAAAACAAAAGTTGCATCCATCAGCATTGTAAAAGTAAATTGATCACTACTTAGTTCAATAGGCTCCACATAATAGCTCCTCGCTTTTGCTTCCCATGCTCTCACTAATCCAAGACAAGCGTCCAAGTTGAGCTTGTACCGGCGGAAAAAGGCGTCCACGTATTTGGTCTTGACATAGCTTGTACTTCTGAAGTAAGGTCCGATTCCGACTACACGAGGTTTGTAGAATTCTTCATTCCCTTTGAGAAATCTCTCCGGGACTCTGTAGATGCAACACTCAGGCGACAGATCAGGCGTGCCTTGGATACATTCCTGTATGGCAATCGCCACTAAATCACTCGAATTTCCAATTATACTTGTATGGACGTGTGGAGGAGTAGGTATCGGATGTGGAGGCATCGGAACTAGACCACGTTGTTCATGTATCGGACCACCTTGTGGAGGATCAAAATCCGCGCCAGCTGGAGCAGTCTGCTTATGTTTCAGTTCTATATCTCTAACGCCATTCCCATCGGATGTGGGGGGATCCCTACTACTATGTGCTTTGCAGGAATCCTGTCATCATGCGTATGGCAGAGCCAAAATTTTACTTTAGTTAGTAAGCCAGCATCAGACAGTATATGTGCTTTTTAAATTTATAATATTGCATGTCAAAAACTCTAGAGTTAATTGATAAAGTTTGTAGGTCAGAGGATGATGAAGCTTACATATTCATATCCACGGGTTGACCTGAACATGGCTCCTTCTTCGTATAAGATATTATTTTCAGGCAGGGACGTTTGACCTTGTTACAAGAAATTCACAAAATGTCATCCAAGGTATTCTTCAATATTTCCAAAAAGAAAAGTTTCCTTGCAACCTGCTTCCCATTCAAGCCCTGATTATTCAATTAAAAATGTATAGCTTCCTCTATTTCTTTTTTGGTTCCCATTAACAAAAGGGTTAATTATGGCTAAAGATATTTAATGAGTATGTTGAAAGGATTATTGACAGTTTTAGCTTAATATAATTGGTTATATTTTTCACTACTACAAACAACCCTTGCGCGACCCAAATTTTGCGCGACGAATAATTTTTCGTCGCGCAAAGACACTTTGCGCGACGAAACACAAAACTTCGTCACTAAAAACCTTGCGCGACCAACTTTTGCGCGACGAATTTTTTTCGTCGCTCAAAGTCTTGCGCGACCAAATTTGCGCGACGAAAAAAAATTCGTCGCGCAAAGTAACTTTGCGCGACGAAAAAAAATTCGTCGCTCTAAGTAACTTTGCGCGACGAAAAACAGTTCGTCGCGCAAAGCGACTTTGCGCGACGAAAAACAATTCGTCACGCAAAGCTACTTTGCGCGACGAAACAATTAACTTCGTCTCGCAAAGTCCTTATAAAAATAAATAAAATAAATAAAATATTTTTTAAAATATTTGTTAGAAAAATATATTATTGTTTTTTGGATTGGGTTTTTATTAGAAAATATATTTTTTAAATTGACGATCGAATTAGTTCATTGTATTCATATAGGGTCAAAGAGTGTAGCTATAAAAAATCATCAAAATCGGAGTTAAAATAACCGTTAAATCGTGATTTTTCATTTATAACCGTCGAAAAGTTTTGTCCAATTACTTGATCTCTGAATGTTTATTTCTTCCGATTTTTAGCGTATATGATCTCGAAGTATAAACAAACAAGTTTGACGGTTGGATCGTTCAAACTAGTTTCATAGAATGCGTATGCCATCAAAACAATATATTCACTAACAATTAAGAGTTTATTTATACTTTTGTTAAATATAACATAAGATTTTGTGGTATCCACTAGTGTAAATATTTTAAATTGAAGATCAAATTTAGTCATTGTATTCATATAGGGTAAAGGAGTGTAGCGGTAAAAAATCATCAAAATCGGAGTTAAAATAACCGTTGAATCATGATTTTTTCATTTATAACCGTCGAAAAGTTTTGTCCCGTTACTTGATCTCTGAATGTTTATTTTTTGCGATTTTTGGCGTATATGATCTCGAAGTATAAACAAACAAGTTTGACGGTTGGATCGTTCAAACTAGTTTCATAGAATGTGTATGCCATCAAAACAATATATTCACTAACAATTAAGAGTTTATTTATACTTTTGTTAAATATAACATAAGATTTTGTGGTATCCACTAGTGTAAATATTTTAAATTGAAGATCAAATTCAGTCATTGTATTCATATAGGGTAAAGGAGTGTAGCGGTAAAAAATCATCAAAATCGGAGTTAAAATAACCGTTGAATCAAGATTTTTCATTTATAACCGTCGAAAAGTTTTGTCCCGTTACTTGATCTCTGAATGTTTATTTTTTGCGATTTTTGGCGTATATGATCTCGAAGTATAAACAAATAAGTTTGACGGTTGGATCGTTGAAACTTGTTTTTTTGAATGCGTATGCCATCAAAACAATATATTCACTAACAATTAAGAGTTTATTTATACTTTTGTTAAGTATAACATAAGATTTTGTGGTATCCACTAGTGTAAATATTTTAAATTGACGATCGAATTAGTTCATTGTATTCATATAGGTCAAGGAGTGTAGCTGTAAAAAATCATCAAAATCGGAGTTAAAATAATCGTTAAATCGTGATTTTTCATTAAGAACCGTTGAAATTTTTTGTCCCGTTACTAGGTCTCCGAATGTTTGTTTTTTACAATTTTTGGGGTATACGATCTTGAAGTATATACAAACAAGTTTGACGGTTGGATCGTTGAATGGTGTGTGTATATATATATATTTACTTATTAAGTAGCTTTAAATTTATTTATTTTGTACGTATAACACTTAAGAAATTGGTATATACATTTATTAAGTAGCTTTAACCTTATTTATATTTTAAATCGTAAAAAAAAATAATTTATTATTCATAACAATTATTTTTATAAATATCGTGCTATGAACCAATTTTTCGTCTCTCAAAAGTTTGCGCGACCAACAATTCGTCGCGCAAAACTTTAAAATTTGGGGTGAGTACCAAAATAAAAAAAAAAAAATAAATTTTTTATACTTTGCGCGACCAATATATATTTTCGTCGCGCAAAAATTTGGCGGGTACCAAAAATGGGACGCGGGAATTTTTTTATTTTATTTTTTTAGACTTTGCGCGACCAATATGTATTTTTCGTCGCGCAAAAATTTCAAAATTTGGGCGGGTACCAAAAATGGGACGCGGGATTTTTTTTTTTTATACTAATATTCGTCGCGCAAAACTTTGCGCGACCAATATATTTTTCGTCGCGCAAAGCTTTGCGCGACCAATACTCCAATATTTTTCGTCGCGCAAAGCTTTGCGCGACCAACAATTCGTTCGTCGCGCAAAGTGATACGGTTTTTAAAATAAAAATAACTCCTCCACCATTTTCTCAATGTCTTTCTCTACTCTCTTCTCTCTTTCCTCCCCAAATCCACCATTTCTCTCACTCTCACTCCTCTCACTTAATCTCTCATCATCTCTCTCTTCACTATCTCTTACTCTCACTCACTCTCTCATCTCTCTTTTCACTATCTCTCACTCTCACTCACTCTCTCATCTCTCTATCACTATCTTCTCTAATTCTCTCACACTCATTTCTCTCTCTCATTCTCACTCACTCTCAATCTTGCCAAAAGGTAGATTCTCTCCAAATTTTAATTTTTTTTTCATTAATATGTGTTTTTGGAGTTAGTTTTGAGTTTGTGTGGGGTTTGGGGTTGAGTAAAGGGGAGGGATTGGAGTTTGGGTTGGATTTGTGGTATAACAATTTTAGGGGAGATTATCCCTTTTTTTATTTATTGTACTTTGTTAATTTATGTGTACATTTTGAATATTATATATATATTTATTGGATAATTTGATCACTATTTTTCATATGTAATTTTATTTTGAATATGTCAATTTAAATTAAAGTAATTAAATTAAATTTAAAAAGTAAACATTTGAATAAATTAATATAATTAAATTAATATCAATTTAAATTAAAGTAACGAAAAAAATCATACAATTAAATTTAATTTAAAAATTAAAAATTCGAAATAATTAATATAATTAAATTAATATTAAAGAAATAATAAAACAAAAAGTCAAAAACCAAAATATTTCGTCGCGCAAATATTTGCGCGACATTAATATTCGTCGCGCAAAACTCTAAAAATTTGGGCGGGTACTAAAAATGGGACGAGGGAATTTTTTTTAAAAAAATTTTAAAATTTTTTCGTCGCGCAAAGTTTTGCGCGACCAATATTTTTCGTCGCGCAAAGTGGCTTTGCGGGACAAATATTTTTTCGTCGCGCAAAGTCGCTTTGCGCGACCAATATTTTCGTCGCGCAAAGTTACTTTGCGCGACCAATATGTTTCGTCGCGCAAAGTCACTTTGCGCGACCAATATTTTTTCGTCGCGCAAAGTCTCTTTGCGCGACGAATGAAAAAATTTCGTCGCGCAAAGTCTTTCTCCACGATCTTTGCGCGACGGAATCTGCGCGACGAAGTTTCTGTCGCGCTAAAATTTGTGCGACTATAATGTATTTTGCGCGACGAAATTTTCTTCGTCGCGCAAAGTGAAAAATGTAGTAGTGTTTGGAGGTTGATATTCCCACTCCTCTTTTGTTCACTTACACTTCCTTATATGTTATAGTAAAAAGTATTTTAAAAAAAACAAAAGGAAGTGTATGTGGACAAAAAGAGAGTGAAAAAATCAGCACCCATATGTTTTTATGTTTCATGTTTTCCTATAATGTATGTAAACATGTATGAGATTAGATGAATGATAACATGAACAGTCTTTGACAAAGACATTATTGGCCTTCATAGATACATCTCATTACGGACCATTTTGGTGGTTTGCTATTGTTGTTGTACATGGAGGCGACTATGTCACTCGTTGGGGTGGAGATAGAATCATAAAGTTGGGGGGCTGAAGTAGAAAATACAAGTATATAAAGCACCTAAGTATTCAATAGTTACATGTTTATAGCTAAATATTTCTAATTTAGTCATGTGTCTAATTTGTTTTAGAGAAAATTTTAACTTAAATTATAAGTTCTTTATTACAAATTCTACATGTTACATATAATTTAATAGAGGAGATACCAAAATCAGGGGAGGTAGGGCCACTCCAGGCCTAAGAATGGCTCCGCCAACCGCTATGACACATGATACATTAGCATATTGCTAAAACTTGGTTTTTTGAATGTATTGCGCATCTATGTTTCTCACATGATATGGCTATGCATTACGGAAATTATTTGCTATATTAAATTGTTTAGTAAATATTATCAAGATAATCTAAACAGGGAAATTATTACAAATAAATAAAAGGGTAATTTCTTTTCTATTAACGTGGTGAGTGAGAAAATTTTCATTTTTATGTGGGTGGATCTTAAGCTTTTTTCTTTCGATGTTGTGCGACATGTGGATTGGACTAATTCTGAAACAATCACTCTAATTATTATATGAATATTGTTTACTTATTATTTCAGGTAGGTGACAAGACCAAAACTAATCATGAAATCTTTCAACAAATGTACAAAGAAATTTTGCATATTGCATATACGATTAAAAAGATACATACCAGTTTGGGTGGATGATTTAGCCACCTCTGTAATCGAGATATATTATTTTCAGGCAGGGACAAGCTGACTGATTGTTATTATAATTGATGCCTGTGTGTGTGTGTATATATATATATACAAAATCAAAAGTGCCATATTGTTCTTTGACATTGGTACAAGAAACTAAAAAAGTATTATCTAATTCTTCTTTCTAACAAAAGAGAAAGGTTCATTGCAAAGGTCAACGGTGACCACGTTTTGGTTGGATTACAAAAAAAACATTCGCTACTAAAGATGCCCCACAGGCCTTCTTTCTCAAGATTGAATTATTCGCGTAGAACAAAATAAAGCAACGCTGCCAGGTTTTACATTAATTTGGACCCTCGCTAGATTCTCCATTTTTCTCTCTTGCATTTGTGTAGGTTCGAGCTTCGCGTCTCGGATTGGTGTTTGTGTTTAATTAACTTAACATGTTAATTGTGTTGAGAATTCCAGACGTGAGCTTGCAAGGAACCTTTTCTTTTCGCAAATATTGAAGAATACTTGGATGACACATCCTTAATTTCTTGATGCCCATATAAACAGACAATGAAAAGTGCCATATTATCCTTTGACATTGTTACAAGAAACTAACAAAGTATTATCTAATTCTTCTTCATAACAAAAGAAAAAGGTTCATTGCAAGATGCTTCCCATTAAAGGCATGATTATCTACAATAGGAAAAGGTTTCCTCATAATATCTATTCCTTTTTCTACTTCTTTTCATGGCCACAAAATTCAACAAATCATAATTTACAAGAATCTTCTACATCCATTAAATTACAATGTCAACCTAAACACTCTAGTGCTATGTAAAAAAAATATATATTATATACAAATTCCCGATTTAATCAACTATCATACAAACCAGTCGAGCATGTCATTGGCCCTCCGCTGATCAACCGCTCTTATACATAGCCCATGCAAACATCTCCATGTTCAAACTCACACCACCATCTTCACGTTGCCTATTGATTTCTTCCAAAACCCCCTCCTTCATCTCCAGCCTCCTGTAAGTCGGTCATCAATATCTTCACACGAATCATTCTTTGTTCCTTCAACCCCAAGTCAAACGGCTCGACAGAGTATATCGCGATTTGCAAGAGGGTTGTTCTTGTACAAAATTGAAACCCGTTATGTGGTCGAATTGAACCCACAATATCATATTGGGGTTTTCTTTGTGAACGCCGCGTTCCAATTGGCCCTAATGCAAGCAATAGAATGTGGATTTTTGGGGTTTGTGGAAGTCTGGACATGAAGACTCATAACAATGTGAATGTCCCTATTGCAAGCAATAGAATGTGGTGGACAAGTCCTAATTCGGCAATGTACGGTGATGCGATCGACTTGTGATTGAGTGGTGAGCTTTTGCATTAATCTCCATGGTTAATTATAAGAGGAATTAATTAATGCATGTTACGTAATATCTGGTTACTAGGATTTGGGCCAATAAAAAAAGGTTACTAGGCTGATTGCGAGCGAGAGATGGGAATGAAGAAACGGGTGAAAGAAAGGTAATATAAAGGAGGTCAAACTGAATAAACTAGTACTAGACTACCTCACTCTCAAACTTATTCCAACATATCATTTGCTAATGCCATAGAGTTTGATAACCAGAAAATATAACTATTTTTCCACCGCAGTCGTTTAATATAGCAGATAAAATGGTTAACTGAGCTAGACTTTGAGAACCAAAATGTTTAGGGTTTAGGAACTTGCAATGATGACAAAAATTTAAGTAATAATTCTAGATAGCATTAGCTGAGCATGATAATATACCTTATAAATGAAGGTGAGCATGATGAGTATATTGCAATAGTAGACATAATCCTCCACAGAGTTTGGAAATAGTTGCTCTTGAGAGTTGTTGTCCACCTCTTCTGCCGAGGGTATGCATTGATTTCTTGTTTCTTCATTTTTCTGGGTCACATATGCATTCAAATTTTTACAGAGACTAAAGTAACAATTTGTCTCACCCAAGCCAACATCTTTTCCAATGTGGTCAAGCAGAGTTAACAGATCTCTGCTACTGCCTGGCCTGCTGGATATAATTTTGTTCTGGACGAGTAAATCCACGTCTTTTGAAGTTCTGATCATGCACCTCATAAGAAAAATAATATAATGGGAGATGTACTTCACAGCGTGTTCGTGGCACTGCTCGAAGGCGATGAGATTCAAGAATAGAGTTGTTGTCCAGTCATCTATTGCAAACCCAGGAATCCGCAAAACGCCATCTGTGAATTGTATGTCAAGGAATGATGATGAGGTGCATGTCTTGGTCACAAACTTAATTCCAGCCTCGTCAAGCGTTGTCACACTGGGGCATTCGCAAACAACATTGTTGTTATCTTCTCGCTGCTCCTCGTCAAGTGGAAGTGAGGGCAAGTAGTAGAAGTGCCGTACAAAATCAACAAAATGTTTCACTTCATGACAGACAACATGGCCAGGAAACTTTTGAATTTTCACCAACTGCTTGAAGAACTCATGTGTAAGGTCGGGAAAGGAAACATCTAGAGTTCCTCCAATCTGCGTAAACAAACCCTCAAGCACGAACAAGGGAAGCTGATTTTCAATCAAAACCATGTCATGGGTAAACGTCCTCAATCATCCTCGGCTTGCCATATATGGGATCCCGCATGTCTATATAACTGGGAAAGAAATTCCTAATCATCAGCTCCAACACAAAAGTTGCGTCCACTAGAAGCATAAGTACAAAATCATTACTGCTTAGTTCAAAGGGCTGCGCATAACTACTCCGGCCTTTGCTTCCCAGGTTCTCACTGTCTGAACACAGAGGTCTAAGTTCATCTTGTTGTACCGATCCAGAAAGGCCTTCACGTAGTTGAATTTAAAGGCTTGCATGACTTCGAGCCCTCCTCCAGCACCAAGGTGGTAAGGTCCGATAGGGACAGCCCAAGGTTTGTAGTATGATTGTTTATTTCCTTTACGAAAGCTCTTTGGGACTCTGTATATACAGCAGTTGGACTCCCCCGACGATTTTGGGATGCCTTGTAATTTACCTTGTATTAAATTTGCAACTGGATCTCTCTCACTTGTACGGACGCTTGGAGCCGGAAAATCCTTGAGCTCCCCACTTGATATGGACGATGATGTATCAGTCTTGTTTGTCTTTCCATCTTCTGAAGTACGTTTCTGATCATATTGTCCTCGCGGTTTAACTAACATGCGGGCCACTTGCAGAAGTATGCATGTGTATCGGAGGCTTAGAATGCGCGCCAGCTGGAGCAGTATCTTCTGGAGACTTAGAAAGTGCGACAGCTGGAGCGGCATGCATATGTATCGGAGGCTTAAAATGCACGTCAGCTGGAACAGTACGTGTATGTCTGTCAAGGTAGAACTAATATGCCAACAAAGGAAACTTGTGCTAGAAATTTATTTATTCGCATTGAAAGATCCAGATCTAAGAATAATCCTTTAAATTTCCAGTTTCTAAAATCAATAGTAAATTGAGTTTACATTCATAAAATTCATTTTTAATCATCTACAGCTCTTTCCTTTATTTTTCTATTTAAAATACCTAATTGTTTCAAATAAAACCCGATGACTAGTATTCAAGTAAGCAAGTTACCTAATGTATCTTAAAATTTTTTTTTTTTTTTTTTTTTTTTTTTAAAACTACCCTTATTTATAAGTTAACGTATTATGTGGGGGAGTGTAATTAATGACACAGGTTGAATTTGGAAAGATCTCCAAATGGTTGTAATAATGGATGTAGGAATTAATTTAGAAACTTATTTCAAATTAAATATTAAATTCAAAATTAACGTATTAGTAATCTATAAGTGATTAAAGTTTTGGTTTTTATTTAATATAAAAAAATTATGTTGTTTTCCTTTTATGAATTATACAACTACTAATCTATTTTATTATAGTTTTATGAATAATAGTGTACATTCTAATTATGTTGAAAAATAATTTGATAATCTATTTATTGTTTCTTTTATGAAATTTTTTTTTAAAATGAACCTATTTTTTCTCTAAATAATATACCTATTTTTTTTCTCTAAATAGTGTACCCTTTTTTTCTTTGAAAAAAAAAGTACCTATTACTTGTTTTATGAAAAATAATTTGATCATCTTTTTATTGTTCGTTTTATGAAAAAACCTTTTTTTTTTTAATTAACCTATTTTTTCTCTAATAATGTACCTAGTAAAACAATTTGCCTAGTACAATGAAGCTATAGGTATTTTTTCTCTAAATTTTGTATCTATTTTTTCTCTAAATAATGTACCTATTACTTGTTTTATGAAAAATAATTTGATAATCTATTTGCTGTTTGTTTTACGAAATTTTTTTATCTAAATAATGTACCTATTTTTTTCTCTAATAATGTACCTAGTAAAAAAAAATTTACCTAATATAACGAACCTATTTTTTTCTTCTAAATAATGTACCTATTTTTAATTTATGAAAAATGTGCATAAATTTCAATTATACAACATACCTATTTTCTGGGGGAAAAAAAAGTACATAAATGTCAATTACGAAAGTAACTGACTTTTTTGTGTAAATAATGTACTGATATATATATATATATATATTATAGGTAAATTATTTATTGGAAAAGTAATTTTGGGATTTTTATTTTATTTTTTGGATTCAAATTTTTTTAGAAATTGCCGATGGGTTAGAGGGAGTACCAACCAAAAGAAATGAGGTGATTGATATGCAATTAATAGGGAGTATTAATCTACATATATAAAGCAAAAAACAGAGAATGGTGAAACATTCAAAATACCAGAAAATGCCTTTGGTTAATTCAAACATTAAGAATTGAAATTATTAATTATCTTTTTAATTCTAAAATAAATTTAAAATATTTTAAAAAAAGCCTCTCGCAAGCGCGATAGCTCGTGCAAAGAGGCTAGTTATAATTAAGGCTGTTAATGACATGCGTGAAAATAAATATGAAAGTGTAGATGGCATTCATTGTAATTTAGTTAATAATACTAGGATACATCTATCTTACATGGCAACCTATTTTAAATTTGTGTTTGAAGTAAAGATTTAAAAGTAGGTGGGTATGTGTCTATGATATAGTAGTTATAATGGCCTATATTGGAACAACCTTTGTATCAATTATCCTTTTTGAAAAAAGGTTAATGTGGAAATGAGGAATGCTTGCTGGATATGTAAGGTACATGAAGAAAGAAAATCTGCAATAATGACCCTCTAATTAGCTTATGGTTATATATAATTGAAGACACAAAAAATTAGCTTACCTTGAGTATCCATCTTCCTGAGATTATCTTATCTTCAGGCACCCCTTTCGTTCGGCAAATGTGGGACTAATTGTTTTTGCTTTGCAATTTGTATTCGGTTATAAGGTTTAGCAGATTATGTTGATGCCACACGTTGAAAAGGCATCCATATTGTTCTTTGACCTTGTTACAAGAAATTAACAAAGTATCAACCAAGTATTCTCCATTGTAAAGAGTAGGTTCCGTGCAAGTTGCTTTCCATTCATGAAGCCATGATGATTATCAAATTAATTAAAAGAAAAAAAGTAACTAAAGTTTGCTCTTATTTATTCTTCCATTTTTTACTTTTTTTCCTTTTAGCTCATCCTTTTTTAAATGGAAAATATTTAACTCCTTGCACGTAAGGAGTTCTTCCTTCTTTGCAAAACAAACTACAGTCTGACATGTTTAGAAAATTTTCACACACACTGTAAAGATGTCATGAGGTTCGAACTTGACCACTGGTCTGTAAGCCAATACCATTTTTCAACTGGGCTAGATCTCGTTGGCTCTTTTGTAGTTTTAAATGAGTTAGTTTTGTATTTGTATCATACCGTGATTTGTTTGTAAAGAAAAAGGGCTCCTTACATGTAAAGAGCAAAGCAACTCCTTACCTGTAAAGAGTAGAGCAATATTCTTTTGCAATTGAATGAGTGGTATTGATTGTATGATTGTAGAACCACAAAAGATATAAATGCGACCGCAACCAACGCCCTTTTCACTTTTCCATGAAACTTAACCCTAGAACGCTGTTAGAGAGAGGATATAGAAAAGCCTGGACTCTGTTTTTCTCCAGTTGAGTGAAAAGCCTCCTCCAAATTATGCCAAAATAACAACGGATTTCGCTGCATAAGCAACATCATGTGTAAACTGATAGAACAGAAGTTGGGAAAGAGTACAAGTATAATAATGCACTGGGAATTGCTTGTACCTCATGATTAAAACGAATGCTCGTTTTATGGTTTCACTTAGATTGGTTACAAGGGCTCTTCCCAATAAGGGAAGTGCCTATTTTTGGGACCTATCCCCTCCCTCTTTGGTCACGGAGAAAAACTTAGATGCAATGCGGATAGCATTGTTTTGCTATTCCAGTCCAATAATGTTATGCTACGTGAAAGTATTATCACGTGTGTCAATGTTATTCACTGGGGATAGCAAAATACTGTTGTCTCTGTTTCATGGAAGTCTTTCTCCTGATCAGAATCCTCACATTGGATGGCCTTCCTAGTCCTCCTTCAGATAAATGAGTTTTCAAGCAAAATGCATGTGGCCATGGCATTTTCAGTTTTCAAACTAGATGATGTGGTATAATTTTCAGTTTTGCTGCTGCATTTTTTTTCTTTTTCCTATAAGTTTGTTGTGGGTTTTGTTTGTATAATTTTGTTTCTTGAATAATTTTGGGTTTTGTTTGTTCTTTTCTTTTTTCTTTTTTCCTAAAACTGATGCTTCCACTTTCTAGTCCCTCTCTATAAACTGTGGAAAGACATATACAACTATGACCTTACAACAAATTATCGTTATCATTCAAGGATTCGTCATTAAAAGGGAGAGAGAGATTATCTTTGACGCTAACACTTCCCCTCCAATGATTGTTTTCTCCTAATCTTTTCATGGAGACAAAATTCTAGAAGTGAAAAACATCCTTCCAAATTACACATTTTTCTCATTTTAGTAGCTGAAAAAACAAATAGTAAAATAAATTGGAAGAAAAATGCAAGCTTTACATGGGACATATAATTTTGGACTATTATTTAACCTCATCATTGTACAAAGAATACCAATTGCAAAGCCAGACCCTAGTTTTCAAAACAGGCCTGGCAACTATATATATCTACCGCTTCGGTTCAGTCCAGGTCTTACTTTCAAAGAATTCATTCAGCATGGACTCGATAGTCTCAGGACGAAACCTTATATACTTCTGTGGGTTCTTCCCATTCTCGATCATAGGCCTGCAACACAGATCAAATCCATATTAATGCTGAAAAAAATAAGATTATGAATTTTATTTTTTGAAGGAACGTTTGCAAATGTGAGAAAAACATGCCCGAAACGCTTGACGAATGATCTGTAAGCAGGCAAGAGGACTTCAGCAACAGCCAGCCTCAAAGACTCTCGCAACTCGCTATCGGGAACCGTCCACTGAGATTGCCTTTGATGAAGCTCCTCAAATTGGACGTTGAAGGTCTTGAACCGATCTTTCACCATTGCTCTTGAAAGTGAACTACTGTCACTACCTGATGAATTTCCTCCTTGGACGGTAAGACACTGCAGAATCTGCATCTCACCAACAAAAACAAAAACAAAAAGGCCAAAAATAACAGAGCAGCTGAGAATGATTTTCAGCTAACATCCACAATCAGAAAGATTATAATGGAGAACAAGATTGATCAAATAATCAAAACCTTTGCCCAAGAAACCCTCTTGTACTGATTTGCATGCTGCTGCACGATCCTTCGGTGTATCTGCACCCAGTCATCCCCCAACAAGTCCTTCGCTTCTGACCTGTATATAATTACTTAACCGGCAATGTTAGGATGCAGATAGGATCAGAATCTATCAAAGAGCAAGACTAGTACGAACCTCCGCACAGATCTCACTATATAGTGAATGTTGTTCATGAGAAATAACTGAGTGAGTGCAGGATCTTTATACTGCTTCGATTTTCCATCCAGATTGTTCTGAAGAGCCTGCATAATCCTTGTAGTTACGGCTGTTAGCTGAGACTCTGAATCACCGTCATCAAACTCTTGAAAAAGTTGCTTAAGTGTAGACTGATAACTGCGAACATTAAAACAGTCATGTGTGATTGTTGCACAGTTAATACCGACAAAGGCCAAGGTAGCTAGAAAGAAAACCAAATTTGGAACTGGGGAAAAGGAAGAAATATAAATAATAATCAAAAGTAATAACTTTGCTAATATAGAAATTATTGTAATAATGAACTTGATAAACTAAATATTACCCTCATAAATAAAGCAGATGAATTTACTATAAGATTGGATCGAGCAATTGATACCGTTTATCAGATCATCCAGAAAGACATCAGCTATCATGATTACTTCAAATTTATAAATATATTTGTGAGCTCCTCAGACTGGGGACCAAATAGCAAGAAGAAGAAAGAGCAGGAATAATTACTTACTCGAAGAGAAACTTTACATAGTTTATCACATAGCTTGTCAACGGATGGACAGTTCCATCAAGAACGGTAGTTTTTGTGGCATCTTTTTCAACAGCTTCTTCAAAGTCACCAAAGGTTTCCTGGGCTGTCTGAGCTAGACGTTTTGTCAAACTTACTGCAGATTCCCGCATTTCCATACAAGCTTTACTTCCGAAAAGTAATTCAATCTGAAAAATAAGATCTAAAATTTATATTTAAACCATCAATTTGTTTTCTTAGAAGTATTAAACCAACATTTGATCAACATAAAAAGACAAAGACGAGCCTGCTATGACACCATCAATCCATAGCATCTTGAGCTTCTACATTTCTGTAAAAGTTCTAATTCCCTTGCAAACTAAATTAATATATGAATTCTGCTTGCCACTACTAATTATTGCCATGTTACCACTTTTCTACATTTTGGCCTTCAATTTACTCCAGTGATCATCTTATGGAATTAAACGCATGAACTTGTTAATCTGAATGCTATTCCTCAAAGAGTTTTAAGGTGTTGTCAGACCCCTTCCAAACTTACACAGTTCCCCAATGATTTTAGAAAACGAACAGGAAGGTCATAACCTTGATTCATATCATCACAATAGCATAATTTTCACATTCATAATAAAACCAACACTACACTATGCATTGTATGCTGCAAGAGACTAAAATATTAATGTGAAGAGTGAACAACGGTATAGTGACAGTTCACTAAGCATATAAACAGAGCTTTTCCAAGATGACATGAACTTGATAAACTCCATGTTTTGACCCAAATTAATATAAATAGAGTAACTTCAGAAACTTTTTCTTCAACTTGAAGTGCTTTCACAAAAAACTGATGCATAAAACTAGAAACTGTTTGTGTGTGTGCGTGTAAAGTTAATTTCCCATAGGCCCCATACCTTAAATACCTGTCATGATGTCATCAATCCCTAATAAATTATCTCCCAAAATATATCACAAGAAACTCTCGAAATTTAAAATTAATTAAACAACTAACCATTTCCAAACAAGTTTGGTCATGCATGAACTAGTTTTTATGTAGTTACTAAAATTTCAATACCTCTGACTGCAGTTCTCTCATTATCTCATACATGTCTAAAAGCACGAATAATTTTTCAGGTGACCTCTTGCTTCTGGCAATGGCCTCCCCAAAACTGAGAAGCACAGCCATACTGTTTGCAGTAACTTCAGCAAAACATGGATTCTTAAGTGAATCGGCACCTTCAAATATTTGATCACAGATTTTCTTTTCCCCAGCAAACAGCAGCTTCACCTGTATAAAAAGAAAATAAATATATATATATTATATGATAATAATTGTAAATAAAAACGCAACAGAAAACAACAAACAAACAATTTACAATCAACCGAGTCAAAGTCAAAGAAATCCTTACAGCTATCCGCATATAATGTATCCAATTCCCAATCTTAGCCTCTAAAACCTCCCACTGCATTTTCTGAACATCATCCTTACTAAGTCTTTCCACACCTAGTTTCCTCAGGCTCTGCTCCATAACAGCTGCACGAGTATCCCTGATAGATAAATAAAATTTTGTCAGTTTATGAATAAAATGTGAAACAAAGATCACAATGGTTTAAAGCGATGAACTTACACTAGACTCAACCAAGCCTTAAATTCAAATAAGTGGGGTTGGCTACAGGAATCCTTTTTCTCCAATTTTTTCTATCTACAGTTATCCTTCATTACCTTTTTGATATTCATGTAACAAAGAAAAAGAGCAAATGGAAATAATTCGTATTCTATCTGGAGAATAAAAATAAAAACTGCAAACTCTCCTCCACCATTTTCTTCCTTTTCTAACTTAAGCAATGGTGCAACATACGATTAACCACACAAAAGAAAATAAAAATCACCTGTAGATCCTAAATAGCTGTTGTTGATGGCCAGCTAGAATCATTTGTTGGGCTAAATCATGCAGTAATGGCAGAACCCTTGGAGGAATAAGCGTTAGTGGTGTGTAAATGACAGGTTGTAAGCTTTTGTTTTGGTGCTCTGAACTCTTTCCATCACTTTTCTGTCCAGCTGGATCTGATGACGGCCGTAGAGAGTCAGGAAGACAATCAAATAGACGATCAGGCTCCACAGGCTTACTGAAATACAAAAGAGATAAATCACAGAGTTAATTTGTTATCAGACCTGATTTCCTATGTTAGGATTGGCATGTCATGGTTTTCAGTTTTAAATTGCGTTTCATTTTTCATCTATTTCAAACTCTGCTTCTGTACAAAAATCAATATTTCAGATCAAACATTGCAGACAACCATCTTCTCTAAGAAGGAAAACGATACAAAAAAACACGAACTTAATATACTTCATTAGATATAATGGAAATAGTATATAAATCTTCAGGAAAGCTGGTGCTTGCTTGTCATGTTTATTAATGCAATTCTAATACCCCAGAGAGAGAGAGAGAGAGAGAGAGAGAGAGAGAGGGATTAGTATGTAGACTGACAATTTCTATGCAGGAAGTGGTAATTGGAATTTTGAAAAAGATGCTTTCTAGTACATGCCTAAAGTTCAAACAGAAAATTAAAACGAACCTGTAATTTGTAAGCAGCTGTCTAAACTCATCTTCAAGCTTTGAGATGGCTTTTGAAAGCAAGGCATTAGCATGGTTAAGCACCCCATCACTGCTCTTAACAGTCTTGTTTTTACTGAAGAACTGAATGATGCTCCTCAACTGATCAATTGCTTCCAAATAGCTCTCCAGGTCCTCATGTGGCCCTCTCAGTATTTTAGCCTCTGCCTAAACAAACACCACAGTTTCCAATCAAATTCTTCACATAAAAACAAGACCAAGTTACAAATCCTAATGCCATGAGTTGATGAAGAGAAAGAGAGCTAATTAACCTTGCGTGTGAGGTCGAATTGCCCCAATATCACCTCTGCAGCCTTCAATGTCTTATCAATGTTCTCATGGGCCCTCCGAATCGAATGCGTTCGTATCTACCATCCACAATTACCACAAATTCACAAGGGACACAAGGAAAAAAACAAATCGGAAGCCTAAATTTCTGTAAACTAAAGCTAAAGCGTTAAGCAGATCTCGTCAGCTCCAGCTACATATATACATATATGCGAAATGCGAAAAGCAGAGATTTTTCACCGAAAGAGAGACGTAAATTACAGGAGGCGAAACGAAACGCAGTAGATTTTGGAAACATAATGAAGAAGCGTGACATTGTCGTGAGGTTTCTCGGGAAACAAACAGAGGGAGAGAGAGAGAGAGAGAGGTACCTGAGTAGGACGCATAGCGGTCTCCAGAGCGGAGAGACGGTGGTCGAAGGAGCCGAGAATGGCGACCATGCTGTCGGTGATGGTCTGGCTCTTGTGCAGCGCGTCTCTTATGGACGATGCTCTCGCTTCCACGGCCGCCATTGCTTGCGGAACCCCCATTTTTTCAATTTTTCTTTTTCTCGCAGGATTTTCTCTCTGTGTTTGGCCGGAGAGAAAATTAAAAGTGAAATCGCGAAATTCGTGTGGAGAAATCTGATCAGCGTGGCTTGCGTAAGTCATTCATAAAGAGGATCGTGTTGGTGGATGGCTATTCTGTATAAATTTCGTTCCGCCATGTCTCTCTCTCTCTAATATTTTTGCATTGCACTGCATTCTGTCGCGTTACACTATACGTTGCTTAATACGCACATGCTAATCAAACTTTCTATATTTGAAAAAAGAAAAAAAAAGTAAATTTTGTCCAACCACTTAAACAAGTACATACAAGAAAAGTAATTTTTTGTCATTCCCTTTAATTAATTACTTCTAAGTTCTAACATTTCTATGTGGGTAGAAAAAAAAAAAAAAAAAAAAAAAAATAAAATTAGCTCAATACAATTGGAATTCAACAATTTAATTCAAATTTATATATAAATAATAATGGGACTTCAATAGATGGCACCTAAGCTAATAAAGAGTTTGAATCCCGAGTTTTTGCATTTAGAGCCTCCGCATTTAGTTTCATCTTAGTCATTGTAAAAATCCAACAACTCAAAACATGACATCTAAGCTAATAAAGAGTTTTATTTTATATTTTTCTAAAACTCTTACTCCCCTACTTCTCTCTTTGTGACGTTTCCAGTCTGTCTTTTCCGCTTTGCATTAGTTTCTTTCCATCCAAACATAGAGTGCAGCTTCTTTTCATGAATTTTGGCTGAATTCCAAATGACAACCAATTGACAGGTAGTGGCTGTAATCGATGGATATTGCAATGAATTGGGTATTTTTCATGAAAATTGAAAGTTATCAATTTGAGAAATTTTATGAAATGCGGATAAATGGAGAGGCTCGGAATCCTTATAAGTATTTGAATTGAATCGTTGGCTGACTAGATGGCTCTTTCTTGGTATAAGATAATATTTTCAGGCACGCCTAGCTCTTTCTACAACTAACTGATGAAAGACCCATATTTCTCTTTGAACTTGTTACACGAAATACACGAAGTGTGTGCTGCAAGTATTCTTCAATATTTGCAAAAAGAAAAGGTTATTTGCAAGCTGCTTCCCATTCAAGTCTTGATTATTCAATGAAAAAGGTAAATTGTAAATTGTAAATTGATGATTTTATGGCAACAAAATGACTACATAAAAGGGATTCTTCTTTGACCTTGTCATAAGAAACTAATTCGGTGCCACTTTACTTCCCTCAGTTTTAACACTTTGAAAAAGCATATAAATAATGTAAAGCTATAGGGATAAGATAGAGCATATCGTTTGTACGAGTGTGAGCACAAGGAGTACAATTGCAGCAATTGTAGAAACAACTTTCCATGGAGTGTTGAAATAGTCGCGCTTCAGAATAGCTTTCCATCTGTGCCAAGGGGCCTTGCAGTAGGCATTGAGTTTTTTGCAAAGACTCAAGTAATACTTTGGCTGACTGAAACCAACACCTTGGCCAATATGGTTAAACAGAGTGGACACATCAACGTTGCTCCCCAGCATGCTAGATATAATTTCATGTTCAATGAGCAAGTCCACGTCCTTTGAAGTCTTGATCATGCACCCCATGAGGAACATCAATTCTGAAATGTACTTCACTTGGTGATCATGGCACTGTTCGAAGGCAATCAGGTTCTTGAAGACAGTTTCCGTCCAATCGTCTACCCTAAAATTCGGAATTTTGAGACATCCTCTGTTGAATTGTATGTCAAGTAAGGACCTCGTGCTTGTTGTGGCAAACTTAACTCCAGCATCCTCTAGCGCTGTCACGCTTGGTGGGATTTCATAAACCCTATGGCCATATTCATGCTTTTCGTCAACAAAATGCTTCACTCCGTGGTTAACTCCATGCACAGGTGCACGATCGGCACCAAACTTGTCGATTTTGACAGAAGCCTTGAAGAACTCATGCGTAAGCTCGACAAAGAATTTGAGAGTTCTTTTGGAGCCATTATCAACTAGGTTATACAAACCCTCAAGAACAAAGAAGGGAATTTGGTTCTCAATCAACAAGACATCATGGAAAACATCTACGATCATCCGCGGCTTTCTATAAATCCGATCACAATCGTCTACATATTCGAAAAACTGGTGCCTGATCATAAGCTCTAAGACAAAAATTGCATCCACCAGCATCAGCTCGGCAAATTCATCACTGCTTAGGTCAATGCGGTCTACATAAAAACGCCTGGCCTTTGCTTCCCACGTTCTCACAAGGCCAAGGCATTGGTCTAAGCTGAGCTCGTTTCGGCTCAAGAAGGCCTCTAAGTATTTGAGTTTAAAGATTTGCATTTCTGGGAAACTTCCTTGGTGAAAGTGATAAGGTCCGATTGAGACCACCCGGGGTTCATAGAACTCTTTATTTCCTCTGCGAAATCTCTGGGGGACTTTGTAAATACAACAATCCGGCCAAAACGACGGCTTGTCTCGCACTTTACCCTCGATTAGAATCGCCACTTCATCCCTCGGTTTCTCAACTATTACTGCTGGTGCAGCATTGGTTGATGAAGTCTCCTCTTCCTCTTCCGTAGGGGAGAAGCCAGCGCCATCCAATAACCTTCGACAAGAATTTAAAAACAAACAAAAAAAAGTCAACTCATATCCAAACAACACTAAAACATTCCAATATACATACATGTTACCATAACCAATTTCTCCGTGAAAAGCTGATGTGCCTGTCCCGAAAAAAAAACAAACAAAAAAACAAAAAAAAATTATCTGGTTAAGTTTTCATCGACTACATAAAAAATTAAATAAATTTGTAACTGCTAGAATGCACAGTGAGTCTCACTCTCACTCAAACTAGAGAAGCCGGTAAAAATTAATTATTAGATTTTGCCTAAGGTTGTGAAGGGGTCTAGCACTAAATCGAGTACAATGTTGTGGAGGTTTCGAACTTGGGACTTGTTTCAATATATGGGAGAAGAAGTACCATGAAACTAACTGTTAGTTGAGGCAAACAGCTTGTTAGATCTGGTAATAATAAGGGAATGATATCTACTCTTAGTTATATTTCTGATCATGTTTGGAATCTCAATTACGATGAGGGATATTTGTTAAATGTCACCTGAACTTACATCAGTTTCAATTTGTCACCTTAAAGAAAAATTTAAGCAAAATGTCACTTTAAGTTTTCAAAATCCATTATTTGTCACTTGACTTTAACATCATCCAATTTTCCATCCATTTTGAAGGGTATTTTAGTCTTTCCAATATGTAAACCCTCTTTTTTATATAATATAAAGCTATGTAAACCCTCTTGCTTGGAAAAACTAAAATATCATTCAAAATAGATGGAAAATTGGATGATGTTAAAGTCAAGTGCCAAATCATGCATTTTGAAAACTTAAGGTGACATTTCGCTTAAATTTTTCTTTAAGGCAACAAATTAAAACTGATGTATAATTTCAGGTGACATTTCTACAATTATCCCTTACGATGAATGTTGTACTCTTTCGGATTTATTCAACAAGAAAAATAAAATGTCAATATGTTAATTTATGAAACACCCTCATCACGCCTCGTACCTTTTTCGGGTTTTGGTTGGAACATCTTTGCTGTATATGAAGATGCTCAAACTATGTCCAAGGCTTCCTGCACAGCCTCAGCTATTACCGCTTCTCCTCTTTCCCTTCATCCTTCAAATTCAAAACATTTTAATAATGAAATATTTCAACAAATTAATGTACAAAGAAATTTTGCACATATAGGCTTACCAGTTTGGCTCACTAGATGAGTCCACCTCTGTAATCAAGATATATTATTTTCAGGCATGGCCTTTAGACAAGCTGTGGAAGTGACTGACCTTCTTATAATGGATGGCTACTATATATACACAACGAAAAGTTCCATATTATTCTTTGACATTGTTACAAGAAACAAAGAAAGTATTATCTCAGTCGCCTTCATAACTAAAGAGAAAGGTTCCTTGCAAGATAGCTGCCTTCGAATTTGGAACATTTTCTTCCAAAATTGTAAAGAGAAATACTGCCAGACTAGCAGAGAGTTAATTGGTTACTTCTTTGCTTTCAAATTTGGATCCATTTTGTCCAAAAAAGAAATAAAATAAAATTTGGATCCATCGAGATCGACCTATATGAACATTTTTAGCAACACTACAGTAAATCCAACACTCATCCATGGCCGAATTCGGGTTGAACCCGGGTTATCCAAATTGATCATGTTAGGATCAAAGTTTATGTTATAATTAAGGCTAATGTGATTAGTGAACAACATAAACAAGAACTTGAATGTAAATCTCCCACTATTAACAATGTCATGTGCTTGATATTGCTTTTACAGCCCATCCGTACGTGTCCTCAGGCCCTCATGAAATGACTCATAATCACTTTAGAGGATCCTTACAATAGTATGTGCAAAAACAAACTGTATTTTGGCACATTCCTTAATGCAACTATGTAGCTCGCATCTGCTTGATTGATCAATCAGCTTATGGCACCAGTGCTCCGGGAACCACTGAGCAAGTGCCGAATTCAACTGCCCAATTAAAAGGGGGGGGAAAAAAACCAATAGCTGAATTATGCAAGTTATGTAACAATGAGACCCCCTGAAATAAATAAGAAGAAAAGAATTGAAAACAATAGGCTAATGGTGTTAAGAGAGATGGTACCTGAGACAAGAAGAAAAAGCAGGAGAAAACTGGGCTGTATTTATTTATCTGAGAGACAGAGAATCAGTTCTAAAAAAAATACCATGAATAATTACAATCAGAGAAAGATCTTCTTTTGGTAAGCAACAAACGTAAAGGTACCCATTTTCCTTCTCTCTTTTTATTTTTTATTTTGGGTACAAAACCAATTTTGCTTTGGGTAGAGAGAAAACAAAATTAACAAGAGTAATTGGAAATCAAGGTTTCTCTGTTTGAAGTTGGAACCGCAGCCCAGCTCACCTTATATTCTTTTCTTAAACCAATACATGGTAGACTTTAGATTAAATGCTTCTGATTCTATCTTATAGGGAGTTCATCTAGTGTCACATTTAATATGAATTGTCTAGTAGAAAACACCACCTTAAAAAAACAACTTTTATCCTATAACTTTGTTGAACTTTTGGCCAATTCAACAAAAATGTAGACTTGAGCCTATCAGAAATGTTGCCACGCTACAAGAATTTCTCCCAACCGGACAAAGACGATTTCTATAAACCATGGTCATGAGTTCAAATCCCATAACACGATAGAGGACGAAACATTACGGTTAAAACATGGTCTTTGGTCATGCATTCAAATCCCGTTAGACCATAGAGGGTGAAAAATTTGAACCATACATATACATTGCAAACAATGCCAGCTGAATCCAAAAATCTAAAAATTCACATAACTTACACGGAGTAAATAGTTTAAGATTTGCTCATTAATCCAAAAGAACCATTTGAATCTCAAGTTCATACTTGCATAGAAGGTAAGCAATGTAGGATTTATGAACTTTTAAAAAAATTCACATGACTTCAGACAAACCATGTGTCAGTGTTTAGATTAAGACAATTAACATAGACACGGTAGAGCCCAGAATTTAGTCCAATCTAAAACAAATATAGGTGTAAAAGTGACTGATATAATTAAACTTTGATCATTAGAAAAACCATGAGGTGCTAATTTTTAATGCAAAAAAAGGGCAAGGTTGAACCTGCAAAATAAGCATTTCTAAAAACCCAGCCACAGCTTTAAGCCAGCCAAGTGCTGGGAATAATCAGAAAAAACTTAAGCACAACACCACTAATAATATAGGTAATTCCAGACGATTTCCACATTCGCACAAAATTGTACTTGAAAACATCATGTATCATAAAACATTAAACTAAGCAATTTCTGCTGCAGCAGATGAAAGTACCTCAAACTAAAGAAGCACTTGAATAAACTAGACCAGTCCTTGAGGATAACCAACACAACTGTAAAATAGATCTAGTAGCCTCCTTTAAGATCATTGACGACATCATAAGGAATGGGAGTAACAGTTTCCATGACTGCCCCTTCAACCCTGAAACCTGGCTTGGGTCCCTTTGGCTGCCTCTTGGTGCTAATAACCTCACCCTTTGCCTTGGCCTCAGCCTTCAACTGATCATTCTTTATCTTCCTCAAACAGAATTCCTCAGTGCACCTTGAAGGCTGCACATGCTCCACACGCACATGGATCCTCTTCCTGATAATCCTGTTGCCAACCTGATATCATGCACAAGCATACAACTTGTAAACCTTCCAATAATCGATTGCAAAATAAAACATACAACAATCATTTAGCATCAGGGCAAAAGCAGGATAGAATTCCTCAAATCATGAGACAAAAGGAAACTAGATTTATGACAATGATCAAAATTACAGTGCTCAAATCAAAGCTCCTGATTGATCCAAGTAAAGGATTAACCTACATTATCTCCATTGTACAAAAATGGTTCTTCCTAGAATCACTAACCTACATAATCTTTTATTTCCACAAGTGAAAATAAATTAAAAACCTAATTTCCCGATCCATAAAGGAAAAACTGAATCAAACAAGTCATAACACATCCAGCAGACATGCATAAACTACATATAATCTGCACATAGCTTTCTATAGCTATTATTTCCCAATAGAAGCTGAACATTATTGACAACTTTTCTCGATCTTCCTTGCAGTGAGTTATAAACATCTGACATACAGTAAGCCATTCTCTAACAGGATGTATTACCCAGCTTCCCATTCAGCATAATCTAGACATCAACAGTACAATTAGCAGCTATAAACTAAAACCATCTGAAACCCACAAACCACATAAACATATACATATACATAAAATCCCCATTTCCACCTAACAACAACCACAACAATGATAGCTATAATGTACCCAGATGTCACTGAACACTGTGAAGTCGAAATCAAACCAAAAGTTTGGAAATTTCAACAAGAACCCACAAATCCAGACAACCATTCCACAGAAGCAAATCATCAAACACCATTCAAACAACAACTCAGAGTCCAAAAATGAAAATACAGAAAACCCAACGAAATGAATCACCTGCTTGTTTATCTCCACACCGATGGCGCGCTTGGTGACGTTCCAGACGCGACCAGTACGTCCATGGTAGAACTTGTGGGGCATACCCTTGTGCACGGCGCCGTTAACCTTGACATCGACATAGTCGCCGATCCTGTAGGTCTTCAGATAGGTTGAGAGAGGGATGTAACCCTTCTTCCTGAAGGCCCGCGAGAAGAGATCGCGAGTACGAGACCTGAGACCGTGTCCAGCCGGCATTTTGAGCCGCTCTCTCTCTAAGGTTTGGAGGTTTCTTTCAGAGAGTGGCTGCTAAAGCCCAAGACGATGAGAGTGTAGAGTTTTAACTCCAATTCAAAACACCGGCAAGGAGAGATGCTGGAAAGCTTAATTGTATATTGATAATGTTGAACTTAAATACAACGTTACAACTTCAGACTATGTTATCCTAAAGACTTGGTAAAACAAAATAACGTGAAACATAACTTCTAATAGAATAGGATAATTAGTTTATTTAATTAAAAACAACTGCAGTAACTAGGTAAATATTTCTTGAACAATTAGTTTAGCGAGAAACCTTCAACATGCGCTACAGCTTCTGTCTTCAAGCACCATCCTTTATAGAGCAAACTCCAAACAATTTCCTTAGCTTCGAGAACACCGATAATTTGAGAGGTTTGATTAGAACACCGTTTTCATGAAGTGGTTGCAGTCCTACATTGGCTGCTTAGACAAATCTCAACTCTTTTCTCCTCTATAAAATGTTTCATATCTTATCCATGTTATCGCAGACATGAAGTACAACCCTCTCCTTTAATTGGGCTTCAAATTTCTGTCAATTGGGTCTTTCTAAAGAAGGACCACTTGGAATATTTCTTGAGTGTTCAGAGTTTTTAATCAGTGTTAGATATTTAAAATTGAAAATTTTCAGAATTTTTTATTGTTTATAATCTAAGATTTGGGAATTTCTGAAATTTATTGGAATGGAGTAATTATATTCCGAATTTTCGGAATTGGCATCGGAATTGATTTCCAGTTTCGAACATGTTTTGGATGGAATTCGGATTGCCCGTTTCTCATCCGTTCCGGAGGAATTACAGGCCTATGAAATTTTTCATTTTGAAGTCTCATTGTGTATTGAACTTGTTTTGAAGAATATCGACTGAGAATGAACTTCTCTACACACTTTTTTCCTTCTCACTCTCTCCATTTATTTTTCATTTGAATGGTATTCAGAATCACTTTCATCAGCCTCTCACATTATGTTTTGTTCAATATGCATAATTGAACCTCATTTTGTCCAATATGGAGTGATATAAATATAAGAAAAAGAGCAAGCTTTTCATTCCCAATACAAAGTTTCTTAAACTTTTACTTATTTCAACAAAGCCCATCTTACAAAATGAGGTTTAAAAAAAACCTTCTAGGGAACCTATCTTACAAAATGAGGGAAAAAAACACAACTTTCTAGGGGACTTTCTTACATTTTCTTTAGTCCTACTGCACAAACCCCAAACGACAACTGACCTTCTATTCTTCAATGAGGCTTTTATTCTAATAACATTTCAAGAAACAAGACTCTACTTTATAGCAAAGAAAGGTGACCTCTCAGAGCTCTCAGTAAGTCCATTCTTGGGGCAAACGAACATCAGAACGAAGCTGGTTATAGCAATCCCCTCTGCCCATGCCCACGCTTTCGATAGGTTTCCTTTGCTGGGTGGCTTTAATCTGCTGGATATTTCTCAACCCTGCAACAAAAACATATAACCAATAAGGAAATCCATAACTGCAAAAAGAAAAATTGACAATTGACAGCCGTTGATCAATGGGGCTGCGGCCAGTCTTGGCTTTGTAGTTTTCATGTAACAATGCAGCACTCAAACAGTTCAATGGATTTCTAATTTTGCTTACTAATTCCAAGCAGTGAAAACAAACATTCAACCTATCTAGAGGTCAGCACATGCAATATTACTCAGTTCATATATATATATATATATATATATTATATATAAGTGGACAAAGCAGACCCATCAGTCCATATTCCAATAGAAATTAACATTAATGAATAGGTCCACCCAAAATATAAACAATGGGTTACTATTCTGCCTAAACAAGGTGCTTCAAGCATATGAAGAACCACTCAACAATCTTTCTCAATTAAAAACAAGATGTTCACATTTCAACTTTTAACTACAAGTGGAAATATATAGCATCAAAGAAAGGATAAAACTTCCATTTTTGTATAAAAGACACACCCTTTGTTTGGAGAAAAACTTCCATGAAAGGCTAATAATGCTATGACACGCGTGATAACACTTTCACGTGGCATAACATTATTGCTTGGTCGGGGATAACAATGCAACTAAGTTTTTCTCCTTTGTTTCAGATTGACACAAAACTTTGCAGAATTGGTACCAGAAAATATACAAAAACTAAAGTGTGCCAGAAACGCATCAATACAAATGACGTTACGAAAGTACGAAAAGAATAAGGATAAAGTTGACGAAAATTAAAAACAAAAACAAAATCAAAACTTCGAACAGCAGAACAAAGAAATAATAACTCACCCTGTTTCTTTTTGACCTGAGGATTACTGGTGGTGGTTGTGGTATTCAAAACCCTGGGATGAAACACACCTGTGCCTCCAGAAACCCTCTCAAAACCACCCATTGATCCAATCCCACTTCCCTGATACGTCCAAAGACGGTTTTGCTGTCTATTCAAAACCCTCTTCCTAGTTTCCAGAAAGCTACAGACCTGCCAAAAATGACAGCACATTACCATTAGCAACTCTCGAAACTCTGCCACTCCATTTATTGAAAGCTGGGAAAAAGCAAAAGGCTTGAAAAGACAGACCAAGAGTAAAAATAAATAAATAAATACATGACAGAGAAAGAAGGAAAACCCGGTTCAAGTTTTTTGGTTCATTGTTTACCTGAAGTTGCGCCGGTTTCAGAAACTGATTGTGGTAATGGAGTTCAGCCCCATACCCATGAAAGCTTGCACCTTTCTCTTCAAGACCATGACTGAGGCTGAGATTAAGAGACCTCTGAGGCAGAGAACCAAGCTGGTTGTACTGAACCGGCGGTCTGAACGGCTGCAAACCCAGTACAAGCAAAGACAAAATAGACCATGTTAGTGTTAGCTAGCTCTGTGTGTGTGTGTGGGAGATAGAGAGAAAGAGAGAGAGAGAACCTCCATGGGTATATGTAGCAGAGATTTTGAAAGGCATTGACGTTGTCTGAGGAAAGAAAGAGCAGCCAAGTGTTGGGCGAGCTCGTCCATGGAAAGAAAATGGTGGGGGTTAAGTTTGGAGGTTGAGTTGGCTACTTCGTTGAGGAAAATGTCTGAGGGAAGCCATCGTTCACCATCATTCAGATTTGGAGGAAACCCAGCCATTTTAAGCATAACCCACCAAACTTCAATTCAAACACCCAAAAAAAACAAGAAGAACAACAACAACCAAAAAAAGCAAGTTCTTTTTGCAAGAAGAAAACAGAGAAATAAATTTTTTTTTTCAATAAAACAGAGAAAGATAGAGAAGGAAAAGCAGTTTCAAGGGTCTGAAAAGCGGGACTGCCATGGTCTTACTTTCAAAACAACATTGTACTCTCTCTCTCCTCTATAAAGAAGATAGAGACAAGTGTATTATGTTACGGCCCGTTTGGTTCCCAAGGAAAACGAGTTTTTGGAAACTGATTAATGACTCAATGAGCAGTTGTCAATTTCAAGACTCAATGGAATTGGGAAATTTAAAAAACTGGGTATTTATTTACAATGTTGTCAAAAAATACGACTTTCCCAAGAATTTATTCACAAAAATAAAAATTAATTTTAAAATAGGAATATCTTGGTGCCAAACAAGCCCTTAGAGCCCAGCTTGGGCTTAGGCCCGTACTCACACAACCTCTCGAGCTTGGCCCGTACTGGTCGGCTCGTTCGCGTTCCACTACTCGGCCGTTTTGTTTTTTTGTTGCACAACGCAAAACCTCCTTTCCTCTATACTCACACGCGTGGGAAAATGCGTACTACTTGCAATAGAAAGCCGACGCGTGTCCCCTGGGACACGTGGCGTTGTGTTGATTTCAGGTCGATAAAAGGTCTACGAGGGAGGGAGTGAGTGTGCCGTTGCCCGGGAAAGGCTGATACGTTTTTGCAGGCACAAATCAACGCAAGGGATGTCACCACCTGCCAAGACTCGTCCCTTTCGCTGAAACGTGTCTTATGAAGGATGGGATATATTGTGTGCGTGCATTCATATTAGTTATCGTGTCCCTCTCCCTTTTCTTGTACAATCATCTTCTCTTCTTCTTCTTCTTTCTTTAGGGTACTTCTTCTAGTCTTTTATTTTTTAAATTGTGTTTTATGTTTTTAATCTATATATACAAAGCAAAAGGCAGATAATTTCCTAGCGAAACTAGCTGAATGAACGAAAATAAAACATCAATAAGAGTAGGAGAATTGCAAGGGCATTGAAGGGCCAGCTTCAGTACAAATTCATTGGCAATTACACTTACCAATCCAGTAAACTAGTTTCCACTAATCAACATGGGAGAAATGTTGGATGCCACCACAGGATTTCAATACGCAAATTTATATGGAAAGAAATGTGTAAGAAATGTAATAAAAGGCAACAGATTTCCGCCAAACTTCTCATTTCAGATTGGTACCATAATGCGAAATCCAGGCACTTATGAACAACCACCCGCACTCGCATATTGGGGGATTTGTAGGAAATTCTCAATCACTCAGCATGTAGCCAAAATTCCATCTCTTCACAAAACATGAAAAAGGAAATTTTCTTTTCCCCATTCAAGCTTGGAAACACTCAAAGATCAATCCTTTTAAGCAATCTTCAAAAGGCCCTACAACCATTCCCACTATTCTAAATTTAATTCTCACACTGCATATGTTCCCAAATTCAATTGCAGGCTTCAGACAAAAGGATCCATGCCCAAAAAATTTACCTCCAAACTTTGACAATTGCAGTTCCTAACTAAACGACATCGTTTTCTCTATTAGCCAAGCCTTCCAGCTCCAAAAGGGTATCAAAATGTGGTATATTATATACCCATAAAGTATGTCATAGTAAGGTATACCTTCCTTATCGTATACCAAACCGCATACTATCAATCACTATCACCATCCTCTCTCTCTGTTCACACTTTCTCTTCAAAACTTGGCCATGGAGTGGGGAAATGTTCCTGCTCACATGCCTTGAAAGCAAAGAGTTCAATAAGTGAATGCAGTGGAAGTTATTTGTCCTCTGCAGCCATCCTTCTGCGTATCTCATGAGCCGTATTGAATATGCCAAGAGTAGGCTTGTCGCACACAAAGCACTTCTTGTTCTTTGAATGATGCTGTGAATGAAAAAGCAGATTAACGTTAGAAAAAGCTTTTAAAAGAAACTCAACATTGAAACACAATGACTATTATACTTTATCCGCAAGTCTAAAACGACATTGAATTCCATAGAGCTATCGCAGCCACAGGAGTTAAGATGATACATTAAGAAAGAGAACTCACCTTTAGTGCACAGTGCTCGCAGAAGTAGTGGTTGCATTTAGTCACAACAGGATCAACAAATGGTTGCCGGCAGATGAAACATGCAAACGGCAACAAGCCATCCTCATCATCATCATCATCATCTTCCTCTGTCTGGTCCACATCATCCTCACCCAAAGCTAAATTTCTCTTCCTTATTTTCTCTGCTTCATCCCACTCCCTTTCCATCTGCCACCCAGACTTGTAGTCTCCACGATCATGCATAAACTTGCAAGAATCTCCATAGCCACAATAACCAGTCTCTTTGTAATCCTTACATATGTCTGGCTGATAATCAAATCTTGTGGTAGCTCTGATGTGAGCAGAAGCCCTGAGAGGCCCATGGGAACCTCCCGCTTTCTCACTGGCCACTGTTAGCTCTCTTCGGAACCCAGCCTTGTAATCAGTATATCCATGGATCCCTTTATACAACTTTTCGTCTCCAGTACCTTTGCTCTTCCCCTTCAAAGCCTCCTCTGCCAGCTTAAGAACTCTCTCACGAACTGCTCGGGCATCTCTAGAGAACTCAGTCTCAGTCTCCAAAGTCGCAGTTGCTTTACTATCATGTTCAACTTGGATTTCTTTTGAAGACTTGAACTCAAATATTGCACTGCTATCAGGCGTAGAGCTCTTAGAGAGTCCACTAGAAAAATACAGCTTGCCATCAAGCTTTGAGGCTTTTCTTTGACTTGGTAATGATGTACCCCCAGATTTTGAGTCGTCCTCCTCTTCATCTTCATCAACCCTTCGCTTTCTAATGTTTTGCTTCTTCAATGGCTTCCAGAAGAAGTTGCAAACTGGAAATGCAAAAGAACAATGTTACAAAGTTACAGTGCACACAATGGAAACAGATACAAAATTCAAACAATAGTACACATACCTGCACCAGGTTCTGCATTTCCATCCGAATCTGCCATATAGGCACAAGCAACCAAAGCACGGGGGCGAATTCAATCACCGTTACTTGGGTTATTGCAGCTGAGTTGCGGAATTAGGGTTTTGAGGGGTAATTCTTCCTTTTTTTATGGCCACTGCTGACAAACAAAATTCACTTAATAATTTAACCAGAAAACTCCAAAAAAATTCATACATGGATATGTCATAAATACAGTGAAACTCAACGAACTTTTCTCAGAAAAAAGAGAAAACAAATGTATAAATTCCATTATATTATGTGGTCAATCAGTACTCTAAAATAAATTTAGTGTTTGTTTCCCAAGCAACCTCTGAAATAACAGAGAAAAGATCCATGAATGCTTGATCCAGATATACTGTTATTCCAAAGCTTCAATGAAAATCAGCACCAAAAAGTGATGATTTGGTGCAATCCTAGTGCTGAATTTCACCAAATTAGTTCTCTTGACATTTTACAATACTCCATTATCACATTTTAATATGTCCATTGTGCATGGGAATCTGCTTGCAATGAAGACCCAGGAAGCTAAACTTTGTAGCACTCAAATGGATTCAAGCTAACAAAGTACGAGTACATAAAATATATACACTTCACAATTCATAGGTTATTGGTCATAGACCACACGACAATCTGTTAATTTGATCAACATAATTAATCTCATAAAGAGCAATCACATTTCTTACTTTGTTAATTTGATCAACATTTCTATATATAGGTACTAATATCACAAGATTGATATATAACAGGGTATTAGAAAAATGAAAATTCTTGAGCTATAGTTGAACTCCTTTCACAGGATAGCTAGGGTTTCAACAGTGCAACATATTGCTGCTAACAATTAGAGAGCCATTCTAGTTGAAATTTAAGATAATAGTAAGATGAATCTCAAAGTTTGATTCATTTTTCAGACTAACTAATCTTGATTTGGAAAAAATTAGAAAGAGCTATAACATGCAACTCAAAACAGGTTTGCAATGAGGACCTAATGTTAATATCAAGAAGATAAACATGATGTTGAAAGCATTACACTGGAAACATGATCACAATGACAGCAAGACTTGAGCCAGAACACAACTCTTTTTTTCTTTCTTTCTTTCTTTCTTTTTTTAATGTAATAAAGCATTCACCTAATATGTCATGCTGCATCCCTTTAAGAGCGAGTAAAGTGAAATACGCAAAACATGGAAGCTATGCTACCATTCCTGCTGCCTAATCTTTATCAATGATGGGGTCATGCTTAATTCATATTTAACTCCAAACCCTTTGTTGAAAAATGGGAAAATCACTGGTTCATGTCACATAGCAAGGAAGATCCAACATTGAATTTTTTAATTTTTTTTCTCTTTTATTTTTAAAAGAGGTAAGAATTAAATTTCTAACTCGCTCCACACGCCACAAACAAATCAATTAACTCAATCTTCTCTTTTAAACCCTACCAACACATGCCATGAATGAGATCGTTCTGTCTTAAATTTCTTGTCAGTTAACTAATAAGTAGTGAATTACAAAGTTACAAAATATCCATATCCATTACAAGGTTTGAAGAAAAGGAAAAACTACGTAATCTTAAGAAAAATGTGAAGAAATCTATCGGCAGTCAATGGAAACAAGTTTTGATTATCTAATGGCTTACATTTGTGATGATATTTAAATAAGTTGAATGGTTCAAACTATTATTTTTATGAGGACATTTGTGCAAGAAATAAAAATGGTGATGATCCATTTTGTGCAAGCATCTGCTTTAGCCTTTACAAACTACAAGCATAAATAGGGCCACTGCATTATCATAAATAACTGGTTTGTTTGTAACATAATGCAAAGTTTAAGGATATGGTACAAGCCTATAGATGCCTTATTTCATTGTACCGTTGCCACTTGAAGGAACTCTTAACACATGTTCACAGGCACTAATCTACTGTTGCCTTATTGCACCCTCCACCTAGCCCTCCACCTAGCCCACCTAGCTCTCTAGCTTTTGCTGATACATATCTATCCATCTCCTTTGTAATATTGTCACTTTACACTAGTAGTTCTGAATTTCCATCAGAAGAAAAAAGCCTGAAATCTGTTAGGATCAGTCTCTTTTGCCCAATTAGACTTCCAAATTCCATTCGCTTTCTCTTTTTTCCCCTTTTGGGGATGGGACTTTCAATCCTCCTGATCAGTCCCTTTTCATTCCCCATGTCAAGAACAAGAACCACCAACACCAATATTTACTCAGTCCCTCACAAAATAAATAAATAAAAGCTGAACCCTCTATTTTGTTTTCATCCTCCTACCAGTGAATTCAATGCAAACTTAGTCACTTGAAATGAATATCCAATAAGCCTCTCCTGTCTATGATTCTATCTCTCTATATATTTGAAGTTAGAGAGCAACAAGGGAAATTATGAAGAGGAATTTCAGTACTCTGTAGCAGATTAGGGAACTAATTTTAGAATGCAGAGCAGAACCAAACAAACAAAAATCACAAAATACAGCAGTAGAACCAAACAACAGAGCTTAACCAATTTTTTTCCCTTTGACTACTAACCTTCACAGCAATCACGAAATCCAATCTTTGTCCAATCTCAAAGGAAATCGGAATTTTTAAACAGAACCTGCCAAATTAATTAAACACAAACAGCTGAAATCAAACCCTATCGTTCAAAAAACTTCAATGAAAAACCCACAAAAAATTTATAAGATTTTGCAAATCAAATTCCCTAGGTTAAATAAGGGCTTCTGACTTTATTTAATTGGAGACGGCGCAGCAGCAGACGGCGTTCGCAGTCAACGGCGTCACCGACTTACCGGAACCACCAGCACATGGCGACAACTGGCAGATGAGTTACACAGCCCTAAGCTTTTGTCCGGGAGAATAGAATGCCAAAACGATCGTTTTGTTGAAGTGAGAACTCAAAACGGTGTCGTTTTGTGAATGCCAATTGAAGAAAAAACTATGGATGGGCACGGTTCGGTTTGGATCAATTTTTGTCTCAAATTAGAACCGATCTAATACTATTCATTCGATTTGATTCGGTTCGATTTTAATTAAAAAAATTCAAAAACTGTTCGGTTTAGGTTGAATCGGTTTCGATCCGATTCGGTTTTGGTCCAGTTTGGTTTTGAACCAGATTCTTAAAATTATTATTTTTTACTTATTTTTTCAACTGAAATTTTATTTTTTTGACTTGAAAATTAATAAATTATTTAATTTCATATAAAAATAAATATTAAAGCTAAAAGAGAGAGATGTTTTGAAATTGAAATTGAATAAATATTAGTTATGAAATTAAAAATATAACATTAAATATAAATAAATATTGAAATTATATATATTTTAATTTGACCGGTTCGGTTTGGCCTGATCCAGTTTTTGAAGACATAGAACCATAACCAAAACCAATTCAAACCGGTCCGGTTTGGTTTTTGACTTTTTGGTCAACTCCATTTTTTTTCGATTTTTTCCAATGCGATTTGGCTCGGCTTTTCGGTTTGCTGGTTTGAATGCCCACCCCTAGAAAAAAGATATAGCTTCGCTCCTTCTTTGCGCTGTTTCTATTTTTTATTTTCAATTTCTCTTCGTTTACCATGAAATCAAATATGTGAAATTATTATTTTAGACCCATAACGGAAGGCTATGTAGTAAGAAATTTGTAGACATGTTTTGTGTACTTATGAATTTTTTGAGATAAAAAGAAAATAAATAAATAGATGACATGTGTCGCTATGATACGTAGACACTATCAAAGACGTTGACACACGCACCTTTCATCTGCTGACACGTGTCAATCTCTTTAATTTTTTTCTTATTTTTATCAGATTTAACTTGAAAAGTTCATAACAAATAAATTATAAATTATAAAAGTACATTGAAAATTTCTTAAGAATTCCTTGTGACATTCATTTCACCCTAAACCTCCACAAATCTACTTTCAACTTGTAAAACCCAAAGAGATAAGAATAAGTCAGCTTTGTTTATAAACAAATCAAAACAAGAATTAATGTTATATATCCTAACACTCTTGTTTCTTTGATCCAATAATTATTATCAACTAAAAAAGGTGGAATCATGATTTTAGACTTCCATATAAAAGGCTATGTTGTAAGGAGTTTGTAACAATTTTCGATTTATTTTTCTAATTTTTAATTAGTTTTCTATGAATTTATTAAATTATAAACACACAAAAAGTAAAATGGACACATGGCACTATCGGAAGGGGTTATCCGTCAGAAATAGTGATGGCGCACCAGTTAAAAATTATAATAAATAGTGAATTTGTTATTATATTTTCATATTTTAACTTCCAAAATTCGTAATAAATACATCCAAAAAATACAAATTCGTAGAAACTCCTTGTAACATTTTCTTCTTGATTAATAAAAGTAATTACCCAAACTCAATTTGTTATACTAACTATAACAATAACCAAAAGATGATTAGACTTCCTCGTTACAAATCTTGTTTCAATTGGTACTTTAAAATTTCCGTAACTCATAAGTTTATGTTGGCACTTTATTATCGAATATAATATTGTAAGGAATTTGCAGTAATTTTCCATGTATTTTTCTTATTGAATACCGCCACAGGATTTAGGCAACTTTATATGGCAAAAAATGTGTACGAAATGTAATAAAAGGCAACAGATTTCCGCCAAACTTCTTCTCATCTCAGATTAGTACCATAATGAGAAATCAAGGCACTAATCATGATCAAACAACTACACTCGCATATTGGGGGCTTTGTAGGAAATTCTGCAATCACTCAGCTTGTATGACCACATCTATATCTTAATCTATATACATAATTTATTTATTTTTATTTAAGTATATTAGATTATAATAATAGGGACAAAAGCAAAGCTTTCAACCTGGAAAAAGGAGCAAAATGGGAAAATCCAAACCCAGAAACAAAGGAACAAAGAAAGAAAGAAATCCAGTTAGGTAGGTACTGTGGAGCCCCATCCTCCAATATCAATGAATTCATTCTGGATGGAAATTGGAAACTGGAAACTAATCCATGGAAAATACAAAATGAGACAAAACCAAAACCACACCCAAAATTCCATCCCTTCCCCAAACATGAAATCAAGTAACTACACATTAGTTTCAATTCCAGCTTGGAAACACTCAAAGATCAACCCTTTTAAGCAATCTTCAAAAACCCTACAAACATTCCCACTACCCTTAATTTAATTCTCACACTGCATATGTTCCCAAATTCAATTGCAGGCTTCAGACAAAAAGGACCCGTATGCCCTAAAGTTCACCTCCAAACTTTGACAATGGCAGCTCCTAGCTAAACGACATCGATTTCTCTTATATACCCATAAATTATGTCATAGTAAGGTATACCTTCCTTGTCGTATACCAAACCGCATACTATCAATCACTATCACCATCTTCTCTCTCTGTTCACAATATCAACAAGTCCAGCAAATCAAAAAAGGGAAAACCCCATAAAGCCCCGATTTTCATGAGCTTTACCCTTTGGCGGGTCGGGAAATCGGACCCGCCGGAGACCTGAACCCGAAAGTCACAGCGTCGTAAGCGCACCAGTGGAATCCGACTTCTCTCCCCATCGCTTTAGCTCTTGAACACTCCTCGCACACCACCGCTACGCCACCTCCCCGGCCCAGCCCAAGCCCAAGCCCATCGGATCTTCCCAGGCCCATGTTCATCAAATACCTCTCCTTCTCCATCTGCAACTCCCTGATCCGATTCTCGTACTCGACCCGACCCGCAAACGGAAAACCCAAACCGGCAACGTTTTCGATCTCCATACCCCGCCTCAATAGCATAACGTTCTCAAGACTGAGGCTCTTGTTGACCGGATTGTGAGCTCCGAACGACGCCGTGTTGTCGTACTCGTTTTCTTGAAAATCTTGGTGGTGGTGGTGTTGAATCTGGCTATTCTTGGAACGCCGCTTCTCGCGTCTCGACCGCTTTAGCTCCACGAGAAAGAAGCAGTTCTTCTCGCGAGAAATCGCGCCGAAGTTGACCTTGCCGGTGATGGGGATTCGCCGGCGGGTGTCCGGCGAGGAGAGGAAGACCGTGAACTGGTGCGGCGAGATTCCGATCTTGTTGCTCAGGAGCGACAGGAACAGCTTGAACTCTAGGGCGTCGTTAACGACGACGTTTCCGATATCGGTCTCAGTCTCGCCGTCGGAGAAGACGATCGGAAACGAGACGCCTCTTGCTCTGGGGTCCTCCACCATCTTCGCAGCGGTTTCCGGCAAGATGACGTCAGATTCCGGAGCTTGAATTCGTCAAAGTTTGAAGGTCGAAATGAAAATCAGAAGAAATTTTGGTGTTTGTGGAAGAAAGAAATGAACAGGGGTAAGGGGTTTTATATAGAGGTGTGGGGTTTAGGACGGAAGTAGTAAATACGGTAAGGCGGTAGGGGTATTTGAGGAATAAAAGTTTTGATGTTTCGTGAGGAGCCAGGGTGATCGTATCTTCCAGAGCACACACATGCCTTTTCTGTAACGACTGAAGGCTTGGGGCCCAAGCAATCGAAAACGGCGCGTTTCGGCTCCTGTTTCAGAAATTAACTTTTTTAGTACCTACATTTAATTTAACTCTGACAATTCCGTTTTCCATGTTTTTTGATGCACTGACAATTTTTATTATTATAAAAACAAATTTCTACAACGAAAATATAATATATATATATATATATTACCATTTATTTATTTTCTTGCTTCTCCCATTTCTCTACCCGTCACGTCACCTCTTTCCTCGTCTCATCTCATCTGTCTATCCCGCCAAGCCAACGATGATGTACGTCATAGGTCCTAATGGCCAACATTGGTCAGTCTGGTGATGATAGCAAATCTATTTTTTTTTCCTGACCCAATAAAAAAGACTATCTTTTTCAGTTTGAAGCAAATTTAAATAATTTTAAAAATGTATGACATTGAATTAGAAGACTTGGCACCTACGGAATTCATCAATTTCATTTCTCAAATTTATCACAAATTTAAAATTTTACATAAGTTGTACTAATTTACTCCTTATTTACTATTGCTTATTTTATATCAATGTTAAGATAAGAGGTCTCAAATTCAAGTGTCCTTTGTTGATAAAAAATGAGCTACAATGTTACTTGCGCAAGAGCTCTTAGACTTTGAAAGTTACCATTTTACGCTTTGTGCATTGAGTTTGGTCAAAAGTCTAACTCCAATTATTTCACCGAAATAACATGAGAGTTGAAGCAAGGTGCACCATTTAGAGGTTCTAAATTCAAGTTCCTACTGGACGAGAAGAACTTACATGTAATATGGATGCCCCTGTGGCGTTATTTCGAGCTAATCACGTATTGTCATGTTGGAAAGTTTAAATACACGACAATAAATAATTGGCTCGCGATAGCACCACAATGGTACCCCCAGTATAGGTAAGTTTTTCTTCTCTTGGATTGATTAAACAAAACTTAAGCAGGAGTGTATGTGTTGGTTCCTAACCTAATCCCCACCTTCCATCCCTTTCCATACCCATTTGCAAAACCAATTCATGCCATTTCTATACACTTCCATATCTCCACGTTCTTCTCCTGTCTGCTAGTTTAAATTGAAGAACGACAATCCTCATGTTGCCATTGAAGTTTTGCCAACCAGTGACGTTCAAATGAGACCTAAACTTAACAACATTCCTGAATTGAACAACATTGGCCAGCATGGGTCAAACGACACTTATCAGAAATTTGGCCCTAATCAATTTGTTGTTCTTTGTTTTCATCAATTACAACATAGGAAAATTTTGAAACTCCCTAAAGAAAAATTAAAATATAAAAATGAAAACTATAAGTTATAACCACCCTTTTTTCAAGAAAATATTATTTATTCTTTTATTAATCGAAAGAAATTCAAATTTGAAATTTCTAACAATAATAATAAGGAGAAATTTCACTAGACGAAGCGTTAGTAAGTCATAAAGCAAAGAGAGATAAGGCCTAGTAAGGGTCAATTGTTGTTGAAAAGTTCCATATGGATAGCTTGCACAAGTAAAAGTTACATATCTGCACCAAAGTTAGACTTTTTTTCAGTAACTTGAATGATATTTTGTTAGGCTAACCGTTTTACATTTAAACATCATTTCACGTGTTGGCCACGTGATAAATAAACAACGTTTTATTGCTTAACGGGACTTAATTGCCCTCCTAGTTTGGAAAAACGCAGGCACTTGCCCATTCATGTCAATGAAGTTGTTCAAACATCTCTTTTGGTAATTGGACGTCATCCATGGAGGAGGCTGCTCCTCCCAATGGGTACAGAAGAAATGTGGGGAAACTTTTTTCTCATTTTTTAAAATCCCTTTGGAAACTTGTAAAGGTCTAAATTAATAAAGCTTTTTGGGCCTCTCTTTCTCTCTGTATTTGATCATAAATATGCTCAAGGTTTGCAGCGTCCAAGGCATCATGGGGTCCTTAAAACATTTAACAAATGCCTCAGGAAACATCAATGTGTAGCCTTCTCTGGGTGTTATCTAATCATTAAATATACACTATTAAAAGTAATTTGGTTTTATTATTCTGAATTATTCATTCTGTTTTTGAAATGTTCAAGGATGGAGAAATCATTGTCTTTTTATCTATAGCTTGACCGAGCATTTACCCCTGCATTCTAGGTCCTAGATTCGATTCCGTCAAAAAAAGATGAAAAATTGGGAATAAGTTTAATTTCGTACTTTTAAAATTGGGAATAAGCATTTAAATTGTAATGAAGATTCATTTAAATAGAATCTGGACCTTTAAGATTGTTGGTTTTGTACACCAAAAAATATCCACCACCAATATAATTGGATGCCAAAGCCTTTCCAGCTGATGTTGGTTGAGAGAATGCCAATTGAGAATGTTCAAGGACAAATCCCATGCAGAAACTTTTCCTGTGAGAGAGAAAGCGTAAGAAAACAGCAAAATGTTAATCAAACAAATATCAAGAAAAGCAAGCAATTCAATGTCAATTGTCCAGCAAAAGGAACTTACATTTCTGTTTAAGAAATTTGGACAAGTTATTGTGCTAAAATCTACTTAAAGTTAGCTGACATGATTTGGCTTGCAGGTTGGGATCCAAACCACAACATTACCATATCATACGTTGGGTTTCCATTTGATGAGAATATAAAGAAACTCCCCACCAAGAGAAAAGCCAGAGGAAATAATACCAAGGGGTTGAAGTTACCTCAGGGCATCCAGTAACTGGGTGGCTATGTGTTTTCTTCTGTTAGCTTGAGTGACCCAAATGGCTCTGATGCCGCAGACAGCAGGCACTGCTTCCTCTTCACAAAATATAGCACCGTTGAGATTCTCGTTCAAAGCTTCAGGAACAGAAGGGGCTTTTCTCATGACTTCCCTTTGAAATCTGATATCCCCAAATTGGAGAGTGTTTAGTTTTGGTTCATTTCTAGTAGTACCATCAGAACTTCCATTAACTGCACATGAGAGGACTTTGTGTGCTTCTTTTATTGGCTCTGCAACTAGACACCCAACAATCCTTTGGGACAAAATGAACAGGTACACCTGCAAACATAAGGGTGAGATACCACACCGAAAATGGAGCTAATAGCTGAATCATACCATATATATATATATATATATATATATATATATATATATATATAGAGAGAGAGAGAGAGAGAGAGAGAAAAAAAAAGAGATACTAAGGCATTATTGTACTCCTAAATTGTCAAAAGAGAGATGGGTTTATTACAAAACAAAATTTTGGAAAATAAATCCAAAGCATTCAACATTGTCCTGGTCCGGGAAAACATAATCATACAGACTAGCCATTTGTACTATTGTGGAATTAAAAGGCACCACTGTGTTCGTAAAAGTCCTATGGCCATGTCTTGAATAGATGGAAGTGTGAAATGAACCAACATAATGCAAAAACAAATAGTAGTTCAAGAATTTTCTAGACATTTGATGCAGCAACGATTCTGGTAAAGACTAAAAGTTATTGTCAGTCACCTTACACAACTTGTGCAAATCCATCCACTTCCAAGTTCACTCTCCATCATCTTCACAACTTCCCCAACCTGCCAGTACAAAACAGCAGCTTAGTTAAGCAAATCGTTGAGTTTCCTTGAAACAGTGCCCCCATTTACATAAAGTATCAGATTCAAGAAAACGGAATGTTGAGTTTGAACCTTGTTTCTCTGAGCAGGAGGGTCACAATCTAACACCAAAACAATCCGACCTCCTTCAGCTGAAGGCGTATGAACAACCCTTTCATTGCACCATCCCTGCAAAACATAGTCAGCAACTTTGACAAAATAAGCGCCCAAATGGACCTAAGAAACTCATGGAGACACATAATCTAAAACCATTTGCACCTTGAATTGAATTCCACGGGTATAGTCCTTGTGAAATGCCTTGTGAGCCTTCTCATCCTCTTCATCTCCAGCCGTATACTTGACCCCACAGGTGGAACATGTGTGCAGATTAAAATCAGACTGACCAAACTCTAAATAGAACTGAGCATAACTTCTCTTCTTGTTCTTCACCACTGTTCTTCCCAATGTGGATGATTTTGGCTTCCCAGAATTATTATAAAAAATGGGTCTCTCCGCCAACTGGTTAACTGTACCTTTGTCACTTTCACCCCTTCATTACACAAAGAAAAGATTGGAAAGGGGAAAAAAACAAATAAGAAAAAGGGTCAGTAAATCATTACTGATATTCCTACAAAATCCTAGATTTTCTGCAAGAAAAACCCCAGAAATTAAATCCACGCTAAACCCAATTCCTAAATTTCTTAATTGAATCTATTTGATTTTTAGCTTTCGTCTTTGTAGATTCAATAACCCAGAAACGAAATATTAAAAAAGATAAACTGAAAAGCGAAAAATCCATTTTCGCCCTCTGCCTTTTCTCTCAGCACCCAAACAACACCCAGCCCAAGTAAAAAACAAAATACAAAATACCTTTGAAGGTTTCGATCTCTTCGCTTGTAAGTGTTGCAATATTGGTGCTGCGTCTTTTCCCAGATGGCCAATTCGTCGTCGTCTCCGTCGCTAAAAGTCGGAGGTGCGTCTGCTAATTTTATTGAAAAAGAAGGAGAGGGTTTGAAGAAGGCACTGATCTTTGATTGCATTGCATGAATTGCGTGGAATTTGATTTGGGGTTCGATCTGATTGCATTACGCCTCAATCATCATTTACTTTGATTTTGGCGCCCAGAAATTTGGCAGACTCCAGAATGAATTTAATTTTCCCTCCTAATTATTGTAGCCTTCAATTTTTTCTTGGGCCTTTCCGTTGGCGATGAACCCTAAATATTTCTTCCGTGGACCCCTAAGGAGGCCCAATTCTGATAAGTTGATTTGATTTATAGCTTGTTTGGGAGTGATTCTGCCCAGAATCACTTATGAGTAGAAGTAACTTGTACGTGCTTCTCCATCTCCATATAAGTGATTTTTAGCTTACCCAAAATCACTCTTAAAGGAGCCCTAAGTTGATCTACAACAATTAATTAAATGAAAATTAAAAACATAAAACAGTTTAAAAGTCCAATTGATTAAGTAATCATATAATATTTTTTTGATAAATATTAATATATTTTACATAATATTCAACATATATTTGAATATTTAATACTATCATCAACCACTATGTCTTCTTGAGCTGCCGAGTTCTAAGGCCCCATACTATCAGGACCAACAAATTCAACATTCTCCAGCACTTCCTTTTCAGATTCGTTGCTGCCATTATCTTATCACAAAATAAAGAATATCAAAATTGGGAAAAACAACACAATTAAAACTAAAACTTTGCTCAACTTAAAAAGGAAAATAAAAACATTAAGATCCCGTTTGGTTTATGGGAAAGGAGGCTTAGGAATGGCTTTCTCATGTCTGGTAAGTCCAGGCATGGAAAATGATTGGCTTGCACATATAAAAGTAAGGGGGAAAGTAAAGCTCTCCTCCAAACTTGGGTTTTGTTTTCCCTCATCATGGAAAAGTTTGGGAAAATAAGCTAACATTAAATGCACATTTTTCATAACTATTTTGTCCCATTAACAATTTAGAATTATAATATATCATTAAATGCATTCTTTTTTATTTGATTTAATATGGATATAATTGGAAAATTATACAAACTTTGTTTTCCATTCCTACTCAAAACAAACATGGGAAATGAAATAAAGTAATATCTCCCGATTACTTTCCCACCATTACCAAACGTTGGAAAGGAATATTCCATTTCTCATCCCTTAGGAAATGACATGAGTAGTAATTTCCCCTCAAATCTGTTCCGTGAACCAAACGGGGCCTAAAACTAAAATTAAACATTCGAATAACACCTCTTCCAAGTGCAAGTGACATGATACTGCGTGCTTCAAAAATTTGAAGCAAAATAATCACTGTATAGGGCTAGGTCAAGTCGTCTCTCTTCATCATCAAGGACCGACTACTCTAGGCTCATCAAGCAACGGTTCATGCAAAAGGAAATAAATAGAACCCCTCTTATTGGCTTCAAAACTTTCCTTAATTCTCAAGGTTTTGGGCCTCAAGATATAACCTAATTTAAACTCTTATCAAACTTCAATAAGTTAATGACTCATCAAAATATAACATAGTATCTAGTGCACCGATCTAAATAGAAATATAACATTCTCCTAGTAGATCAAGCATTAGAGCACTAAGTTTCTGTAAAAGTTTGATCATCTTTATTGGCCATGAGTTTTAAACAGTTAAGTCTTTCCCTTTAAGCTACCGTGAAAAACGATTAGACAAAACGAACTATAGAAGCATTGCTCTACTTTATCAAAACATGTCATCTATAATCACATAATGCAATCTCAAATCACATGAACCTTAACATATACTAATTCATAATGTGAATCTTTATGATTTTCAGTACATATACCCATTTACGACTTAGCAAGAGTAAATCCACAATGTTATTAAAACAATAGTATCTCAATATAGATCATAAACTCACATGCATAAACAAAATGCATAATAAGTTTAAAGAGCTAAATAGTCAAAATGGTTAAAAAAAATTATTCAATAATAATAAATGTCAACCAAAATAACACCCTTAAATGCAAATCCCTTAATACAAAAAACAGCAAAATCAAACATACTAGGAATCTATCAGAATGGGAACAAGACTCCCACTAAATTTTAGCATCAAAACAAGGAAATAATCTCATGCTCACAACACTGGAAAAATGAGAAAGTAACATCAAGAAGCAATATGTTAGGATATGCTTGACTTTTATTATTTACATGTCCGAGCCTAATCGAGTCCTTAGTATTCCAAAAGTGGTTTTTAGCCTCCAAACCCTAAATCCAAGTCACAACGTGATTCAATAATATCAACTACTTATTGGAGTTTGAATGAAATACATGAACTTGAGCCCCACATTGGAAAAGAAGAGAAAGTCTCAACTCCTTATGAGTGGGAGTCTTCCCACACTTGCTAAAACTATTTTTAAAATATATTCAGAACTTAAATATAATTTTAAAGTCCAAAAAACTATTTAAGAAAGTAAATATAATTAATTAAAATACTTAAATACTAATTATTCATTCAATCAAGAATAATTAAAATATAATTAATAATTAATATAATTAAACAAGGCTAAGATATTACTTAATTGTAAATATAAACTAAACAAATTTTGTATAAATAAATAATAATAAAAAGTCCACAAAAAATTAATAACTTAATTATAAAATATAAAACAATTTTGTGCAGTATAGCCGTTCGGGTATACTATTAAAATATTCAAATAAATTTGAAGATTACAGCCACGCGGCTATACTCTTTAAATAAAATTTGAAGATCACTAAGGGAAGCTAACAATATCAGTTTGTTATCATCACGAATTAAGTTATCTTAAGAGAGACAGAGTTGAAAAATAAAGTCAATCCATAATCTTAACATTCAATGAATAATTCAATTACTTCATTCGTAAAGAGAAGCTAAACAAAATTCTTTTACTAAACAACTAAAAACAAAAGACAAGATACAAATGACATGTTGATCATTCAAGTGGAAAGAATAACTTGTAATATCAAACAACAATTGAAATACATGCTTAATAGGCCGTAAATTCAATAACAAATCACTTAGTTCTAATTCAACCTCAAGATTTTCAGAATCCGAAGTATGGTACAGAAATAATAATTAAAACGTAATTACTAATTAAAGTAATTAAAAAAGGCCAAGATATTACTTAATTATTAAAAAAAAACCATTTTGTGCAGTATCGCCGCGCAGCTATAGTTTTAAAATATTCGAATATATTTCAAGGGTACAGCCGCACGGCTATACGTTTTAAATATTAATATATGTTAACTGTACAGCCCCCTCGGCTATACTGTTAAAATATTCGCATATATTTAAGAAGTACAGCCGCGCGGCTAGACTCTTTAAATAAGTGTACTTTATAATATATAAATTTCCATTTTAATTATGCGTTTGTCTTTAAAAAAATTTTTTTAATAATGAGTTGAAACATTCAAGTACATCATAGAGATGAAACTAATTTGTATATACAAATCAAAGTTATATTACCTTAGCACCAAAAAAATGTTTAGATTACCTTAATTACTTTTAATTTAAAGTTGACTTGAGCTGGACTCTGAATCCCAACTATTAGGACTTCATAATTTGTTATTTCTAAGAAATTGATTTTGTTATTTTATTAAGATAAAAAGTGAAACTATAACACTCGGATAGGGATGGCAACGGGCCAGTTCGGCCCAGTTCAGTCTCAGATAAAAGTATTTCTAAACAGTTAGTCTGTTTCAAACTTTCTACAAGAAAATCTGACTCCCAACATAACCCAAAACCCCAAAAATATGCTAGGCGTCCGAGTCTCAGATAAAATTATTTCTAAACAGTTAAGTCAGTTCCAAACTTTCTACAACAAGATCTGACTCCCAACATAACCCAAAACCCCAAAAATATGCTAGGTGTTCGAGACTCTTTTTCTTCTTTTCCTTTTGATCTGCTTAGCATGATAATCATGGCTTTGCTCTAGCTCATGAGGAAGACAAGCCGGCCATCGGAGACGTGCATTCAGTTCGTGTCTTCGAGTACCTAACCTCAACCAAGTCAAGGATCATCGACCAACATTGATCCAGAAGCCATTCCCTAAACTACTGTCAGGATCTTGATCATCTCCTTCTCTTCCCATTCCTTGCACTTCCACCACAATTAGATAGTGCTGCAATGTTGGGAATCAAAATGTAAAGAGATGTCGAAAAACATGATATAAATCATTTATCTAAAATGTCCACCTACAAAATAAAACATTTAGCCATAAACCTATAAAATTTGTCTTTTTATTTTACCACTTGTCCCCTGATGGACGATGATATCGTACCATTCTGACTTCGTATAGTCTTTGTTTCTTATAATTTAAAATGAAAATTATATATATAAAGCACACAGATAATTTATTTATGTATGTACCCAAGTATGTGCACCTGCAAGTATGAAAAGAACATCCCAGAAACAGGGGCTCCATATACTCTAAACAAGAATGAATTATGGGAGCCCTATCAATAAATGAATGAAACAAGCACGCGAAAACTAAAGATGGTTATGAAGTAGAAGACTCACAAGGCACCTACTTAGATTAGGAACGTCCCTCTAGACTGACTGCATGCCACTGTGCAATGTCCTTAGTCGACCAAGTGCACATTGCACCATGTGCCTTTCTTCGATGGTCATGCTGATTTCTTTTGAGGACTGCATAAATAAAGTAGGAAAATACGACGGATAATAATTAAAGATCTCACTATGATGCACACAGGTATGCCGCCAAAAAAAGAAACAAGATTCTCTGGATATACAAGCCTGAGGGTGCAAATGAAAGTACCTGTAAAACGATGATGCTTTCCAAGATACAGTCAATCTCCGCCTTGAATGAAGATATGATTTGCCAAATTTTGTCATCCTTGTGCATCAATTGAAGCAAGGAAACGACTGCATCTACCCTACTTGAAATTTCTGTTGTGTAGCGGGTTTGATCAGGAGTTAAACATGCCAAACTACTTTTAGTTATCCATGACCTCAATGTTTTCAATACAACATTCAGAAGTTCGTGACTTTTATCAAATAAGACAAAGCAAGGAGTAAGATAATAACAGCATGCACTTGAACAAATGGAACCCGGGACCTTCTTATCCTCTTCAGCAGTGCACTGCATCAGAAGGCAGAAAACTGAGAGAGCGATAAAACTCAAACAAGGCAAAGGACCTTAATTATTTGGAAAAGAAACACTATGCAGAGGCATTATGCAACAATTTAAAAGTTCATGCAGAGGGGGCAGAAAATGTGAGACGACTGCAAACATATAGAAATCTGCACAGCAAGATATCTTAGTAATGTCAAATTGATAATTATACAGACATCTCGTCCTCATCTCCGTCCTCTAGACCAGCCTTAGTATGCGATTAAAAACAATATATAATTTTGTTGGCTTTATATTTATAGATCCTAATTCATCAATTCTTGTGTCACAACATGTAACCATGAGACTATGACAAGGGAACTAGCAACTTACAACACAAAGATAAGTTCAAAGGTTCTTATTTAATTTGTTTCAAACTAAAAAAGATAAGCTCTATTTACTATGACGAAATAACAATGTAACATGAACCCATAAACCAAAACATCTTTGTTAGATATCTTTTATTTTTCCCAAGGATAACGAGTGCATGCATGAATTACCATAAGGGTTATAAAACTAGAAAGATAATAAATATCCTATATGGTAGACGAATATTGGTACCATATCTTGTTGCCTTGCATCTTCATTGCTACTGACATTTGTAAACATGATATGGTAGCAAGAAAAGAAAAGAAACTTACATGCACAATGTCTATCAGATACCACGGAAGGATATTGCCTAGGCTTATAAAAGCTTGTTGAGAAATTATTGTGGCTTTAGAGTCCAGTGTAATAAGCATCCTAAGCATAGCACAAACATTGTCTAGAGGAGGAATTTGTAACTGCAACATAAACAAAACCATAATCAGGAAGAAAGAAAAAAACAAAAAAAATTAAGTGTAAATTTCAAATAGAAAATACAGAAAAGTATCCCAAATAATAAAAATTAGGAAGACATCCATGTAAAAAACATGAGAAATTAAGTTATTTAGTCAACTTGCCATTTGCTCAAGTATCACTTTCTCTAGCATCTGAAAAACAAGAGAATTATCACCCATCTCTGACAGGCATGACTGAACAATGCGAGTGAGTGACTTCAAAGCCTTCCGATTTAAGATAATCACATCACTCTCTTTTGAGATATTCACATCACTCTCTTTTGAAATATTCACATCACTCCCTTTTGAGATATTCACATCACTCTCTTTTGAGATATTCACATCACTCTCTATAACAGGATAAATTTCTTCTGCAAGGACGAAGCCATTTTAGGTTTAGAAACCAAATAATTACAATAAAACTGTATTTAAATAATGAATTGGTTATTCAGGAATTAATACCAAGGCATCAGATATCTTGGTAGCAAAAAGAATAAATAGTTTAAAATTGTCCCGAGCAACATCTTTTTGAGTCCAAAATCTAAGAGCAAGCTAACAAGCTCTTAAGTAGAGCAAGATAATTTTTGTTCTCAATCAGCTTTTTAAAACATGAGTTAACAACAATATCTCACACTTCCAATTTAATTACCTTTACGATAAAGCATGCAAAAGGATAAGCATTGGTAAATGGAAAAACAAATAAATCATTAATAGAAAATCAGAAAATTGAAACTTGAGACAAGATGTGAATCAATACAAAGAGAATGCTTCCTGGTAATTAATTATATACATAACATGAATAGGCCAGACTTACTTTTGTCAGATGTACCTGGGAAAACACTGAAACTGGAGAGCAAGGTGATAAGGAAACTAATGTGATCAGCAATCTGGATATGCCCAGATTTATAAGATGAATGCAGGACCTCTATGATTCGAAATAATACATGATGTTCCAGATGCGGACCTGCAATGAATTGGCAAGAAATAAAAACGTCAATTTAAAAAAATCCAATATTGCAAGTAACTCTTCATACATAAAAAATGTTCATACATCTCCTGGAAAGCAGAAAAGAGAACATTTATATTTACTTCATATTGTTAGAAAATAATATGAATCACCCTTTGATGTTTAATGGCACATCTCACCCCTTTTATATTTTGACCAATTCACAGAATAAAAATACAATTTCGACCACAAAATAAATAAATAAAAAGACAGTTACATAGAGACTTGAATGACGAGCATCTATCCTCCAGTTGAATGAGACTCCTTTTGAGCGTTGTTTCTATCTACTATTATCTAGAAAATTGCCTTCATTCAGCCACAGTAATGTCCACCAAAATGGTTTTCTACATCAGTTTTTGAAAAATATACTTGTTCAACAAAGAAACTAAAGCAGATAGGGCGCTTTCCTGATTCTTGCAGCAAAGATAACTCTACCACCAAACAACACTACCACTGAGGAACATATTTGATACCCAAGTCACTTCAACTCAGAATACTTTTGGAATTACAAGGTTCCTTTATGAGTGTTATAATAAAAACAAGAGTAGTTTGCATATTAAGTTGACCAATTTAGTTGTGTAGCGCATGAAACTTATAAAAAAACGTCTAAAGATGATATGAACTGCTTACAGCATACCAAACCCTAAGCTGTCAAATCGATCCAGAATCTAACCGAGGCAGACATGAGAAACTTACAAAGGCAACAATCAGCTATTGACTTCAGCAAAAGTGAATCCAAATGAGAGAAATAAAACAGGCAGCAAAGAGAGAGTTCCTGAGAATCTCTGGGAAGCTTTACAAAGGGACCATACGATATATTTCCTGCAAGAACAAAAGAGAGTACCATAAGAAGCTGAATTGTATGCTGATGGATGATTAATCCATGAAAAAGAACACAAGTGTCTCTATTGAATTGGGCTCTTTACCATCATTTTGAGTGCTGAAAAACGGTTGCAGTGAGAATTGCACGTTGTCATATTCCCATGCAAAGGAAGAGTTCATTAATGAACGTTGTCCCAGGCGAAGTAGAAGGTGCAACACAACCTGAAAAGGCATCTAATTTTAAAGGGGGGAAAAAGCATATGTGATATAAAACAATGACTATGCAAAAAATAAAACGACAAATAATGAAATATTGCAGATCAGGACATGACACAGAGATACAAGATGCAAAAAAAATTCAGGCGTTTTAATCTTTAGCACTGGCAACACCTAGTGTCTTGTTTCTGCTGTGTCGCTACTGTTGTTTTACAATGTTAAGCAAATAATCACCTGGGAACAGGATGGGTTTTTATCACCCATCAGGATCAGCAACATAGGAAGCTCTCTTATCCAGGCAATCTGAAAGTCTAATATCTCAGGAACACTAGGATCCAGGTACAGCACGTCTTGTCTCTATGATTTGTAGAAAAATATATCAAAATTCAAATTGAGAGAGATATAGATAGATAGATAGACAGTCTGAATTTTATTTTATTTATTTTTATTTTTGGGTAGTAAGAAATGCCAACTGGTATACTGAGAAAGAATCTTGGAGAAACTGCAAACAGAAGGTATACAATCAAGCTTACAGGAACTAGCATCTCCTCCATAATGGAAAGGCAAGCCAACTTCAAAGGGCACTCATGATTGCAGTCCTTGAATGCCTTAGTAAAAGCCTGCAATCAAAGACAATTAGATAACATCATTTTCATAATTCAAAAGAAGTTAATCAATTACCACTACCATAATGGTTTATGTATAACTTCTCTTTTTGGGTCGAAGGTTTATGTGTAATTTAGGAACCTATAATTCTTTGAAGAACAAAATCCAGAGTTACACAACCTTATAAAGAAAAAGGGCAGCTGACAGAATACGCTGATGATAAGCTCTTGGGATTCAAATTATTATTAAGCACGAGTCACACCTGAAGAAGGCGAGACTTCCAGTCATCTGGCACTTGGGAAACAAGTTTTGGAACAAAAGGAAGAAGTGAAATTAAATGCTTCTCCTGCTTCTCCTGCTTCTTCTGCTTCTCCTGCTTCTCCCGCTTCTCCCACTTCTCCCTTCTCCCACTTCTCCCACTTCTCCCGCTTCTCCCAAGCTTCTCCCGCTTCTCCCGCTTCTCCCAAGCTTTACCAATACGTGTGTCAGGGCAGACCTGTAAAATAACAAATTCCCAACTATTTAAAAGAAGCTTTACAAAGAGTATCTGGACGTTATAATAACCTGAAACATAGTACAGTACAATTCCACTAACTTACTGTCTATACCTCCCAAAATACTACATACAGTAACTAAAATAGGATGCATTTGTGTTTTCTAAGCTATCATGGCAAGATGAGCATAAAAAATTTCCTAAAAAGATTAATACTGCAAATAACAATCTCACAGTTGTATTGTTCTATCAAACACATTAATCATAACTTTTCCTTCTGTACAATAGCGCTACAAAATGCATCAGCTCATTACATTAGAAAAAAACAGAAAAACAAACCACAACTGCACTCCCTCTTTTTGGGTCAGAACTGTGTCCCTCTTTCCCATTTTTATTAAAAATAATCAAGCATAAAATGTTATCACGCCTAAATCAGTGCCTTCGAGAAAATACAGAGTGCATGACACAGAATTTTGAAGAGCAAGCAATGTAACTTCATAATAAAATATTATGGTACAAGAATCAATCTGACCTTTCGAAGCAGAGAATTTTCCAGAAATTCTAAAACTTTTCCCAATAAAATAGCAGGAGGGCAGATCCATTTGCTTAAGTACAAAAATATTTCTGTCAACTCAGTGTTCAAGCCAAAATATTCAACATCATCCTGCCAAACAGAATTTGGAAAGAACCAATTCAAGTTACAAATAGAGCAAGAACAGTTAATAGAGAACTTTTAATACTGGTAATGAAAGATCCCACATGAACAGGGGTATGAGCTACTACACAGAGAGAGAGAGAGAGAGAGAGAGAGAGAGAGAGAGAGAGAGCGAAAGAGATTATTAAGAATGAGCCTCACAGACACCCTGAAAAGGATAATTGATGACCATATAGCACCTGCCCAGATCCTAAACTTTGCTTTTAGTTTTTTGAACCCAAGCACAAATCATAGAATGGGGTTCTTATACACTCGAGTTTCAAGAATGTGAGAGCTGCCAAGGTGTTGGCTTAATATAATACTTCCATAGCACAAGACAAGACTTCTTTCTGGAAACATTCTACAACCTTCTATGAAAAGGTCAACATGTTATGATACTAATAAATTGTAATGGACTCAAGATACAGAACAGAAATGTAAAGGTCAAACACACATTATTCATGCCATTAGTACTATAGTCTATAACAAATTTATGATTTTCACAATGTATTAAACATCAATGCTAACGAAATATCCAGGGTCTGAAAATATGGATATATCAATGAAAATATTGAGAAAACATCAATATTGAGAGAAATTGGACGCACATGATGAAAACTTTGACTGATTGTACAAAAAGAAAATATCGGAAAAAAAAAAACATTGCAGCCAAAAAGAGAAACATAAAAAATATCATTAATATTCAACAGTACAGGCCCATGTTTGCTGAAAAATTTAAACAGGAAGGCTATAAAACAGATGTAAATTAAAGTGACACCAACCAGGAGTCTCTAAAGGAAGTCATTTGCAGTAACAATGATGAGTTTAAAAGTTATATTAAGGTCATACCTTTTCTGAAAGTTGATTTGTCATGTTAAGGGGAAACAAAACTAGTAACTTCTTCAATAGTGTCATAGAGATAGTCAACATAGTCACATCAAGCCCCTCTTGAGAAGGTCGTGATTCCAATTTACCCTCATCAGTCATATAGAAAAAGAACTTCACTGCAAGGTTGATACTGTGAAGTATGGACAACATACAATCAAATGATTGTTTATCAAGAAGTGAACCCATCTGAACTTCCGGAATAAAATCCTGGAAACAATTGACTAGAACTGGCACAAGGTCTTTTAGTTTTGGGATGATGACAGAACATCCTACAAAAGAAAGCAAGAAGATGATAGGCCAATAAGAAAAGAAGAAAAAAAAATTATATAAATAAAATGGAGGTTCTTGGATTGTGGATTGCTTTGTCCCACTAAACCATAACTTATTAGCAGAATATAAGGAATAAGCTATTTGATAATATTATTATCAGAGAGAACTTTCATTTCTCCCGCTCTGAGAATACATCCAAATGCAAGGCATTTGAACCTAAGAAGTACAAACTAATAAAATTATATAACTGAAGAAGTACTATCATGTAAAAGTTCAGGCACTTCAACTATTAAAGTCATATTGATATATGCAGTGACATGAGCCATGACTAAACAAATGGTGCCATCAGTAGAACATAACCGATAGCAGCATATACACACAAGGCACCAGTGTTTCACATACCAGCAGATTTTGCAGGCAAATCGGGCTCAAAAGCATGCAGTATCCTTTGTCCAGCATCATTCTATTAAGAACAAGAAATGATATCAGAGACAGAGAGCCATTTGCATAACAAAGGCAAAAGACTGGTAAGCACAATTCAAAACAGTTTCTCCCTGGCTACTGTGAACAACTGATCTTTCATGATGTAATTGGGGATACTAGGGCCTGAACTATTCCAATATTATTTTTTCCTTTCCTTTCGGCCTCTGGCCACCACTTTTACCGAGTTAAAAGAAGAAGAAGAAGAAGAAAAAATCTTTCTCCCATTCAAAATGGTTCATCGAGCTTTAGAAGTCAGCATCTTTTTTTTTTTTTTTTTTTTTTTTTTTTTTTTTTTTTGTTTTTTCATGCATAGTATCATAGTGTAGTAGTAAAAAAAATATTTATTCAAAACTTTCACATGTCTAAAGTAACTAAGTAAAGGAAAATATAGTTTAAAATTTGGATGTGTGAGAGACTGTCCCTTTTAAGTTTAACTTTACAAAGACAAGTTTCTACTACACTAACGCGGCGCGCCCCCCCGGCCCCCCAAGTGCAAATCGAATCCATTGCAAACTAATACATAAATTAAGATTCACTCAATTCATGTGCATGTTCCTGGTGCCATGTATCCATCCCCTGCAACGTGACAGTCTTTATACGTCTTAAGCTAGCAACATGATTGGTGAATTATTCATTGCAAACATCATGCTTCCCCACGACTCCAGAAAAAAATATCACAAGTTCAATAACAGGACCAAAGTAAAACCAGCTAAATCATCTACATATATAGATTTATATTGGTGAAAATTTTATGCGACCGATAAAACAATGATGATAATAACAAAATTTAGCACCAGAAGTTCCACCAGTAACATGCAATGAAGGAATACAGATAAAGAAATCCAAGGAAACACGCAGGTTCACGCCACACAATACAATCAATAAAAGAAAACATGCAAAACAGTTAGTAGTCTTCCAAGTTTAAAAAAACTAAAAAGTACCTTTTCTAATGAGCTGACTTCTCTCTTGTTACATGGCAACAGCGAAAAGCAATGCTCCAACCCGGCAAGAGCAGTCTCAAGCTTCTTCTTGTCCTCTAAATAAAACTGGTTCCGCCGCAGAATATCCTCAAAGTTTTGAAGAATCTGTTAATAAAGCGATCATTGAAACAGCATTAAAAGTTATCCCTAAATACAAAAGAGAACAATAACACGGAAAGAGTCTCTTTTGAGTTCATCTAAACTTTAGACTGATTAGCATCCAAAACAAAAGATTTAAATCACCGAGTGACAGGAAACACACATGCACAAAGGACTAAGCCATAATTGATTGATGAGAAATAAAGCAATGACCATCGAAACAAATTAGATCACACATGCAAACCCTGGATAAAAATTCAATTAAGAATATCTGCTTATAGGGATTAGAGGTTAAGTAATCTAAAGCTCAACATCTATATGAAAAACCCAGTAACTTGCCTAATATTGATCAAAATGTAAGCAAAGAACATACCAAGAATTACAGAAAGACAAGTTATCCATCAGTCTTGGAGAAAAAGAATGTCATTGAATAAGGCAACAATCAGTAATACATGACCACAGAGAAGTACCAAAACTCTAAGTCATTAATTTCCATTAAATATTAGTAAGGGGCTTTTAGGAGCAGTAGTCCCTGAATTATAACCCGATTTGCATTTCAGTCCTTCAATTTCCAAAATGGTTGTCATGGTCCTTCAACTCCACTTTTGATGGCATTGTTGGTCCCGACGTTAGTTCTATTATCTTTTTTGTTAAACGTAAGGGTACAATGGTCTTTTTAAGTTATTTTTAGTTCCCAGCACTCTAAAACCCATATTCCCTTTTCTTTTTTTTTGAGAAGAAACGAAATTTATTGAAGCAAAGGCAAAAACACAGAAGCGGATAAGGCATCCACAAGCCAACCAAACAACACAAAAACAAAAAGAAACAGCACCAACACCTCCCAAACTAACAGGGAAAAGAAAACCCCAAACAAACAACCAAATAAAACACACACCAAAGCCCTTATTTAACCACAGCTGCCATATCCCTCATAATTGTGGAGTAAGAGTAGTCTTTAAAATCTTTTGTAACAGATGCCCAAAGAGCTGCCCAGAACTTAACTCTGTCCCAAAGCTCACTCTCACTCTCACTCCCTCTAATCCCACCACCCATATTCCCATTCACCAAAAACAAAAACAAAACCCTATCTCCTCTTTCACCCGGAAAAAAAAAAACCCCCTTCATCCCATCGTCGCCAGAACCACTCCAACCCAACCCAACCTAAACCACAACCCACACAACCGCCAACCCCTCCCCACTGTCACCCTCACCACCCCACCCCAATCCCAATTCTCCCCAGGCTTTCTCTGCTGACCTCATTCCCCTCCCACCCCACACCCATTCCCACATTCTTAGCTCCCACCCCATCCCCCCATCCCACCGCTAACCTCCACCCTCACTGTCTCATTTTTATTTTGAAAACAATTTGACCAAACATGGGGATGGTGGTGTTCTCCATGACCAACCACCCAATTATTGGGGATCAACCTTTTGTTTTGGGTCAGGGAATTTGGGATTAGTTGAGGTTGAAAGATTCAATTCGAGGAAAGGGAGGGTGGGTATGGAGTGTTGGGTGCCTATGGAGCACTCTGGTGGAGGATCCTCATGGGTGGCTATGGCTGGTGCTCCGGTGGGGAGGACATTTTGGCAGAGGTTCAAGTCGCTGGTATCTTGCTGATTGGAAATACAGAGAGAAAGCCTGAGTTAAAAAACCAATTGAAACAAAAACAAAATACATGTGTTACCTTGTTAGTGGGCCACGTCATCCTTCAAGAGGAGATACATCATGAGCCAAGTAATTTCCGTTCTTGACCCTCAACAGTACACCATGTGCCATGTGCATTCTCAAAATTGACAGAAAAAGTTAACAGAATTGACGCCATGACCTTTATTGCTAACGAAAGTAGAGATGAAGGATCACGACAACCATTTTGGAAATTGAAGGACCAAAATGCAAATCGGGTTATAGTTTAAGGACTATTGCTCCTAAAAACTCTATTAGTAAGAGACAATGTGCAGTTTCAAAAGATGATGATGCGACATCCAAATTTTGTGACAGGTACGAGCAGATGCCCCAAACTCCACCCCACTAGAACAATAAAATAAAAGCATAGGAGAACAACAAATCATATAACAGTTCATAGTTAATGACCAAAACATATATCAGAAATTCTTAGGTTGCATTCATCAGAAGAACACATCTAATAAAAAAAAATCCAATAAAAACATTGGATACCTTTTCAGCATACAAAAAAAAGGAAGGTGGATGGTACTGGATGACAAGCTCCAAATATTTGAAAGCCATCAACCGAACATCAATTGCTAAATGTGTCATTGCATTAAATATGTAGGGCATCATCAAGGAAACGAAAAGCTCTTGATTATCCTGGACAAGAAAATAAGGAAACAAATGTCACATTAAATTCATTGGCTATAAACATCAACAAATTTAATGATAATAGAGATGATAACACCAAACTAAGTCAAACAACGTTGTAACTGAGTTGAATCCATAAGTGCAGCAAAAGAAGCAGCACGGATTTGAACCTATCAAATTGTCCTACGGTACTGAAGATCTAACTGTTCTACAGTACTGAAGATGCATAACAATAAGAAAAGAAAAGAAAAGAATAGGAAGTAAAAAGAATAAGCGTTATAAAGATAATTTATGTGAAGCTCTATAAACTGAAACAGAATTAATTCCATTTCACCCAGCTAGGAACAGCTTCGCAGATCCAGAATTCTGGCCTGGCTCTTTAAAATCTTAAAATAAGTGATGTTTTACATGGCAACAATTGAAATTCGCTATTGGGAAAAACATCTATCATGAAAGAATTATGCAGAAAAACAGTATAATCAACCACCCAAATGTTTCTTCAACTGAGATTAATCAAATATAATTGTCTTTCTTTTGCATTTATACATTTAATGCAGAACCAAGTTTTCACCTGCTGCATACAAAAAAAAAAAAAAAAAAAAAAAAAAAACAAAAAATTCCTTACAACCAGCTGACAAATTGCGTGACTTAAAAAGTTCATGTAGTGTGTTTTTTGAGTTACTCTATCATCATCGCCAATGCGTTCACGCAGCTTTTCAATAACAGCATACTTGTGCAGCCTCAACTCTTCTGGATACTTTTCAAATAAATCCTTAATACCCAACAATGCCTCTTCACAAAGAAATAAAGCTTAAGAACATTAGATACAGTAGAAAAAATCACAATTGGAAACAGCTTCCAAGACAACATAATTATTGAAAAGGAAGTGACTTCTACAATTAACACATTAAAAACCCAATGAATGTGCAGAAATACATGATCAACAATTAATCTATTCAGGTTAAAAATAGATTAATGCTCATATTTTGGAAGGCACTACTAAATTTTGCATCAAACTGATATTATAAAATAACAACAAAATACCTTTACGAACTTTTGAGCTGTAATGGGATGTTTGCTGAAGAAGTTCTTTCAATGTTAAACCTCTCTTATTCACTGCTAATCCTGCCTTCTCTGATGCCACACTCTGCTCGGGAAGAATAATTGCTGCTCACAGTAACCATTACTTAATACTCATTAGAGATGCTAGTTCACAACAATATTTGACAACTCAAAATAGGAGCACACAGGCTACTCATTCATTTTGGTGGGAAAAAAAATTTAAAAAACTAATTCAAATAATCAAGAGAAAGAATTTTCACCTTAATTCCTCTCATCATCCCAAAAAAAAACACATTTTCAGTTTGGACCGAGCCACTTTGAGAAAAAAATAATAATTCTAAAAGAATTCCACCAACAAAAATAAAAAAATTTATGTTGAACAGGTGACAGAATTTTCCTTTTGATTAATTTAGAGTCTTGTCTAATTATCCAGGGAAACAGCAGAATCAATGAACAAATGAAACAGCTGTACAAAGAAATAATAGGAACATATGAATGCAAAAACAGATTCAGTACCTTTGGATTTAATTTCAGTATTTGTAGCATTCTTTGCTGGTGGCAATTTTTTACCAATCTTTCGCTTTATTTTCTGAGGAAAATATAAAAGAAAAATAAACAACAGATGCAAACAACGGTTTCACATGTTGAATTTCCAAAACATAACAGACTCATAATATCAAAAAGTTTATTACTTTGAAGTCGACACCGCGCTTTTGCTGCTTCTTTCCCTTAGGGCCTGCCATTTATAACTACAGCTTACACAAAGAAAAACAACAAAACAAGTTTATTTAGTTTCTGAATAAAAACCCATTACACTGGTACTGGTAATGCTTAAACTGCAATACGGCGACGTTTCCAGGAGCACTAAATCAGCTCCTGTTTGGCAGCTGAGAAAACTAGGGGAAGTTAAAAAAAGAAAGAACAAGAACTCTACGTATCTAAGCAATATACTGTTCAGGTTTTCATGACATGAAACTAAAAGTCGAAGTAAGCTCAAAATCAATTGAAACATGTACGCTGACAGCAAGCATTCGAGGCACAGAGAAAAATAAAAATCAATGAAATTATATTTGGTATCTACCTTTTCTCGGCAACCAAACAGACGGTGTATCTCGGAGATGCGAGTTCTCTTGACGAGGGCCAAAACGGCGTCGTGCTTGCACTGAATGGACTTGAAGAGGGGCCTATAACCTTTCGAAGGTTTGCCGTCGGGGAGGTGGGAACTTTGGGTGGCCGCGTTTGTTCTTTATTTTTTATTTTGTATATTTTTGTTAACTTTTTCTCAGGGTTTTTTTATAAATAAAATGTCACGTTTGAATGAGGCTTTTTTCACACAAGAGAGCCTTTGGTTAGAAGAATGGGGATTTTTACTGTGATCATACCGGCCCATCTTCGATGGGGATTTTTAAAATTCGGTTCTCGATTTTTCCCGAAATCTTTTTTTATTAGAGTTGGCACTCAGCTCGACGGATATTTATGTTATCTCTATTTAGTCACTTGGTTAAATATATTCTTTGTTCTTAAATTATATACGAAATTTCAATTTGATCATTTAAAAAAAAATTAACTAAATTAATTACTGTATGACTCAGCATTTGCAATATATAATATTTATAAATTATAAATGTTGAGTTATATATTGACCAATTTGGTTAAGTTTTTCTACTTAGTAATTAAGTTGTAATTTAATGTAAAATTCAATGACCAAATATCACATATGAGCCAGCTAACAAAAAATAATTGCATGTCTACAAATTGAAAATTTTAAATAATACATGATAAATTTGATTAAATTTTTTGTTCGTGACAAAATTGAAATTTCATGTAAATTTAAGGGAGCTAATTTTCCCACTCCACTTTGTCCACAAAAGGAAAACGAGAAAATCATCACCCAAATTTAATGACAGATTATATTTAATCCTAAATTATTTATTAGGGTTCTTAACAGGGCACCGGGTTTCAAAAATGAATCGGGTAAAAGAGTCAAGTAGATTGCCTAGTCGGAGTCCTGACAGAACCATCTACTTTAATTAGACTACACTTTCCTCGGCACCCAAACGCACAGAGAATGCAACAACAGCAACCGCAGGCGACGATTCAAAACCACACTCCGCCATCTTCCTCTGCAGGGCCCACCACGGCGGAGGCGCCGCCGAAGCAGGTGGCGCTGGCAATGGAGCGGCTTTCCGACGCCGGCCGCCTGATCGCTGACATAAGGCTTGGCGCCGACCGCCTCCTCGAAGCTCTATTCGTGGCGGCTCAGCCTCACCAAAGCACCAAGCCTCTCCACTTGTTCCTCAACGAAGACGCCTCCATGCGTCAACACCTCCTTGACCTCCGCTCCGTCGGTACCTCCTCTCTCTCTCTACCTAGGTTCACTGCAAGCAGGCATTGGAAAAGCCACAATTTTTTTAGGGTTTTTGTGCTAATTTTTGTTAGGAAGGCAGCTAGAAGAGTCTGGGGTTCTGAACGAGTCTCTGAGATCGCGAAGCAATTCTTGGGGATTGCACATGCCCTTGGTATGTCCAGACGGCGCCGTTGTTGCGTATGCCTGGAAGCGCCAGCTCGCCGGCCAAGCCGGTGCGTCTGCAGTTGACAGGACCAGGTTGGTGTTAAATTCATAGAATTGGTCCTCCTGCTTGTTACATTGGCTCTCTATTGCCTATACTCAACAATTATTGATTACAGGGAAGTTATTTTTAGCAATATTTTAGCTTGTGTTCCAAAGAAGTCTAAATTTTGCATAAGCATGGTTAGAATTATAGCATATCCCAACTGAGTATTGTTTTTAAGAAGCAATTTCTTGAATTCTGTTATTCAATATTATAGGTTAGCTCTCAAAGCCTTCACTGATCAGAAAAGGAGGTTTTTTCCTCACCTTGATGAGGGGTCGAGTGGTCAGTCTAATGAATCAGCTACGAAGAAGCAATGTGTTTCGCCAGTACCAGCAGCACATGATCAAGAAGAGGCTCTAGAGTGCAAAACGCTATCAGAGGTCTTGGCACGTTTGGAAAAGGTTCCTAATTTGAAAATTCTCACGTATGAGCGATTGGATTGGTTGAAAAGGGCATCTTCACTGCCAGAAAATGAGAGTCCCAGTGAAACATTAAAGGATCATAATTTTCACAGTTCAAGCAAGTTACGAGCAGGTCCTCTGGGTGATGTTGCACCAGATAAGGTTGCCGTCATTGAGCTGCTGTTTCCTTCTCTCTTTAGGGCTGTAGTATCGCTGCATCCTGCTGGTTCTACAGACCCAGATGCTGTAGCTTTCTTTTCTCCAGATGAGGTAATCTTGGCCACCACCATGCATATTGTTCCTTAATCATAAGCTTTATATTTTATATTGTTTGATTCTTTTTCATAGTTGTCCCATGCTAAACTAGGCAGCTGCTACATAGTAACCTTACAGCTGAACATCATGTGTGCAGTTGTAGAACTGATACTTGCATCAAAGATCAAAATAAGACGATATATCAGAAACTCTGGTTCCTTTTTTATTAACTTGAATCATTTGTTGTAATCATTGCTTGTCCAACCCTCCCATAGATCCCAATTTCATACTATTTTAGATCTGTCATGTATTATGTGTTCTGTTATGGTGCCTTTTAGATTTTCACTGGCTTTCAGATTATAGAAACTATTCTTTCTCTTTCCATTGCCATCACATGGAGCATATTTGTATCTTTTTTCTATTTCTTGTCTTTTATTCTAAAAGATGATTCTCTTTACTCTGCTACAGTTTACATTCCTCATTTCATTCTGTAACAGGGAGGCAGCTACTTACATGCAAGAGGTTTTTCAATTTATCATGTCTATAAGCATATCACGGTAAAACCTTTAATAATCCATTTAAGTTTATTATAGTTCAAATAATGGGCCTTTCTATTAAATCACATATCATTTCTTATTACAGGAACATGCTGCTATGGCTTTGCAGTATTTTATTGGAGTTCGAGCTGAAACAGCTCTCTATACTCTTTTGGTACCATCTCTAGCATGTTCATGAGAACTCACTGGATTATTAAGTTATTCACATGCATCATGTTGTACACATTTAATGTTCTAACTTTCTCTTTCTATTCCTAGCATTGGATATGCAGCTATCAAACTCTCTTTACAAAAGTTTGCAGGTACAACCTTCTCATGTATACCTATCTGCAATTCTTTACTGGCTTCAGAGTCATTAACTTTATATATTTGGTGCAGTAAGTGTGGACGGCTGCTATCAATGGACCGACAATCAGCTTTACTGTTACCTCCAGTTTATCGTCCTTACCGCCAGTTCTCCGCATCAAATATATCGTCAAATTTAAATCTTGCCCGGGCTTACCATGTAGGTTGTTATTCAGAGGAATCGTGATCTACACTGTTGACAGGTAAAAAGAATAGCACATCATTCAAAAAACCTCTCTTGAATGTTAAATTGTATGCCTTATCTGCACTTTTCTCTGAATAATTTGCTGGAGCACAAGATTTTTTTATTTTTGCTTCTGCTAACCTAGTATACAAGAATTAAGTATATCATGTTGTCTGAGTTGACCGTATGTTTTGGTAGTGCATAAGAAATATGTTGGTCACGGCTTAGAAATTGTACTTTATTTGACCCCTCCCTCTCTCTTTTTCATTTTTGTAAGTGAAGTATCCATGCTGCCTTTCTTCCTTTTTCCTTTTTATTTTTTTATTATTCTGTTATTCACAGAAAAGTATAGGTGTAGTTGTTTTTATTTTAATATATTGTGTCCTGGTTAAATTTCACTAGAATGCGTCGTCCTTTGAATCAGGTGTTTTTTTCATCAGTCAGCATAAATCTCAGCTGTGCAACGGGAAATTCCATATCTGGTGTTGCAATAGATGTTGCTTGTAGAAGAAGATGTGTGCAATGCTCACACAAAATTCGTGGAATTCCTGTATGTGATCATATTTCGAGAACAATACCAAATGCTTTTAGTTTTTGACATCTGAGAAAAATCTCTGTTGTAATTCTATTGATAGGAGGAAAAAAGGAGAATTTAGTACATAAGTTCTGGGATTCTTTGTTTAGCAGGTAGGCATGCAAACCTTCTAGGGTGGATGCTACTTAGTAACTTACATGCTGTTCTATGATTTTAATTGCAATAGTTGTATGAATCACCTTGAATCTAATATGATTGTAGTTTGACATTGAGATCAGATTGAAAGCTTTCTGTTTTACTAGTTACAATGGCAAAACACGGGATTGAGTAACAAGTATAGATATTTAGTCATGTACCTATTCTTCGCATTAATAATATAGATAAACCATACACCATTTAATTTCTATTTAAAAAAACCCAAAAAATGACAGTTGGCCCTATTGAATGTTTTGGGTTTTTTTATGAGGTTTTGGAGTTGGGTTTGTTTTAAGAAATCAATATCAGTTTTGCAATTTAAAAGAACTTAAAAGCCTTTTTGTTATGTTATAAATGGGTTTTGATGTGTTTCTAAAGTCCATTTTATATAAGAGTTTTTATAATTTGGGCTCTCATATATGGGTATAATAGTGAATTTCCCGCAAAAATAATAATTTTGATGACAGTTGTTTAGCCCCGAAAGAATAGGGTGTGCTTCTGGAAAATATGATTTTGATTTCCATGAGAGCCTTATGGGATTTTGGGCAGAGAAAGGAAGTAAGCGAGAGCGTTTTTGGGCTTCTAGTCTGTAAATAACTTTAACTCAGTCAGAAAAGTAGGTGAGGTTGCCTAAAGTGGAAATGCTATAATGAGAGGTTGTGGCTGAGGGGTTGCCGGAGGGGTTTAATCCCACTATCTAACATGAGAGAAAATATTCGACTTGAACTTTTTTAACGATTGAATGGTTCGATTGAACACCTCAAACCCCCTCATGGTAGAATCTCCCCAACCAAAGTAGTTAGGGTTATTGCATAATGACTATTTTTGGTCAATTGATTTATAATAGAAGTCGTCTTAAAATTATTATAATATTAAAAACAAAATAATTTTATTTAATAACTACTAAAAAAATTATGTATGCCCAATGCATGTGCAATGTCATAGTGGTTAAACTATGAAGAGAGGGAACAAAAAATAAAGATGAGATGTATTTTCTCTTTATCACTGGATTAATTACTCATGGAGAACATGAATTTTGGGTGGATTAAAAGGAAGAAAACATAATAAGCACCGATTAGAAATAGGCAACTTGTAATTTACATTTCATTTACTAAAAGTTCCTTTTGGGGGATAGTAATGTTATGGTTGATTGCCCACATAACACTGCTTTCTCTTGTTGAATGAGGTCTCGAATTATTTACCTTTAAGTAACAAAAAACCTTGTTCATCATGTAATTTCTTTTTATTATCTCTCTTATCACGTGACAAGATAAAATGGAGTGATGGGTTACATGAAACTGTGATAGACCAGTTTTTCTTCTTCGGTTTGCATGATCTGATTGAGAATGAAGGCAGCTTCAGAATTAGGTGAGAGACATAAATAAAGAGTAGTGTATATTTTCATGTGTTTGTCTCTTTCCTTGCGTAAATAGCTTACCCGTTTATGGTAAGTTTTACCTCGATAATAAGACCAAACTAAACAAGACAGTGCCACCTGTAAAACATGAAACAGTGACCAAGTGTCATGCGGCAGCACTCATGTCACGTAGCTCCTGCCTTGGTTGGGCTCACCACTTCTTTGGCTCTTTCAATTGAAAATGGCTTGCACGTTACAGAAAGGGACCCCTCAAAGACATATCATCTTCCTTAATGTTAGGGACACCGATAGACCCTAGGTCTCAATCGGACTGATCCACCGCTAACAAACAACACAGTGAGCAAATTGCATATGCCAATGTGTCATTGCCACTTGACAGCCCCATGAGCAATCTATAATTGCCATCTGGACCCACAAACTTCAACAGCGTGGTGGGGTCCAAATGTTCATACAAAGATCCAGGGAGTCTCATTTAAGATTGATGAATGCTGTTTGGACTTTTCTCCTTTTGTAGGAAGAAGTTATTTGGTAGTGCACTTGTATGTGACATGCGTTTAATGGACGGTCACAGACTCACAAGTTCAATACTATAAAAATAGAGGCTGACATTGAATCCCAAGATACTTCAACATCTGAGAGATGAGGTTGAAAGGGAAATGTAGTTCTAGTGATTAGGAGTATTTACCATTTCATTTGAGATTCTAAATTAGATTATCTTCTCCTTCAATATCGCTTGTTTAAAAGAAAAATCAATAAGAGTGCTTTCATTATTATTATTATTTATTTTGAATTTACCTTATATATATAATTATTGACCAGATTCAATATATATATTTTTCTGTTTTGGCTAAGAGTACCTCTCCATTTATTGGTTAGGCTAGAGACCCTCCATTAAAATAGTTCTTGAAACCCAAATCAGCCATGTGGATCTGTTTTTGCCTTTTAAACCCAATCAGGCAACAATCTATCCTCATTCCCTCTACCTAACCTTCTCCATAGAAATTTGATCAAACCAGTATGTCAGCACAAAACTATCATAAGCAAATTTTCCTTCATCTTATTCTCAAATGAAGCAATGTGACCCTGTATGAATATATTTATTCCTTCCTGGCTTGTAATTGTTGATAAGTCAACAAAAAATTGTTTGGTGAGAACACCAACCTGAGAACTAGTTTTAAAATGGGATGACAAGAAGCTCCTTTTTCATCAACCTCAAACTGGTTCAGGCCATATATGACTTGGAAAATACTTGCCTTCTTCCCGAAAGCAGGACTCCTACTTTCCCACCAATCACAATTTGACATGTGTATTTTTGTGTTTTTGATGTGATTTGTAAAATATAGGAATGCCTCCTTTCAGGAAAGCAATGTCCACTATAAGTTGGATCACTTTAGTTTCAAACCTATATACATGATAGGTTTTAGGTTCATAGCTGGTACCAAAATCTGCTTTTGTTTATTCAGCCTTTGCCAAAAGAATGCAAACATTCTTATGAAACTCAGATGTGGAGTATAAAGCGCACTTGAGTAATTGGGAACCAGTTCTCATTAATAACTGCTCTTATCTACACCACTAGCATGTAAAATCTTAATGCAGAAAGTATCATAGCTTACACTTGAGATCTCTACTGAAATCTTCAACTCAAGCCAGCACAAAACCAACAACACAAAAACATATTGACATTGATTCCCAAGCAGAGAACACAGACATACTATCTACACCTACCAAAGAAGGAAAACAACCTCTAAAAAGGAAGGTGAAATGAAACACAAAAGCAACAGAAAAAACACTTCTTTACCGGCCATCAGCAGAAGTAAAAGACTCTGCAAACCCTGTTGGCCTTGCTGGGATACTGCCCTTGCTGTCTTCTAGGTCCAGATAACTGGAGTCCTTTCCTTCGGCTTCCTGCCAACCCTTCACCATCTGGGTAAGGGGAAGGCTGTAATCTATCCCAGAGTATTCCTCATTCTCGTCATCCAACGGTTTCCATTTTTCAACAAGCGGGGACAACACATTCACAGCATGGCCCATATCTGGTCTTTGGCTGGGTTCCCTTGCAGTGCAGTGCCCAGCTAGCTCTGCAATTGTGGCGATGCTCTCAAATGTTTCTTCTTTTTGGTCAAGGGCCGGGTCAATGGCGGCCATGAGTTTCTCCTTATTAGATTTTATGTGCCAGAACCATGCAGCCAAGTACTGGCTTTCTTCAGGCCTATCCTCATCCAGTGCCATCATTCCAGTTAATAGTTCCATTAACACAACACCAAAACTGAAGACATCTGCTTTGGTTGTAATTTTTCCCGTCACTGAATCAATCAGCATATGAGAGAGAGAGAGAGAGAGTTAGCAGGATCATTCGCAAGAATCAAAGAAAGATAACAGAAAACAAAGATGTACATGCTGCAGAATTAAGAAAACTATCTGATTTTCATATATGTTCAGGATATGATAGATGCTCTTGTAATAGTCTAACCGGTCTAAGAACATGATTAAATCCATATTAATTCCTCTTACATGCTCTGTGTAATGCTGCTAATCTCAATGCCTATAAGCTAACAGGGGTCAGCTATGTATATGAAATTTAAACAATCTGTAATATGTTGGAAAGGTCTTAGAAAGCTTACCGGCATACTCTGGTGCTAAGTAACCAAAAGTCCCAGCAAGCCTGGTCACAACAGATTTTTCACCATCAGGAGCCAGTTTCACCAATCCGAAATCTGATACTTTTGCTTTAAAATCGTCACCAAGTAAGATATTTGATGATTTAAGATCTCTGTGTATGAAGCTTTTGTGAGCAAGATTGTGAAGATACTCCATCCCCCTAGCAACATCCAAGGCAATATTTAGCCTCCTCTTCCAAGAGAGAGGCTCTACTTTGAAGGTTTTCCAATGGAAAAG